ACAAAAGCCAAGAAAACAAGAAGCCAACAATGAGATCAACTAACCGAACAGATTTACAAATCTATCTACAGATCTCTCTATAAATGAAACAACAACAAGGAAACATATGGGGGACATTTGGCTTAGCTGGAAAGTATCCAAAGATATATCCCCAAAGTGTAAGCACAAAGATAATATGTACGTAAGGAAGCAGGAAGCATTTGTAGATTTCTAATTTACAGCAATTGTGTAGATATATTCAAGATTCAAGATCAGCTGAAATGCTTCTTTGTTTCTGCATCTAGTAATCAGATTACAGCACCATAAAGAATAGAACGCATTTGCTGGATTTGCTAGTAATTTGAGGAAGAAGGATGCATTTTGTGAATCACAAAGAATACTCGATTAGAGGCAGAGTTCTTTTTTTTTTTTTATTAGTTTATAAGTGAAAGAAAACATTTTAGAGATGAGATATTTGGGGAATAAGTATTCACATATTACAGGAGTGCCTTTATTATTATTACGGTAAGAAAAACATTCCGAACTAACTCCCCAAAGAGCCCATTAAACTCTCATCGAAATAGAACTCCCCCCTGGGCAAAACCCTCTGCCAAATCCCAGCTTAGAGTATTCCCCGCTTCGATCTGCTGCCAGCTTGATTGTTTTTTTTTTTTTTTTGTTAATTTATTTAAGAAATGTAGGTATATATGTATATATCGAATATATGTACATATGTACATACATATGTATATATTGTTGCTATAAAAGTTGACTTGGCGCGCGCGCGCCAGCAACAATGTATACATACATACATACATACATACATACATACATACATATATTGTTGTAGATGAGAAGCCGCAGCCCGAAGCCCGTGGAAGCATAGGAGAAGTGGGGGGTGGGGGGGATATAAAAGTGGGCAAACTAGTTTTTTGGTATCCGAGCATCCGTTGGATCGGATCGGATCGGCGGGGCTCAGGTTGTAGATTGTTGTTGCTGTTGCTGCTGCTGCTGCTGCTGCTGCCGCTTTGAGGCATTTTTCTCAATGGAGCTGCTGCTGCCTCTCAGATTGTAGACTTGGGCATTTTTTTAGGTGAATAATTGCGGTATGTTGTTTTTTATGCAAATATTTCGTATACGAGTGGAGTTTACTTGTGTCTATGTGTGAGTGTGTGTGTGTGTGTAAATGTCTGTGGCATCCAGACACACTTAACCGATATATATGGCCATTGTTGTTGCTGTTGTTTGTTGTGGATCTTGATGTCTACTCTCATTCAATATTTGTTTGATATTTTTGTATGATTTTTATTTTGTTTTCTTCTTTTTTCTGTTGGCCTTTGGATTCACATTGAATAATTTCTATATTTAGCATAAAGTGGAGGAGAGTGGCAGAAGGGGGGGCAAAACATTAATTGAAATTATGAAAACATGATATGCGCGAATCCAGAGGAACAGCAATTCGATTATGGTATTAAAATGATGTTTGTTTTTTTCGGAAATGGATGAGGGATCGTAGCTCTAAGGTACATATGTAGAAGGGATGAATGATTGGAAGATCTAGGAGATCACAAACAGAAGATCATTCTGATTAGAAGAAGAGGTCAATTCAGGAGAAGATGTCAGGAGAAACACAGGCCAGGCAATTAGATATTCCCTAGAATGGCCCAACAATCTAGAGAGAAGATCTCCGTCGATTAATCAGGGATCGCATGTATTACAGCAATTCATTCACAAGATTCATTTGACTCGAAAGGGTTTCATTCACAAGAAAACGGATGCCCAAAGAATTGATTATATTTCTGTGAATGGAAAAATACTCGTGTGAATAAATTGATCAATGATCGAACTGAAAACTAGTTCCAATCGTAATATACAAATTGAGGCAAGCATGGATTAGCATAGAGATATCATAAATTGCCATTCATTCAGGGGTGTGGTTTGATAGATTGGAATTAGATATTCGATTGCAAAATCCCTGCACCGAAGAACCTACCAAAGAAATGGTGAGGGGAAGAGAGGAAATATGTACATGTGTACAAACACACACACAGCCAAGAAAAGGTTTTGCTGTGGCCTAAAAAGCATTTTCACACCTGGCTGCATTCAACGCCCACTGAATCCCACAGAATCTTAACGTGGCTAAGACCCCAGCAGAGGGGAAAGGGAAGGAACGGCAAAGAGTTGGTTGTGTGTGTGTGTGTGTGTTGTGCCACGCTTGATTTGTTTATGCATTTCCCAGTCAATTGGAATTTGTGGCCAACGGTTGCCGTCTGAGACCCGACCCCATCGAATGCTTCTTCTCCATCCACTTTTGGCCATGCCACGCGCATGCCACTCCATCGGCAACGAGTTGTTTAGGCCAAATATGCGTAGCTGATGCCTGATGTCTGAGGCCTGAGGCCGCCTGATGGCTGATGGCTGATCTGTTTGTATATGGCCAACAAATTGCTGTGGCAGCGATGCTTGTAGCTGTTCTGTTGTTTGGCTTTGCTTTGCCCATTCATACATGGCATTCGAGGCGTTCGCTCGTTCACTCATTCAGTCATTCAGTCACTCAGTCAGTCATTCATTCATTCACCCGTTCATTCATGGATTGACTTGCTCAGCGAAGCGAGAAGCTGACGTCGTTGCTCATCCAGCGTTTACGTTTCCATTCATTCATTCATTCGCTTCGTCTGCACATGCTACCCCTCCCCTCCTCATCCCACTACTCACACACTTCTACACCACTCCACTCTCCCCTCTCTGCTCTACACCCCTTTTTATCCATCATCATCTCGGCATCGTCGTCGTCGTCGTGGTCGTATTTCATTCATGAATTTTCTTTCATTCAGCTTTGGCCTCACTCCCCTGCCCCCACCCATCTTCTCTTTCTCTCTCTCTCTCTCTCTCCCTCTTGTTCTATCTCCCTGGCTCTCTTTCTGTGTTGTTGTTGAAAACGTTTTTAAATACCGGAACTGAATGTTTAGCGCTTTTAAGCATGGGAACTTTTTGTTTTCTTCCATTCAACTTTTCTCTCTGCACCCAACCTCCTTCCCCCCTCTCTCTCTCTCTCTTTCCTTGCCTTTTGTGGATCTCTATTCCGTTCCGTTCTCGTATAAGGCATCATTTTTTTTTTATTGCAAGTTTCCAAACAACAGGAATCTCTCTTCTAGATTCTATTTTAGGTGTTTTTGTTTTTTATATGCGTTCCAAAATTTATTGCAGACATTTGGATTTCAAAATTTATGGGCCAAATATCAGATCAGAGGGAGGGGATTGAGGGGATCTAAAGATCATTAGAAGGGTATATTAGTTCTGGTGTGAATGAAATATTAATATAAATCGATCAGGGATCAGGCATCATGGGGGTACGAATTATTATAATTTCGTTGCTTTTTAGAATGATTTTCTACAGTGAAAATCCCTAAAAGAATCCGCACAGCAACCCATCGCTCATGGCTCTTTAATCTCTGCTTTACTGTAGGGTATCCTAAAGTCGTAGTTGCATTATTCGTAGCCCCATTTCTGGCTTGTTTATACTGTCAATATTTTCCTTTTGATTGCTGTTGATATTTCACGCCTTGGCCCCACGGGCAACAACAGCCAGACGACGATTTTAGGGAGTGTTTTTTGTCATATGACATTAGACATAATAGATATCTGATACATGATATATGTTCCTCTCTCTCTCTCGCTGTCTCTCTCTCTCTCTGCCAAACGCTTGATTTATGGCCAAAGAATGAGGCGAACAATAGCCCCCCGACTTGACCTATGATCCAGTATACAGCAACCAGCAACCAGTAACCAGAATTCGCATTGTAATGGATTTCATTGGAAAGATGAAAGATCTCTATCGCTGTGGAGGGATACTCGCCCGATCGGTGAGCTGTTCTGATGTGATCTGATGTGATGGGTGGTTCCGGGCTTAGCATTAAAACGGTTCTTAGTCATGCTTCGGCTCGGGGCAGCAGCATTGAACTCTTGACCCGCTCTTGTTGGCTAATTGGTTTAGGGTATAGCGGGTATCGCAATTGCGAGTGTCCGACTTTAATTGATCAAATGCGACTATCAGCAGCAGTAGCAGTAGCAGTAGCAATGCTCGCATCACAGTCAGATCTCTGCTGCTCGGGGGCTGCAAACAACTTTCATTTTTCATCTAGAGCGAGTGCTGCTGTACTGCTGCTGGTGCTGAACTGCTGTTGATCGTACTCGTATCTGCTGCAATTAAATGTGCCATATGCGTGCCACCGATCGAAGCCGCAGCAGCAGCAGCAGCAACAGCGTATGGGCAGCGCCTATTGCTTTGGCTTTGGTGGGTGTCAAGTGTAATGTGTAATGGGGTATAGGGCGGCAGCTAAATATAGCCAATCCCCGGAGTTGGGGTTAGTCTCTCTCTACCTCTACCTACCTCTACCGCTCTCCTCTGTCTCTTTCAATATACGATCTATACGACTATAGTGGGGAACCCAGCCCAAAAAAAGTTGCATTGCAAAACCTGATGTTGCGCTGTGGCGTTGCTGTTGTTGTTTCTGTCGTTGCCGTTGATACTTATTGCTGGCGTGGGCAACTTACAAATGGCAACAGCTATGGCAACAGCAACAGCAACAGCAAAAACAACCAGTTGACTGGAGGCAAGCCGTTGAGCAGGTGTCTGCTGCTGCTGCTGCTGCTGACGACGTTACCTGCATTATGCAACCTGCCATTGCCAGTCGTTGCTGCTGCTGCTGCTGCTGTTGTTGTTTTTGCATAGATCAATACGAAATAGTAAGAAAGATACCCTTTAGATAGACATACCCTTGCAGAGGGCAGGGACTTAGGTGCGATTATCTACAGCTATAGCTCCGATTTAGGATCAGTACAGATGTTGATCTTCCCTGCAAACATATTTTCAAAATGAAATACCCTCTTTAAGAGTATCGGAGGAACATGTTGTAGTAGAACTAGAATTAGCCAGACCAATGCCAGCTAGAACTTAAATCGTATCTCTTTAATATCTATGTATCTAGGTTACATTGTTATACGTGGATTCAATCACTCACCCCCACTTGGTAGAGTATGCGCAGATCCTTCTCCTTGTGTTGGCCGTGTTTGTTGTTGGCCAAACGATGCTGCTGCTGCTGCTGTTGTTTCTGCAACATTTGACGGGATTTCCGTCGGGACTCGGCCAAGTCCTGCTGCTGCTGCTGTTGCTTTTGTTGCTGTTTGTCCTTCTGCTGAAGGTCTGGTGGTGCTGCTGAGATGCTCACTACAGTTAGTGGCTCTGTGGCAGGCTTGGGCGTGCTACTACTGCTGGGGGCACTTGTTGCAACATCTTTGGCATCGTAAATGGTATACTCCAGGCTCTTGTGCGCCGCTGCCCCCGTGGCCGTGGTCGGCGTCAGTTCGTACACCTCGAGCGGGAGGCGCGTGCCCCGTGCGACCAAGGGCAGGAGTAGCAGCCACATGAATATTATCGAATGCATGATTCTCCTCTGTCTCTCACTCTGTTTCTCTCAGTGTATTTTATTGTGCTGTGGTTGTAATTGACACTCGATGGAAATCGTAATTTAAATTGAAATTGAATCAATTCAAAGCTGTCTCTCTCTTTCTTTGCTTTCCTCCTCTGTGTCTCTGTCTCTTTCGGATCAGATTTGCTGGTTGGACAATTTGTGCCGCCTAGAACCTGGCCCCTGGCCCATGGCACACACAGAACTACAGACACAGCTACACAGCAACACACTCTATCGGTTGGCTAAAACTAAAAGCAGGTTTCGAATCGATCAATCGATTGAATGTCACTGCTTCTGAAACACTTTATTGGTTTTGATCGAACACTCGCGACATTTGATCCACCCCTGATCTGATCTGATCTGATCCGATGCGATCCGATCGGATCCTCACTCTCCTGCCAAGCCTCGTCTTTCGCTAGACACTCCTGTCAAAGTCCTCGCTCCTGCGAGGTTTCGTTTGCTTTCTGTACGTTTCTGTACGATTCTCGGCTCTGGCTCGTATTTCTGTTCGTGGCATTCGTTTCTGTTCGTCTGCTCGCGACCAATTCACTTTTCGAAGTGATCAAACGGAAAAACGAGCTGCTGCATGTCGCTGCTTGTCGCTGCTTGTTTATTCAAGTCCGTTCACGAGAGCGGAGCGTAGCAGCAGCAGCAGCAGCAGCAGAGACAGAGCGAACGAGAGAGAGCGTGAGAGCGGGCACAGGCAGCGACGCGACGCAGGAAGGCCATGAATGAATGAACATGTTGCTCAGGGTATATTCAGTGGAAGGTAAGGGCAATATCGCTCTCTACTTTGAATTGCGCGCTATTTCTTTCCTCATACATGTGTACATACATATGTATGTATGTATGCAGCTACAAAACTACATTAATATAAAGCCGCAATCTATGCTACAATTATAGGAGGCAGAACGCACACAGCGAGCGGCCTCTTTTTCCCAATAGCCAATCTAGACTTTGGTAAGAGTACAGAAGAGCGGAATGCCTTCCGACTTTAGTGAGAGCAGGTCTCTGTGAATGCCTCACCTTCTGCTAATGCACCTTGGCTGCAGCATCCCATTTGCTGCTGCATTCGCTGTGTGTGTGTGTGTGCGTGTGTGAGTATCTATGAGACCTGCCTGGCGGTATTTCTGTGTGTGTGTATGTGTGTGCGTCTGAGAGCAAGTGTAAGGTGTCTTTGGCTCCTGCTCTTGGCTCTTAGCTCTTGGGCCCTTAGCCGGCTCTCGGCCTGCTCGCGTGCTTGGCTTGAGGAGGCCTCGGGTTGCCTTTGTTGCTTCCGTTGCATCCTTTTGGACGTTTTTGCTGGTGCCGCAGTCTCGGCCCCTGCCACTGCCTGTGCCTGCGTCTCTGCCGCTTTTTGTCATTTTTACTACGGCACCGGAAACTAATTCCAGCCCCGCAACGACTTTTACTCCTCCCTGCCTGCCGCCGCTCTCCGTTCTGCCGCTTCTCTGGTTTCATGTTTATGCCCCATTCTTCGTAGCGCATGCCAAAAAAAAACCAAGAGAAAAATCAGAGAAAGAGAGAGAGAGAGACAGAGACAGCGAGAGAGAGAGAAACGGGTCTCCGTCTTCAGCTTTGGAAGTTCAAGCGAAAAACGCGCGCGGTTCGGCAGAAAGCCCGCCAATTTTATGGGCCAAACCCGATAAGATTTCATTTGTTTACGAGTTACCTTGAGACGGGACGGACCCCAGCCCCTACCACTCTGCCACAGTCCCAACAACACAACAGCCAGAACCCCAAGAAGAACTCCAACTGAAAGGCGGCCATTGTTGGTGGATTGGAGTGGAGTGGATGGGGAGGGGGAAGGTTTCCCTTTTCCAATTCGATTTCTAACTAAACTGCAAAGAGTCCGAACTACAGCTGATAAAAGAACGGTTCAATCTTTAAAGAATAATTCTACTTTTGGTATGAAATGTATACTGTAAAGATCGCTCAATAATGGCATTTAATTACAGCAAAAAAGAGCTATTTTACTATTTTACAAAAAGAAACCTCCCTTAGCTCCAGCTCTTTCTATCAATATTTTCCTCAAAACTTGCCCTTTATTATAGATACTAATCATTTAGAATTGATTATGCCTCTTTTCCTCTAACTTCCATCTCCCTGTTTTCTGTGTTTTTTTTTTTCAGGGAAAATGTATGCTGTGATTGGCCGGAGACATGGCAAGATCCTGTCCGGAGACCTCACCCAGGGCAGCGGCAACTTCTCGGTTACCTGTCTGCTGCCGGTGATCGAGTCGTTCAACTTTGCCCAGGAGATGCGCAAGCAGACATCTGGCCTCGCCTGTCCCCAGCTGATGTTCAGCCACTGGGAGGTAAGTAGAGGCTCTGCCCAAGTGCCAGATCTAACGCTGATTGCGGCAGCTGTTGCTGCTCCTTTTGGAGGAGACACAAGTGCATACCATATGCCATGTGCGTGCTGCACTACTGCTGGGCAATACACTCAGTAAACCCCTCCTCGGACCTCTAATCTCGCTGCCTTTCTCTCCCTTTTCTGTGGTCTGCAACAAAATCTCAGCTTACGCTACGATCAACCTTCTGTTGCCTTCTGTTGAAGTCTTATAAGCTAAACCACAGACAGCCGAAGCAGAGGCATCAACATGGCAACAGCCAGCAACTTCGTTGGCAACAGTTGGATTGAAAGTTATATGGTCCATTTGAGGCCTGCAGCTGTGCTGTTCAGATACAGTGAAAGCTCCATGGAGGGTACAGTGCTGTTGTCGTCTGCCTAGTGGAGTGTACATGGGAGATGTCTGCTTTCCGTTTGGCTTCTGTTCACTGTAAATCTTCCGAGGTAACCCAAAGCCCCCACTAGCGACAGGCTTCCTCTGTCTCTCTCTCTCTCTCTCTCTCTCTCTCTTTTTTACCATTTTGACCTTGTCGTGGGCCACAATTAAGAGACTCAAGTTGATGATTTTTTCCACTTTGTGTGTCTGCCTTTTGGCAGACCCAAAAGACGACACTGCAAGCCTGACAGACGGCGGCTGAAATGTGCGAAAGACAGAAGATGAGCGGATCCATTGAGCGGATGGACGAGCTGTGGCACAAACTCAAACTGAGCCAGAACAAAAAGATGATTAATAAAGTTGGCACAGCCCACAAAAGTGGGTCTAACAGAGTGTTTGTTTCTGTCATCTGCAGGCACTATAGACAGGCATCTTCAGTCATCTTGCTGGACAAGGAATCAAGCAAAATTAGTGAGAATACTTGCAAAAGGATGAAGCTAAAATGAAGTTAATCTAAACTTCAAACCCTTTGTTTTCTATAGTTTTGACGCCTGTCCCAGAGATGATTCGCATGTGCCCATGTATTGGTCACCTATCCGCTCTACATGTGTGTCTGTCAGTGTGTGTGTGTTGTATATCGTCCAACCAATCGATAACAACAAGTTTTTGTATAATGACTTCCGGCGATTTTCTATTTCTCAGCTAAAGTTTTGCCGGCGACGACTACGAGATGCTGCCGCCGGTTGGTTGTTGGGTCTTCATATAATTTCATACGCATTTCCAGACAGCAGAAGCAGCAGCAGAAGCAGCAGGCTGGTGGGAGGCAGGAAGGGAGGGGGCTGCTCTCGTATCTTTGTGGAAATCTTAACGGAAACTAGTTTAGCAGGCACAAGTGGCACACGTAGTAGTAGTATCTGACAGATACAATATTATTTCATTATTTTCCAACGAAGGTGAAGCTTCGGAGCAATTAGGATTCCACATGGCCAGCAGCAGCAGCTACCTTTCTTTGTCTTTCTCTTACTCTGCGGACAATTAAAACAGTTAGTGCAGCACTTTGTGCCCCGCCCACACGGTTGGGTCACCTTAGCATGCCATCCCTTGGAACTGGTGCCACTGACTCTGAGTGGGCAGAGAAAGGCAGCCACAGCACCAGCACCAGCACCAGCCAAGGGGCAGGGCAACCCAACCGTGGGCGCAGTTGTCACGTGCCCATAATAACAACGAAGGCGTCAACGTCAACTCCACTCCACTCCACTCCACTCGAGTGGTCCCCAAACTTGTGGCAACGGCAAATGGGGAAAGGGTATGGGTTATGGGTATGCGGAATGGGCAGGGAATTTGAATTTCTTGCTGCATCATGCCCCACAATAAGTTCGTTAAGCTGCAGCATCAACACCAGCAGCAGCAGAAGCATCAGCAGCAAACACCAGCCAGTGGCAGTGCCTGCCACAAGAAATCATCTCTTTGGATGACCTTTTAACTTAAGGTTGAGTCTGAAACAAAAACCGAAACTGAAACTAAAAAATAAAAACCAAAAACTAATTTTCAGTTTTCATTTTTGGTTGTTGGTGTTTTTTTTGCGGTAGCCCAGAGTCTGAGAATGCCATCTGTAAGTGGTGTGTGTGTGTGTGTGGAGACAGTGCGTATCATAGCTAAAATATGGCCAAGTGATGGGGAAATCTGTATCTCTACCCCCTGCCGCTCCTCCTGCCACTGCTGCTGCTCTGTGGCTACTGTCTTGCGCGCTTTTGTTATTATTTAATTTTGTTCTTCCTTTTTGTTTTTTTTTTTACTCACCACATTTGCTGCTCCCCCTGCTGCTGCTGCTGCACTTCTCCACCTTCTTGCCACTTGATGAGGCTGAAGATTGTTATTATGATTATGCCCCGAGTGTGCATCTGTGTGTGTGTGTGCCAGAGGCAGCGAGGTAGGGGCAGGAAGAGGTTCAAGACCTTAGCCCCAACTCCTCACCCAAAAAAAAAAAAAACAAAACACAGAAACGAAGTGGAAGGAGAAATAACATCACAACTTTGGCTACTGGTCTTACTTTTGGCCTGCTCCATAGTAGGGTCTGGTCTGGTCTGCCCTGGCTGGGATCGGATCGGATCGGATCTGTGCTCTGCTCTGCTCTCTCTCATTCGGAGTGTGTTGCATATGATTGTCGCGCTTTGCATGCAAGGCCTCAACCCAAAACAAAACTACTTCAAAAGCATAACAGATGCAACACCAGCACCAGCAGCAGCAGCAGCAGCAGCACAAGCGACCCGCAAACAGCCAACAGCCAGCCATCAGCGACCACAAAATGTGTGTAAGAACCAAGACAAATAACAAATAATCTGATAACTCGTTTTGTATGCCTCAAAAAGAGTACGAGTGTTCCCCCAAAGCCACACCAAAGGGAAAGTCCACACACCAAAGGGAGTGGTGAGAGAGAGAGTGTGTGTGTGTGTAGGGGACTGGCTTGGGGACTAGGGATAGTGCTGGAGCAGAGGGGGAAGATAGTGCCCTAAAGTCTGCCTGGTGCGAATCAACACACGGGGTGTACGTGTGTATCTGTGTCCATATCCATGCCGGCAAGTGTTTATCCAAGTGGCTATGGCTATGGCTATGGGCCCAAAGGATTGTTGTTGGTCTTAAGTGGAACGTGGTTTGCATTGTCCGTTCGCTCGCTTGCTGTCAAAATGACGCTCGTCCGTGTCCGTGGCCCCGAGGCTCTGCACCGATTCGAGACCGCGCGACTCGGTAGACTTTTACAGCCGAGGAGTGTATCTCTTGAATCAACCGAAACCCAAGGTACGCTTCAGTAGAGAAGGTAAGGCAGCTGCCTCCACTTCTTAAGGATACTAGTTCTTAGCTCCCTTTGCATTCATTGAACTGTATTTCTGGTGGCACTGCCTCACCTTTTCTTTGAATGTGCCTTGCACAAATCGACTCGCGGCTCTGTGGTGGAGCCTTTGCTCTGGGCATGCGCAACGCCCAAACGAACGGCCATTTGTGGTCTGTCTCTGTCTCTGGCTTTGGTTTTTTGGTTCTGGCTCTGTTTCTGGCGCGCGATAATAATCTCAAGTTGGTCTTTTGGTCGCGGCCTCAGGCAGCAGCGGACAAGGGGTACAAACAGACAGCAGACACGGGGGACAAACAGACAGATGGACGAACGGACAGACGGACAGACGCTCAGCGTATTTCGGTAGCTGCCGCGTAAATTACCTGCATACAAACACACTAACATAACGAGAATACAGACACACACACACACACGTACTCTCAGGTGTGTGGATGGATCGAGAGAAAAGAGAAGATATATATACATACATACATATATATGGATGTATGTATAAGGTGTGTGTGTTTATGTCACGTCGTTTGCTTTTTATACCCGTACTCAAAAAAGAGTTAAGGGGTATATTAGATTTGTGGTAAAAGTGGATGTGTGCAACGCAGAGAAGGAAACGTTTCCGACCCCATAAAGTATATATATTCTTGATCAGCATCAATAGCCGAGTCTATATAGCCATGTCCGTCTGTCCGTCCGTCTGTCCGACTGTCCGTCTGTCCGTCTGTCCGTCCGTCCGTCTTGATGAGCGCCTGGATCTCAGAGACTATAAGAGCTAGAGAAACCAAATTTTGTTTCCAGACTCATGTGATATCACACTGCTACAAGTGTATTTCAAAATTTCGCCCCGCCCCCTTCCGCCCACACAAAGGACGAAAATCTGTGGCAGGCACAGTTTTAAAGATACGATAAAACTAAAAACGCAGTATCGTAGAGAATGACCATATCTACCAGATTGCCGAATCTGAATCAGATCGGATAAAAATTATAGCCAAAATGAAGAAATTAATTTTCTGTTGCTTCCTCTGCATCCCCCTGCCAACGACCCGGTACCTATCTCTTTCTCGCTCGCACACTCTGCCGCGTTCAGTGCGCGAGCAACCCCTAGCGGAGGAGATGTAGAATCTAAATTTTACATGTACAATCTACATGTTAGATGTAGAATACACATTGTAGATGAGATGTAGATAACAAATGTAGCAAAAAAATGTAAAATGTAAAATTTTTTTTTTAATTCTAAAATTCTAAAAAATCATGCTCAAAAATGTATATACTGACTGAGTACGGGTATAAGTAGAGTCGCGTCCCCAGAAGCGACTCACACGTTCCTTCTCGTTTTTTTTGATTTTTGTTTTGGTTTTCGCGGCTGCTTCAATATTTTTTCTTAATATTTCTTTTACTTTCAGAGCGGCAGGGGGGCTGAGTGGTAGTGAAATAAGTGTGGTATAGATGGACAGGGGGAAAGGGATTGCTGCATTGGTGTGGATAACCAAAACCCTTGGAGAGTGCTTCTAGCACACTGCCAGAAACTGTCCCCCGAATGGACTATGTCCTGAAGGACTGTTTTCCGCTTTACTATTCTTCAATTCTTGAAAATATTCTCTGACGTTTAGTTGACCCAAAAATATTCTCTACGCTACACCATTTTTCTCTTTAATTCATATATTTGGGAATATCCGTAACCAATAGTTTTCTCTCAGTGTCATCCACGCTGGTTGCTGCTCATTTGTCTGGCCCGGCTCAGACGCAAGCTCTGCGCACTTCTGGAGCACTTCAGCTGCCACAGGGTCCAGGGTCTGGCCTCCTTGCACCATCTCCTTCTGCTGCTTCGCTCATTGTGTGCTCTTGACGAGCCTGGGTCTGTTGTGTTGGGTTGTGCGTAGGGCAGCCCAGAGATGAGGATGAGGATCAGAATGGAGATGAGGATGGGAAGTTCTTGCGCATGCGCAGCCATTGGCAAAGGATGTCTGTCCGTCTTGTCTTCAGTGTGTGTGTGTGTGTGTGTGTGTGTGTGTGTGTTGTGACAGGGATTGGAACTGCGACTGCGACTGAGATTGGGGATTGCCTTACCTTGTCGAGGACTACTGCATGGCTCCCCTCTCCCCAATCGCCACTCTCCACTCTTTCAGTTAGCGTTGTTAGTTGTTGTTAAACAAGCGAAACGTTGTGCCCGATAATGATCTACATGGGGGGGAATTGTACCGGAGGTGGTACGGAGTGGGGTATAAGCAGGCCAGGGCAGGCCAGGTCGAGGGCCCGCAGTTTAGCGTAGTGCGAACAGATGGCTCGAAAGAAGAAGAACACTCTGGGCAGATCCTGATCGAGGCAAAAGGCCAACCCAACGCCAGCGCGTCTCAATCAGTGTGTGGGTAAGCTTGCCTTGCCTTGGCTTGCCATTGATGAGGATGATGGAATGGAATGGACTGAGCTGAACTGGAATGGTATTGAGGGAGCGGATGAAGAGGTTTTCCAATGAACAGCACGCCTGACACCCGCCCGCTGTGTCAACTCAAGTGTGTGTGTGTGTGTGTGTGTGTGTGTGTGTGCTGTGAATGCAAGTCCTTTCCTTTGCCCGTGAGCCCGTGAGCCAAACAAAACAGAACCCAAACGGAATACAACAATAACAACAACAGCACATCACACCACCCAACCCCAGAGAACAGGCGAGTGTCTCTGTCTCTGTCTCTGCTCGCATCTCAAGTGCTCGCAGGAGGAGGCAATCATCAATCAAGGGACGAGGTACTGGGGAAGAGGGAACTGCTTCACGCCATTCAGCAAAATATTTCTGCGTATCCTGGTGTGCCTTATCACGCAATGGCGAGTCCTTTGAAAGTCATTAAACCTTCTCCGGCCCTTCTAGACCCATTTGAATGTCTGCGTGCTCTGTCCTTTGTGTCCTTTGTGGCACCCTCTTGAGCCCTGACAATGAAGATGTGAAAATGCACGCTTTCCCTGATGAGGCCACGGCCGGGATACAAAAGACAAACGCCAGGCAAAGGGGCATCACGTAAACGTAAACCCAACCCAAATCCAATCACGGACCTTAGTCCTAGGTCCGGTCTTCAGGCTCAGTCGCAGGCGCAGGCGCATAGACCGAGCGACGCCTTTTGTTTCGTCTCAAGTGCGTAAATTATTTCCTGGAACTTTACTCACACCGTTTACCGTCTGTCTGCTTACAGGTGATTGATATCGATCCCTTCTGGCTGCCCACAACCGAGGAGGAACTGATGCACTTCGGCGAGAAGGCGGACTCCGCCAACCGGGCCAAGGTCTACATGGACAGTGTGCGGCGTCGCAAGGGCCTCTTCGTGGACGAGCAGGTGGTGGAGCATGCCGAGAAGCAGCGCACCCTCTCCAAGAACAAGTGATTCAAGGTAAGAACTCATTCTATCTATCACCTATGTAATTTTATTGCTTCAAAAAAAAATTAGAGGGCAAGTGAGAGACAGCTTCCAGCTAGTATTTTTCCTCCTCTTGTGGCGTCGCCAAGGCCGTTTCGTTATTGGGGTTGATCAGGCCGCTCTCCTTCTCCGGCACTTCGGGCACGGCCAGTGAATGCTTACCCAGAACGATGTGAATGCATCTGCAAGAGAGTTGGATTCGTACCCGAAAGGAAATTACAGCTGGGACCACACTTACAGTATCAGAAGAAAGACCGTGAGCTGGGTGGCGATGGTCAGCATGAAGACGCTCCCTCCGTGGTTGGCGTCCAGGCTGGCGCGATAGATCTGCGAGTAGCAGACCCCACTGATGAACGGCACCGCATTGTCGCACACAGAGAGCAGGGCAAAGACCTTGCCACGCTCGGAAGTGGGGACTATCTTTGAGGTCATGGCCCGAATCATGGGACCCACAATCGGACCCAGACTGCAGACCACGGCCCCGGCATAGAGCAGCTTCGGAGTGGCAGCAAAGAAGTAGAACAGGCGGGCAATCGAGTGGGCCCAGGCACCAATGAAGATGATGATCTGTATCACGGAGATTAAGCTTGGATTTCTATTTGTGTTGTGTTGTGGTCTTACCGTATCACGCCACCCCAGAACCTTATTCATCAGCGGCACCGCCAGGAGCATGGCAATCACATAGGCCGACGACTTGAAGGTCTTGAAGCTGCTGAAGGAGCTCACCTCCCACTTGAACTTGTCCAGCGTGTACAGATACAGGTAGCTGCCCTCGTCCCGCTGGAATGTGTACAGCGCCATGCTGACGAGCAGGATGATGAGGAAGCTGCGTCGATGGCCCCGGCGGGGCTTCAGCAGCACGCTGAACGAGTCCTTAACGTGCTGCTTGTCGAAAAAGTCACCCCAAATGCCGCAGCAGCCCAACTCCCTCAGCGAGCGTTGTCGGGACGTGGTTTGCCACTAAGAAGGGTTCGAATGAAACAAGTTCTGGCTGGAATGTCAGACCGAACTCACCTTCAGGGCGAACAGAGTGTATAGGATGGCCAGTGCCAGCAGGGAGGCGTTGACCGCAAACATGTCCGCATAGGACTGATGGAAGGTGTTGTAGAAGAGATGCGAGCCCAGGGCCACGCCTGTGGGCATGGCACTCAGATACACCACGTCCAAAATGGTCACGCGGATCGTGCGCTGCTCCACCGTGGATACGTCCGAAATGTACGCAAAGCATGACGCAAAAATGGCCACATCGGCACCCGTCAGAGCCGAGGGCAGGGTGGCCGTGTAGATGATGTTCTGCACCGGCCAGTGCGGCATCTTGGCATTCACCACGATCATCGTGGAGTAGATGAACTTACCCACCAGGCCCATTAGCAGCGGCAGCTTTCGGCCGCGACGATCCGAGAAGGAGCCGAGGAACAGAGCCAGGATGATGGGGAAGATGTGGGCGGAGATGTTCTCCCACTGCAGGAACCAGGCGGTGGTGTCCAGTGACTTCTTCTTGTACGCCTCGTTCTCGGCCTTGTGGATGTTGGTGCAGATCGCCTCGCTGAAGTTGTTGTTCACGCGACAGGCCTTGTACAGGAAGAAGTTCTGCTCCACCACGGAGGTGATCATGAAGGCGAACATGTACAGGAACATGGTCGGCTCCACGGACGTAGAGGTGATGACGTGCCACAGCCACTGGCAGGCGGTGCGACGGCCGCCCCCCTCCGGTTGTTCCCGCACCACCGCCACTTCTCCGCCCACACTGCTGTTGGCGCTCGCTTGGCTACCGCTGCCAATGCTACGACGTCGCTGGGTTTCATTTCGAGCGCTTGCCTGAAAGTATGCAATTGAGAAGCTTTTCGTTTGAGAAGCTTCAAGCTAACGAAATTTCTCTCTGCTGGCAACGCCAAGCCAAGAACCTGAGACGAGGCTCTCACTGGGACACACACTCTAACAAGCCGAGTCGCAATCTCTACGCGGCGTTTTCACACATTTGAAGCGTTTACTTAGGGGAGAGGGTATACACAAGTTGCCAAGCACGATAGGCACTCGTATTGCTGGGTAAACAACGTGTTAAGCAAGGGTTTGCCTCTTGAATTACATTATTCAGAGTAAACCGTGTGCTGTCATGGGAATATCACCATTGGAATGTCGCCGCGTAGCACTGTGAATCAATATTGGAATCATCTATCACACATTTTTATCAAAAAACTTTTGTTCTTGGCACTCTGTAGTTTTCAAGGTCAGCCACAACATGTTGATGCTGTTGTTTCGAGTGGTTTTTCCTCTATCTGCTTTTCGAGCAGAACATCGCACATACGTAATCATCGAGAGCATTGCGATGCGCCAATTCGCGTCTGTTTTTTGCCGCGGAATATAATAATTAATTGAATTAAGCATTTGTTTGTCACTGTTAGTTAGCAGGCACTCACTCCGACTGCTTGATCCTCGTGCTTGTTAAATTTAGCCGGCACAAACAACAACAAATTGTTTTGCCGTTGGAATCACATTTGGCACTCACCTCTGTCGCGCTCATTTCGACTCTGCGCACACGCCGACGACGCACTCTCGCTCTCCGCGGTCTGTGAAAGATGTCGCAGCAAGGCTCTTATTATGGTGGAGGTTTAGACCTAAAGCGAAAGCTTTTATGCTCGCGCTCTCTTCTCGCCTCTCTTTGCAGCAGCTTTCGATTTGAATTTGAAAAGTAACCGCTTATTTAGCTTATCGCTAAAATTTTTTGTTTTGTTTTGTTTGCATGAGCCGCTCGAATTGGTCTGCCAATCAATATTTACACTAGCCGAGAAGGAAAGGCACAACAGTTATGGCTAGACGTTGGTTTTCTCCACTTTATCACACGTGGAAGGGTATTATTAGCACTGGCCTCACTGCTTTTTGCTCATTTAATTAGCGTTTCACCTCACTTTATTGTTTGGAGTTTCCAGGGGCTTATCTGCCGTAAAAGCCGCGCGTATGTTTTGTTCACTATCCGTTCAAGATCAATATTTCGCAAAGGGAAGATAGCCAAAGGCAGTGCCCACGATAACGGCGGCTATAAAATGTAATTATAGTCAAATTGATTTAAGATTTTTCGCAATTACCGTTCATTAAGAGCGATAACTGTTGTCTGGGGCCACTCAAACACGACTATAAGGATACGGCCAGCTCTAGCACTGACTAACTACACTGATTTACTGTTTACAATAGCCCTTGTTGTGGTCTCTCTGTATCAAATTTCACTCTGTTGTATAGCCTAGCAGAGGAAACTTTTGTTTAGCTGATATTTGTATTACACACAGTCTGGCTGGACAAAATATTTCCCCACTCGTATTCGTATTCCAACTTATCCGCACGATCGCCCGCCATCAACTCGGGAGCCAAGTTCAGCTCGGTTCATTCAATACCTCGGTCAGCACGCTTATCAGGAAAACGCTGATACTGCCAGAGTGTCGATTAGCGCCATGGATGGGGCATTCGATTTTCTGTTTATTTCTAAATTAAGGCAATAGATAGCCTGTTTGATTTTTCACATTCTGTTCTGTTCATTTTAGGTTTCTACAAAGCTACTTGCGATGACAATGGATTGCCGGAATATTTATCATATGCAGTCAGTCATTTGTACAAAACTAAATTGTTAAAAAAAAAAACGCAGCTTGTTTAAAATAAAGTGATTTATTTTTATAACTTTTTTAATAAAGATTTACTGGTACAAAACAGAAAAGTCTCATGTTTTTTTTTAGTTTAATTTGTTTTTTGATCCAGCAAATAAAACAAATAAAAGGCTACGATTATATCTACTGTAACTTTTTGTAGCTGCTTTTATAAGAGGTTGGCAAGAATTCTAGTCGACTAGGATTTCCATTTAAATCGGGGCTACGTCGGGTTACTAACCATACAGTATACACCGATTGTGTTGCAACTGAGTTTTCTGTCTGAGAACCCCTGGGCCTTTTTCGTTTCATATCAGTTGGCTTTTGTCAGCGGGCAATTGTAATTTTTCGTTTCATATCAGTCAGCTTTTGTCAGCGAGCGATTATAATTTTTCGTTTTATATCAGTCAGCTTTTGTCAGCGAGCAATTATAATTTATTCCTTTCATATAAGTCAGCTTTTGTCAGCGAGCAATTATAATTTTTCGTTTTATATCAGTCCGCTTTTGTCAGCGAGCAATTGTAATTTTTCGTTTCATATCAGTCAGCTTTTGTCAGCGAGCAATTATAATTTATTCCTTTCATATCAGTCAGCTTTTGTCAGCGAGCAATTATAATTTTTCGTTTTATATCAGTCCGCTTTTGTCAGCGAGCAATTAGAATTTTTCGTTTCATATCAGTCAGCTTTCGTCAGCGAGCAATTATAATTTTTCGTTTTATATCAGTCAGCTTTTGTCAGCGAGCACTTACATTTTTTCTTTCCATATCAGTCAGCTTTTGTCAGCGAGCAATTAGAATTTTTCGTTTCATATCAGTCAGATTTTGTCAGCGAGCAATTTTAATTTTTCGTTTCATATCAGTCAGCTTTTGTCAGCGAGCAATTATAATTTATTTCCTTTCATATCAGTCAGATTTTGTCAGCGAGCAATTATAATTTATCGTTTCATATCAGTCAGCTTTTGTCAGCGAGCACTTACATTTTTTCTTTCCATATCAGTCAGCTTTTGTCAGCGAGCAATTAGAAATTTTCGTTTCATATCAGTCAGATTTTGTCAGCGAGCAATTATAATTTATCGTTTTATATCAGTCAGCTTTTGTCAGCGAGCACTTACATTTTTTTTTTTCCATATCAGTCAGCTTTTGTCAGCGAGCAATTAGAAATTTTCGTTTCATATCAGTCAGCTTTTGTCAGCCAGCAATTTTAATTTTTCGTTTCATATCAGTCAGCTTTTGTCAGCGAGCAATTAGAATTTTTCGTTTCATATCAGTCAGCTTTTGTCAGCGAGCAATTGTAATTTTTCGATTCATATCAGTCAGCTTTTGTCAGCGAGCAATAATATTTTATCGTTTCATATCAGTCAGCTTTTGTCAGCGAGCATTTACAATTTATTTCCTTTCATATCAGTCAGCTTTTGTCACCGAGCAATTATAATTTTTTCGTTTCATATAAGTCAGGTTTTGTCAATGAGCAATAAAAACATTGTTTTGGTTTTTTTTAAATTTTTATTACATTTTTTCTGCATTTTTACATTTTTCCTAAATTTCCATTTTACAAATTGAAGAACCCACACAAGCACAGTATGTGAGAATACTTGGCACACACACACACAGAGCCGAAGGCCCTGGGGTGCTGGTACAGAAAACTCAGCTGCGTCACAATCGGTGTAGGTACTCCTAGATCCATGACATACTTTCAGGAGGTTCGGAATTTCGCAAATTATCGTTTGGGGTTGGTTTTAGTCTTAAAAAGTATGGCATACTTTCCGGCCGAAATTTCACTATTAAAAAAAAAGCGTTAAAAAGAGGTGAAGTGATGGTTTCAAAAGTTGGCGACATATTCTTCCAGTCAAGAGGAGACATATCACGAAACAACGGAACATCGACAAAAATTTTTGTTATAGAATAATTTTGTTGTTGTTGTACAACAATCGACAACAACAAGGCAGTTTTGTTTTCAGTTTTGTCCCCAGCCATAAAAATGTACTGTTCTACGCTATTTCTGGGCCGATAAAATAACTGCTTTATGTGATGTTTTCTACGCTGTTAATGGCATGCTACGCCTTCTCGGGATCGCCTTCATCGATTAAATTACGATAAATATATATAAAAATAATATATTAATTAGTCTATGAACGAGAAACCCAACTAAATAGCAGGTAAATAGAATCGGATGGGCAGATGGTGTGCGTGATAATACTGGGTATCTTTATTGGGCACTCATAATGGAATCCGACGCGATGGTGTTGGCATAGCTGCTAGTGAGCTTTGCATTTATTACTGAATCAACTTCTCAGCTCTCTTTTGGCAGATGAGTGCGAAAGTGCCGAGCACAACAGAGACGAGAATCCACTCCCCACCGATGAGGCATCGTGGCATTCCTACCGCGGTTCCAGCGGTTCCCGATTGCTGCTTGGCTGCACTGCTGCCTATGGCTTGCGGGGCTTCCCAATGGATTGGCTTGGCCGGGACTTGCGCTGCTGCTTCTGCTGCTGGCAATGGTAATCGGAGACGCTGCCTAAGTCCGCTGCTTCGACAGCGAGCGGTAGACAGCAAGACGATCAAATGCTGCCTGCTGTCAGGGCCACCCTAAAGATTGTGGAGCTGTATTTGCATTGCCGAGTGTTGCTGTTGCTGGTGATGGGGACGACTTCTCGGCCGGCTGTAGTTGTAGTTTAGTTGATGCCCAGCTGTGGCACGCTTCGGTTCGAGTAAAACGCATACTCCCCCGCTCAGGATTAAGGTTTATCTAACGCCAGAAAATAGTTATGTCTGACTCAGATAGCAAGCTCATCGATGTGGAGAGCGGACCGCCGCAGGAGCAGCACGAGCTGCAGCTCGTGGTGCCAGTGGCCAACAGCAACAGCGAGATCCCCAGCCTGGACAGCACACCAAAGCTCTCGAAGCGCAACAGCTCGGAGCGCAGCTTGCCCCTCAGGAGCTACAGCAAGTGGTCACCCACCGAGCAGGGCGCCACTCTGGTGTGGCGGGATCTGTGTGTCTACACCAACGTGGGTGGCTCAGGACGTGGCATGAAGCGGATTATCAACAACTCCACGGGGGCTATCCAACCGGGCACCCTCATGGCCCTCATGGGCTCAAGGTGAGTTCGAACCAAATAGCCAGTTGTTGAGCCAGTAGTAATCGATAGGGCTCTTCGCTCCAGCTCCAGTGCCAATGCACTCGAGCGGAAACTAGCTGCCCGATGAGGCCCGAAAATATGTCTTAAGTATGTCATGATGATGTTTGTACTCGTGATAAGCAACAAAATCTCTGCTGGATCTCGAAACTGGTTTCTTTCACTATCGTTCATCACAATTCACACACAACTTTCCCATTCCCATTCCCAGTGGCTCGGGGAAGACAACACTCATGTCAACACTTGCCTTTCGACAGCCCGGTAAGTAGTTATTCTTAGTAGTTTTGATAAGATAAGATAAGATCTGTCTTTGCTTTGGATCTGGTCTGGAATCTCGTTGGAATCTGCCCTGCAGCCGGGACTGTGGTTCAAGGCGACATACTGATAAACGGGCGACGCATCGGACCATTCATGCACCGCATCAGTGGCTATGTCTACCAGGATGATCTCTTCATCGGTTCGCTCACGGTGCTCGAGCATCTCAACTTTATGGTTAGCTTTAATCTCATCCACCGATTACGTGCAACTATTTAACTAGAGCTCTTCTCCTTCTCGGAAAGGCCCATCTTCGCCTGGATCGTCGCGTGTCCAGGGAGGAGCGTTGCCTCATCATCAATGAGCTGCTGGAACGCACGGGACTCCTCTCGGCTGCACAGACCCGCATAGGCAGCGGCGATGACAAGAAGGTGCTCTCCGGAGGGGAGCGCAAGCGTCTGGCGTTTGCCGTTGAGCTGCTCAACAATCCCGTGATCCTGTTCTGCGATGAGCCCACCACCGGCCTGGACTCCTACAGTGCCCAGCAGCTGGTGGCGACGCTGTACGAGCTGGCCCAGAAGGGCACCACCATCCTGTGCACCATCCACCAGCCGAGCTCCCAGCTCTTCGACAACTTCAATAACGTGATGCTCCTGGCCGACGGCCGTGTGGCCTTCACGGGCTCGCCCCAGCACGCGCTCAGCTTCTTCGCCAATCACGGCTACTACTGCCCGGAGGCCTACAATCCGGCCGACTTTCTCATCGGTGTCCTGGCCACGGATCCCGGCTACGAGCAGGCCTCCCAGCGATCGGCCCAGCATCTGTGCGATCAGTTTGCCGTCAGCTCGGCGGCCAAACAGCGCGACATGCTCGTCAATCTGGAGATCCACATGGCGCAGTCGGGCAACTTTCCGTACGACACGGAGGTGGAATCCTTCCGCGGCGTGCCCTGGTACAAGCGCTTCCACGTGGTCTGGCTGAGGGCCACGCTGACGCTCTTCCGGGATCCCACCATTCAGTGGATGCGATTCATCCAGAAGATTGCCATGGCCTTCATCATTGGCGCCTGCTTTGCCGGCACCACGGTGCCGAATCAGTTGGGCGTGCAGGCTGTCCAGGGAGCTGTCTTCATCATGATATCCGAGAACACCTACCATCCGATGTACTCCGTGCTGAATATCTTCCCCCAGGGATTCCCACTGTTCATGCGGGAAACCCGCTCGGGCTTGTACTCCACGGCGCAATATTATATAGCCAATATTCTGGCATTGGTGAGTCCTTGGTCCTCGATTGCCATGGCTTATTTCAATTTCATTTGTTCCGATCAACAGCTGCCTGGCATGATCATCGAACCGCTGCTCTTTGTCATCATCTGCTACTGGCTGACGGGTCTGAGGTCCACCTTCTATGCCTTCGGGATCACTGCCATCTGTGTGGTTCTCGTGATGAATGTGGCCACCGCCTGCGGCTGTTTCTTCTCCACTGCCTTCAACTCGGTGCCGCTGGCCATGGCCTATCTGGTGCCCCTCGATTACATATTCATGATCACCTCAGGCATCTTTATACAAATTAGGCACGTATTGCCAGTTCTTTTGGGGAGCCTGACTTTCATGGCGTCTTCTTATCTCCTTTATAGCTCACTGCCTGTGGCCTTCTGGTGGACGCAGTTTCTCTCCTGGATGCTGTACGCCAACGAGACGATGACTATTGCCCAGTGGTCGGGAGTGCAGAACATCAGTGAGTGACATCATAAGTTGGGTGTCAGCACTCTAAATAATTTATTCTTCGTGCTCCTTTCACAGCCTGCTTTGAGGAGAGCGATGATCTGCCCTGCTTCCACACCGGCCAGGATGTGCTCGACAAGTACAGCTTCAACGAGGACAATGTCGCTCGCAATCTGCTGGCGTTGGTGGGTCTCTTCTTTGGCTTCCACCTCTTGGGCTACTACTGCCTCTGGCGGCGCGCAAGGAAGCTGTGAATCGTGTGAATCGCTTGCTGTAAATAGAATGAATGACCCAATAAATAGTTTCCATATACATATGCGTATAGTTTATTAACACATTTACATTGACATTTGACATTGACTTAACCCACGGTAAGTAGTATATCAACATTAAATTTAACATCAAAGCTAATCAACGCACGCACACATAAACGGTATCTGTATCTGTATATCTGTATCTGAATCTGTATAAACTACATAGTAGAGGATACTTTGCACTTAGTTAAATTATATTTAGTTCGTAGCTGGAGCTAGAGCTAGAGTCAAAAGTGGGCCCAGCGGGCGTTCGTTTTTTACGAGTTTTCGAGTTAAAACTAAGTAACAAAAAAAAGTTTATCAAGTTATCAAATAATTTATGCATCCTAACGTTCTTTTTGGTTTTTGTTTCATAGAAATCACAGCGAGAATTTTTTTTTGTTTGGTTTGCTTTACTCATAAATATTATAATTTATTTTGTGCATCAATTATGATGCTCATAAACTTTAAAGTGTGTGTGGTGTGTGTGTGTGTGTGGATGCTTTCAGCAACATTGAGTTGAGACATACAATAGTACAGAGACATCGAAACACATTTAACGCACATATAAAACGATTTGGATTTACGGCAATTAACGCTCTAGTTATTATTCGTATTTGATACTCTTTGGATTTACATTTATCGCAGGATAATTGCATAATTATCATTTGCGCAACAATTAAAAATAGTTTTGCTGTTCGGATTTCAATTGACACGAGTTCTGTTCGCGCTTAAATGATGTCAGAGAGAGCGAGAGAGAGAGTGCAGTCCATAGACAGTCCCAAAAGTTAAGATATCTCTATTAAATATAGAATATATAGCTCTCGATATGGTTATCGCTGGAAAATAGTTCCATTCGTTTCATGGATGGGCTGCCGGGACTGTCCATAAACTTCATCTGTTTTTGCGTGGGGAATGAAAATGAATTTGGTATCCATTTTGTGCAGAGTCTGGTTTCATTCTAAGACTGATGGGCCAAGGTTTACTACGGTACGGTTAATGGTCATAGGTTCAAGCTGGTTATCTATTTTGAGTTTGGATATTTCGGGATCTGGAAATCATTTACCATTTGCATTTCCCACCTTATTCATTAGTTATTCTCTCGTTTCGTTATAATAAACATTAAATTCGATTTGTTCTGCACACTTACCCGATGGATGCCCATGGGTCTGGGGGATGCGAGATTAAGTAGCTGCGCTCTGAAGGCCCAACTTAGAACCAACTTAGGAACCTTACACACCTACTCCGCGACTCCATTGCTACTCTGCTTACAACCTATTCGGATATGATAGACTAACGATCCGCTTTGGTGCCCCGTTGCAGTGCAGTTCTCTGCTTTCGTACTTTAGTTTTTCCTGTGTGTGTGTGTGATATGGAAACGTTGCGGGCTAAACTCTAAACTCTTTAACTCTTTCATTGAATGGCATGCCTGAATGAAACGCTAACTGAGGAACAACACGTAAAGCTACATTAAATGCGAGATCATACGTATAGACGGGGGGCGGGGCGCGGGGGCGGGGCGGCTAAAGGGGTTGGCTGGGGGCCAATACTGATGTGGCATCCCAATCATCCTACAATAAACCATAATATTCTCTACGAGTATCTACGGGCTGTCTAGCTGTCAGCTTTGGGCCTGCGGCTTTGTACATATTTACATGGTTGGCCGGGCACGGGCATCGCATCCCCTACGTGCTCACATCCTGAAGGAACCCCGCCCGGGGGCTGCTGGCGCCTGTTCCCGCTCCCGTTCCCGTTCCCGCTCCGACCGTGCTGCTGATGAGTATCATGCTGCGGCTGTTGGGCAGCACAAACACCTCCGTTGTGAGCTGTCCAATCGGACTCATCGACTGGGATGTCCTGATGGGACTGCGATTCGGCTCGAGCGTGGCGGTCTTGGGGTGCCAGTCCTGCGAGGCCTCTGTCGAGGATTGGGTTGCCGCACTGCTCTCCAGGGTTCCCGGCGCCGTCTGGGTAGAGCTCTGGCTCTCGTTAGAGAGCAGCCGCGTGGTGGTGGTGCTGCTGCAGATGGCCGAAATGGTGGTCACCGATCTGCGTTTTCTCTGCTGCTGCGACGGCTGCGTCTGCTGCGACAGAGACTGCGACTGGGAGGATGTGGCTGTGGTGGTCAGCGTCTCAGTGACATTGAAGCACACGATGGTGTCCCTCTTCCTCAGAGTGGTGGTGGCGGAGGCAGTGACGCTGCCTGCCGCCAGTGGTGGCATTTCCCCCCTCAGATTCTGCTGCTGCTTGTTGCTCAGGTCCGACAGACTGATGTTGTTCTTCAGCAGGATCTCCAGGTTCTCAATGGAGTCCTTCAGGCCGCTCTTCTCGTCCCTCGCTATCTCATCCCTCAGCTCCGCCACCAGGGTCCGTGGTGGCGCTGTGGGCGTGGCCGCCGACTTGCTGGTCGCCCCACACTCGGAACAGTTGTCCGTGAGATTCGGATTGGCGTTGCGCAGGAGGGTGGGCAGGGCTCCGATGGTCGTCACGCTGGAGCTGTTCGAGATGCTGGGCGTGATGCCCGTGGAGCTGCTCACCGTCGTGCCGAAGGAGGACGAGATGTTGTGCTGTCGGCAGAGGGACTTCCTGCGCTGCGCCGTCAAGTTCTGCATGTTCGAGTTGAGATCGATGTCTGGTGAGGGCAGGAGATCGTCCTCATCCTCATGCTCATCCAGCTGATCTTTGGGCAGCTGCTCCTGTTCGGCCATCTCCTTCTGCGGTGGGCTGCTTCCTGCTCCTCCTTCGCCCTCCTTCACGAGTGTCAGTGTTTTGGGCGGCTCTATCTCTGCCTTGGTTGGCGCCTCCTCTCTGATGGCAGCGGGTGGTTCGATGGGCTTCTTGCCCTTGAGGAAGTAGGTGATCATGGAGCCCTTGCCCTTGACATTGACGCTGCCGCGGCACGTGAGCTCGAAGCCGCGTCCCTCTAGGATCTGCTGCGTCTCCTGAGTTACCTGTGAAAGACACGAAAGAGCGGGAAAAGTGGGAAAACAAGCGATAACATAAATTCCGGTTGACAAGTTCAATGGCTGCTGCTGCTGCTGCGGCAGGACCTCATTTATTCGCACACGCAAACGGGGTGGGGTGGGGTGGGGTGGCTCCATATTTCATGATAACGCTGTTGACACTCTACCCCTACCTCCCCCAGGGAGGGGCAACCCATCCGACCCACCCACTTGTCGCACGCTTAATAATTTATTTCCTTTGCAAATTCTTTTCTGTTGCCTTTGCGTCGTTTTTATTGGCGCCAGGCAAATAAAATCAAATGCGCATTTGTATCTGTAACTGTAAATGTATCTGTATCTGCACCCACACAAAAATACATATATACACATGTATCTGTGTATCTGTGTACCTGTCTACCGTCACTGGCATTTTTTTCTGTATCTGTATCTGTGCGTTTTGCCTGTTGAGTTCGCCTGTCACTTTTGGGAAAAGTTTTTGCTGACACTAAAAAACTTTCCGCTGAAAATGGTCAACCATTTCCACTCGCTGCCATTGATTAGACGGGAGTGGTTACGCCACTCCCCAAAAAAGTTTCAGGTGAAACTTTGGTCCAGAGATTTTGCACAGTTTTAAGAGCCATCTCGAAAACTTTTGATAATAAAAGTGCGGCTGGGAAATCGCGCTGCTTGAGCTCGAGTGCCCGCGTTTAGCTGGTAATTAAATCAAGATCGGGTTCGGGTTGAGCACTCACCTGGATGTGATCCACAAGGCCCGTGGAGTCCATGCGAGAGGCCACATTCACGGCATTCCCCCAGATGTCGTACTGCGGCTTGCAGGCCCCGATGACGCCCGCCACCACAGGACCAATATTGATGCCTGCAAAAGAACGGAAATCCAAATGAGTGGAGAAAAAAATTCCGATTGAGAGCCTCACCTATGCGCAGCCGAAAGTTGTTGAAGGAGTGCATGTTGACCTCCTCAATCTTGTCGAACAGCTGCAGGGCATAGTCGGCCATGGCAGTGACGTGATTGAAGTTGACCTGGTCGCAGGTGCTCACCGTCAGTCCGGATGCCGCCATGTAAGTGGCGCCCGTGCTCTTGATTTTCTCAATGCAACTGCGGGGAAATGGGCGGGGTGATAAAGCGGAAGTGGAAAATGAACAAACCTCTAAGCGGGTTCGGGAAGCGGATGGCAGCAAAGTGGAAACTGAAAAGTGGAAGGTGGAAGGTGGACTCACCGGAAACGCTCTTCGCTCAGCAGTTCATCGAAATCTGCTATAATCTCGTTGAGCAGACGCAAGCACTCGACGCCCTCGTTATTGCCCTCCAGCTCCACATAAAATTCGGAGAAATTCGGAATGCTGGCAAACAGGATGCACACGGAATCGCATTGCTCGTGATACAAATCCTGCAAAAGTCGGCACAAAATTAAATTATATATTTATCTGCTGGCAAAGCAGATTTTCCGCAGCTGTCTTTCTGCACTGCAGTGTGCACTGGGATGAACAATTTTGGGATATATGTATGTAAATATGGAATAACACTTGCACACTGCTGGCAAACATTTTGCTGTGGGATTACGAAGATTTTACTTTGCTAGAAAATTTGTTTTCAAACACCGTTCCTTCCTCCGTTCTTCTACTTCTCCTTCTATTCAACAGACGCTCTTGCCGCTCTGTTCTAAGCTCTCTTTCTGCCGGTTAGCTTATAGTGATCATTTCATTTCGCTAAGTGAGCTATGCTTTTTGGCAGCTTAAATGGCAGCTCATTGTCAGAGTGTCGTGTCGCACCACTCTGTTGCCATTTCAGCTATCAAATATCGCTGCTTAGCTTGCTGGATTTGCATTTAATGCGGGAACATGTGCCTCACCTCACCTCTCCAACACACCACACACACCACCCGTTGGCAGGTGCTGTGGATGATTTTCAGGCACCGCACTCACATGCGGTCGCATCGGCAACCACCTCTACTGCTCGACTGCTTCCAAGCAGTGCCCCGCATTGGTCCACGCAGATTCCATCCTTCGTTATTACCGTTGCCCGTGCCCCTGTCCGTGCTTATTCTCCCTCTTTCTGTCGCTTGTGCATTTTGGCGCAGATTTCACAGCCGGAAAGTTTTTTAATATGTTGATACATGCATCATGAACATACATACATACATATGTACGAATACTAAAACTATATATGTACATATGTACGCATGTACTATGTATATAGCTTATGGCTATAAAATGAGTGTAGGTACATATACATATATGCATGATTATATGAATAAATATGTAGTACGAGTATACTCACATCGAGGTGCTTTTCGCGGCTCAGGAAATGCTCGGCCACGTGAACGGGCAGAATGTTTTCAAGCAGTTTACGGTTATAAGCCTGCAAATGTTCCATATCCTCCTTTTCCTCTGCAAAACCAGAAGCAGAAAGGAGAGAGAGAGAGAGAGCAGAAGAACAAATTGAAATATCAGTTTATCTGTTTACCGTACCGTACCGTGGGAGTAGCAAAATCACATTGCGAGAGGGGGATAGGTGCAGAGAGAGAGAGCCGTAGAGTCGTGGGTTTATCAGTGAGAGAGAGAGGTAGAGTGGGAATGGGAATGAGAGCAGGTAGGTATGCAATTGTGCACTAATACTAATGAAGTGGCTCACATGTTGAGCGGCACTGAAACTTTTGCACTTTCTGCACTGTGTCTCTCTTTCACTTTACCCCCCTCTCTCCCACTCACAAACCTAACTAACAGCTGAGGGGGGAATCATTGCAAATGAGCGACACTGTGTCAAACGGAATAGAGAACAGAACATCATCATCATGATGGTTATGAGCCGCCGCTTTTGTTGTTAAATTTTAATCAGCTAAAATGATTTGAGGGTTTTCGTTTCATTAGACAGGGAAAGTTTGGATGGATTCTGCACTCGAAAATGTTGAAGCATATTTAAATTAAGGGATTGTTTCATGTTCCATTGCTTTCACACTCATTTGGCTCATTTAATTATCGTTTTATCTGCACTCACCCGTTGCCTGCAGTTTCCAAATGAAATCCAAGCGATAGGTGGCCTCCGTCTGGTGGCTGTGGAAGATGAGGGCCAGCATGAATGCAAAGAGGAAGATGCAATCAATTATGTAGCGCAGCAGAGCCTCCTCATTCCTATTCCATTAGCAGCAGTTAACGTTGCAATTCCAGTGGCAGTAGCGAAGGTTGCAGGCAGCCCCAAAAAATGGCGATAATCACAAAGTTATTCCAGTCCATTAAAGCGCAATGCAATGGCAAGAAAGTGAAGGAAAAGTAGACAAAATCAGGAAAGAAAGAAGAGCAGCAGCTGCAGCATCTGGCAGAGGCGGATGCTCGAGTTCCAGTTGGGGCCCCAAGTGCTAAATAAAATTTTAATGCGGTTTGCGGCTGCAGTAAATGCATTTCCATACCCCACCGACCCACTGAAAACCCAGCTGAACTTCGAGACCCAACTGAAATTGCATTACGGCATAATTCGTTTTCATTCGCCGGCAGCAACCCGAGGGCAGGGCAGAGCACAGAGATGGGGCAGATACTTACGCCAACTCATGACTGATTTCCTTGCTGCGCGCATATAAATAGAAGGAGCAGGCCATGTAGCTGCCGGAGGCCAGCAGCAGGAGCATCAGCTTGAGCAGGATCCGCAGTACTTGGTAGGTGGCACAGCTCATCATCGAGAGCAGGGTGAGCAGCAGGAATGTCTGTTCTGAATCAGGAAATTATAACTCCAGCAGCTATGCCACTCACTCACATTGTACGCCAGATAGAAGTCGCAGTCGGGTGCCTCCGCAGACTCTGGGGCCAGCATCTCCTCCAGACTGTATTCGGTGACATTCACCTCCATCCAGAAGCGGTGGCTTTCCAGCAGCTCCAGCTGCCGCGAGGATTCCTGCAACTAGAGGCCGAAACATAGCGAAACATTCCCTAATTAGCTGCTGGGCCATAAAGAACACATTAGAAAAGTTTAACGATCTGTGGGCGAGAGATTCGCCCGAATGGCAGTGGCTGTCCATTAAATGCGGCCTCCCGAAATGAATACGAATGCCTCTTAAAGTGTCGTCAAGCACACAGTTCGAGGAACCCTCGCCTCGACTCTGTCGAAACCCCACAAAGTGACAACGAAATGTCAAAGAACTCTGAGGCCGAGACTTTGCACAGACAAAAGGCCAGGGGGCAGGTAACAAGTTGCCCATAAAGCCACCTCTCACCTAATCAGAGCAACGCGGTGAGGGAGAGGGACGGCGGAGCATCGGGAAAATTCTTGTTTTTCCCAATGGCCAACTTTAATGGAAAAACTTTTGTTTTGGCGCGCCCCCAAACAGCAGCAAAAACAGAAAAAAAAAAAACAAGATGCAGAGTAAACGCAACAAGCGCGCCCCAAATTTTATTTCGACTACAAAAACGCAAATTTTATTTTTATTCGTTTCTAAGAGGGTCGCCTAAATACCCTGCCTACCGTTGCCCCCTACATTTTGCGAGTGGGAAACTTTTGCCCAGGAGAGATTCCTGAAAAATGCACAGCCAAATGGAGAGGAAAGGAAAGGCTGGCAGTCCCTTGGGCTGCTAGGTAATCTGGAGTGACTTCAACTTGTGGAGATTATCTACAAATTTCCCTAAGCCTCATCCTAGCGTGGGTACGCTCTAATGATACCCTCACCCTCCTATAATTCCTATTTGGCGCATATGCAGAAAACAACTTTGGGGGGAAACAAAACAAACTTTTATAACACAAAAGGAGCAAAAATTGTTTGACAAATATGTCAGCATTTGTCCGAATCTTTAGACAGAAATATGACAGAACAGCAACCATATTTCATCTTGATCTGCAATATATTGTACGCAAAACTTTCGATATTTGTATAATTCCATTGAATTCCCTTTGAAGGATTTCGCCAATTAAATTTAAATGTTGTAAATACATTTTCTTTGGGCCATTTTTTTGTTTTTGTACGCTTAAAATATTTATGCCATAAAGTTAATAGAGTTTAAAACGCCCTCCCCGCTGTATCCCCGTATCACTGAATACTCACCATGGCCAGGAGGGTGGTGAGGACTATCAGGGCGACGCTGGCGAAGGCGAAAAACTGCGATATCCTGCGATTGCTGTGAATGCGCAATGAGAAGCGTTTGATGTCCGATGGCAGCTAAAAAGTTGCGGAATTCGTCGAATGAAAAATGCAAAATCCAGCCCCCGTCCCCACGCTGCTTGTGTGCTTACCTGAAAGTTGATTTTATGACATGCCACCAGAAATACCAGAAATATCAACAGCAACAGCGCCACCAGGGACAAGGCCAAAGTCAGCAGGGAGCTGCAAAAGAATATGCGGGTGTGGAGAAAGGTGGGGAAAGTGGCATGGTAAAGGGGTTCGAACAGGGCGAGCAGGGGAGCAGGGGAGCAGGGGAGCATGGATAGTTGGCAATATAAATAAAACAACATTTTGGCAACATATTTGGAAAAGACTGAAAAGAGCCAAAGAGCCCAAAGGGCAACGCTTCGCTTGGACGCCCTCTCTTTTATGCAGAAGCAAATATGAACAGAAAGGAGACTCCTTCTCTCTCTCCTCCAGCTCTTGGCCCTTCCACTCACCTCTGGAACACCACCAGTCGCATTAAGCTGGTGCCGAGAAGGACCAGCAGACTGCAGTAGAAGTACACACACAACATGCGATCCGGTTCGCTGGCGTACTGCAAAACAGAAAGGACAACAAGAAGAGCGAAAGTTGTAATTTTAAAGGATAACTTTGGCGCAGCATAGGGATGGCACAAGCCCATCGAAATTTATCTTAGGTATATGTATGTATTGTAGATTTAATGTACCTTCCTCTCCAGCACAGTCTTCTTGAAGCACAGCAGCAGGGACTGGCAATGCTCGGCTCTGAGATGATCAATGCTGCGCGCATCGATGGCACGCATCAGATACTCATTCACCTCATCCTCGGGATCCTTGGTGCTCTCCGAACTGTCACCAAAACCGAACCTAAAAGGGAGTAATACCAATTAGAGGCTTAGGTGGAATCTGTGGCATCTTACTTGGATGAATGCTTCTGGGCAGTGCCATGGCCCATCATGCGCAGCTCCTTGGATATGTTGCCATTCACTTGCAAGCGATTTCGAGACTTTTTGTGCTTAAAGAGGAATAAAGAGGATATAGATACCAGATACAGATACCAGATACAGAGGCAGCCACAGATAATTGAGTTAACTTACTGGTCTGTAGATATCCCCTGGCACAATGAGATACGTTTCTATTTGATGATCCTTGAGATAGGAATTGCGTTCGGCGCCCTTGCCAACCTCCACCTCGTAGTCGCCATCGAGACATTTCAGCGTCTCCTTGGTGATGTGAACGCGTCTGCAAAGGAGAAAAAGCGGACCTGCTTAAGTTCTCCCTCTCGTGTCGTGCCACATCCCACGCCAACACCAACACCCACGCGGATGCGGATGACAACTGCAGTTAACCGCAGCTGCAGCAGTAGCCGCAGCAGCAGCAACTCGCATTACATGCCACACAAGCTGCCACTCTCCCTCTCTCTCTCTCTCTCTATCTGCACTCTGGGTAAATAGTTTTTAATGCTGCTCCACAACGGCTGCCATTTTCCACTCCCGGAACGTGGCACGTGGCACGTAAAGCAACTTCATGTTGTTGATTCTATTGATAATTACATGACGCTTTGTTATGGATTGCCACCAGTGCCACCATTGGACCCTGCACCCTGACTGCATTCTGTCCTGCAGCTAACGAAGTTTTTACATGCGCTCCACTCTCGACTCAGTGGCTGGCCACCAGGCCAAATTGCAGCTTATCAGGCAACCACTGAGCCACCCACCACTGCACCCAACTATTGCAGCTATTTGCTTTTAATTTCACCCCCCAGACAGGGGCTAACAAACGAGCTGCCGTAGCTGTAGCCATCGTTGTAGCCATCGCTGTAGCCATCGCTGTGGGTGACCCAAATAAACTCAACAGTTACTTAAACTTCCACCCAAAGTCCAAAGTCGCAGCGTGAATATTCAAAAACTCAGAACACAAGGAAGAGCGCGGCGGCTCGAGAGTATTGACACTTTGGATACCCCTTAAACTTACATTCCACGTGCTCCTACATCCACAATTCGATCCATCCTGGTACCAACTATGGAAATGAAATGAGCTCGCTCCATGCTAGTCTCACATATGTAGTTGCTCATGCCTCTGCCTCTGCCTCTGGCCGGTACCAGCATACCCTCTCAAAGCTCCATTTGCTCTGGCAGGGTATGCCAGGAACAGAAACAAATTGCTCAAGTGTTGAAGTGAGCGCAAGTGCAGCTGAATCAACAGCAACAGCAACAAAATATTGTTGCGGGGGCACTTATCAGTGGCACCGCTTGGTCGCTTGGTCGCATGGTTGTGTGGGTGTTTGGGTGCTTGGGGGCGTGCCGCAAGCCGCACAAGAGTTCTGTGTGTGCGTGGGCTATAATCGATTGGGTGGCGATCCTTAAAGGGGCTGGGGTTTGGGGGCTGTGTGCCAAAGCCACTCGTAAGTTACCAATAACTTGACACCCGCTTCTGGCTGGCTGTTTGGTTGCTGCCACGACAAAGACGCATGCAAAATGTGTGTGCGGCAGCGGCGGCGGCAATTACAACGATTACAGCGAATAGCCACACCCTTGAGCGGAAGGAGGAGGACCGCAGAAGAGGAGGCGGCAGCGACACTTTTGGACTTTCAAGTGCCATCGTGGAAGGTGCTCGAGAGAAACTTTTGGCCAGGAACGACGAGCCCAACGTGGCTTTAATTGCGCGCAATACACAAACGGAAGTGGCAGAAACTTGTCAGAGGAGGAAAGCACACACACCCCCCCCCCCCCTGCCGCTACCGCAGCTCTGCAACTGTCTAGTAGAGAACGAAGGGACGACGACTGCGACTGCCCTTCATGGCCATTATTCACAGCTGTCGCCAGAAGTGGCACACAAACTGACCCAACCGACCAAGAATTGAGATTTTCAATGGATTCAAAGGGATTTGCAATGGCATTCGCAGGGAATGGCAGCAAAATTAAATGAAATTGAATGGGATTTCCCCTTCCCTGGCCTTCCCTGGCCATCCCTTGCCCCAAGATGTCTCTGGATCTCTCTCTCTCTCTTAAAGACAATGGGAACCCCTAATTAATTGGATAAATGTGTGATGGTAGGTGGGGACTTACCCGGGAATGCCGCCGCTCTCCATGTGATTGGCCAGGGTCACGTCGTTGGACCACACATCGAACTGCCACTTGACCAGGCCCAGGACGCCGCAGTGCACGCGCCCCGTATGGATGCCCACTCGCATGTTCACATTGACGGCCATCACCTCGCGGACCAGCCTAAAAAGGGAAACAAGATACAAAGGGAAGACAGCCGCAACAAAGCCGCAAACATCAGCATCGCATATCGCATCCTTTTGTGTCCTGTCCTGTCCGCATGGATAGGATAAGGATACTCACGCAATGGCGTCAATCATATCGAGTCCCATTTCCACAGCACAATGGGCGTGATCCGGCCTTGGCTCCGGCAAACCAGAGACACAATAATAGCAATCGCCCAGCAGCTTAATGCGGAGACAATGATGCTCCGCAGCCAATCGATCAAAGCTGCAACACACACACACACACACACACACGGAGGAAGCAAGAGGGAAATGAAAATGAAACATGTGAAAAGTCAAAAAGGAAATCGAATCGAACGGCCATAAGTAATTTAAATTGGCCCTTTAAGGACAGCGTTTAAGCAAGTGGAATCCATCCATCCGGCCTTAACCGAGCCACTTGTTACTCGCTCACTTTGATGAGGCTGCCTCGGACCCGAGGTCGGGGCTGTACGCGTACTCTGCATTCCCTCGAAGCAATTAATACAGCCGCAGGCTCTGTCTGGCAGGAACTTCCAGCCGAGACGGGCACACACTCAGTGGGAGTTTTTCCCCATTAATTATAGCCACAAGCCTCCTAGCTAGTCGTGGCAGATGGACAGGATACTCGCACTCGTTGCTGCGAAGGGAAATACTCACCGGGCGAAGAGCTCGTTCAACAGACGCACCAGTTCCTCGGCGGTGCACTGATCCGAGAGGCTGGTGAAACCGCAAATGTCCGCAAAGAGAATGCTGCAAGGCAAAACAGGGAAGAGGAAAGTGAGAGAGACAGACAGACAGACGGGCAGGCAGGAAAAACCATGCAACAACAAAAGAAAACGCCGTTGCGTTTATATTACAAAACTTGCGGTTCCCTCGACTCGATGTTGATACAAGTCTTGGGGGAGAAGGGGGCACAGCACAATCATCTTATTCCATCTGTGTGTGTGTGTGTGTCTTTCTGTCTATTTCTGCGTGCGTGTGTATACAGTAAAAGCTCTGCAAATGGACGGACAACTGCCGAGAATCCATCCATTATAGGCAAAACATTCCGCCAAAGGCTTTCCACTCTCATAAGTAATACATTTTGGGGGATTTTCTACTGTAATCTATTCAAGCTGCTTGAATAGAATTTTTTAATAAAATTCAACTGATACGCTTTCCCCCCCTCCCTGCTGTAACACTCACTACATTAGCTCCCACTCCACACTACACTCCCCTTGGCTGAGAATTATTTCCCCGTTGTCTTGAGGCCTGAATTATTGTGTTGGTTATTTATTCTCGTAAATCTAATGATGGCAAATCCTTTACTTGTACGAGGTGTACGTAGCTGTAGGCCATGTGTTGACAGAGCTCCGTTAGCACTCCGTTGCCCCTCACTTCCCCCCGTTCCACGTTTTCGCTGCTACTTTCCGCTGATTTTACGACTCGTAACGGAGAAGGGCTTAGGCTTAGGCGGCTCAGCGCGTAATTTAATACAAAATGTTTGAGCTACAGCTTTTCGGGGCAGGGGAAAAACAAACAGAAAATCAAAATAAGAAAATAGAGAACTGGGAATACCCTTTAAATGGGGCTAAGGCTCGAAGGTTCCGTCTCTAAATAATAGGAATATCAGTGAAACGAAAAACATTTCCGCTGGAAAGGTCTCTTAAGTTTCGTCGCACTTTCAGCGTGTCATATATGTAGGCGATTCCCCGCTTTGTTTTCTTTGCAACTTTCAACAGAATTCTCAAGTACTCAGTTCCCCAAAAAGAAAATAAAACGAGCATCCTGCTAGAGACAGACTCAAACAGGTGCGCGCCTCAAAGTGTGCTTCGCTGAGTGCTGTGTGGGTGTGTGTGTGGCTGTGTGTGTGGCTGTGTGCATACGTATTAGTGTGAGTGTTGATTCATTTTTTTTGGCTTTTGCATACCAATTCATTTGCCTGCGCCACAGTACCCCACAGAATAGACGCTTCAGAGACACATTCAGAGCTTGAGACTCTCAGTCGAGCAATTTATTGACTTTACATGCAAATAAATTCACTCGCACGCAGGGAGGGAACGAGAGAGAAAGAGAGACAAACACACACACACTAACACTGATGGAGATGGAGAAGAGAACACTTACCTGACATTCTCATGACGCTGTATGTATATCTTATGGAACTGTGTGTCACGTGGCTGGCCCGCAATATCGTCCTTCATCTCCATGGCCACATGTCGTGGCAGCACCGAGAGCAGCAAACGTTCCTGCAACAAATGAAACAGGGAGCGAGAGAGATAGTGGAATGCTTTATTGGAGGGTACACCCGGTATACATAGGCGACACAAGATTGCAGACTCGGAGTGGCTAAACAGAAGGAAAGGTGCAAGAAAACCCACTAGGCAGAAGAAGTGGGCAACATACAGATCTGAGTATTGGTAGAATCAATATATAATGAAAATATATACCCAAATACCAAAAATCATAAGAGAGATTAGCCCTCAGACTTTCAATTACACGTAGAGGGTATCGGTTAGTCGGAAGACATCTCCTGCAGCATAACTACTTGTTGTTCCATTTCGTTTGGTTCTAAGAGGAAGGTTCTCGGGGGGAGAACTTCAAGCTGAAGCTGAAACTGGTGCTACAGGGGGGGGCGGAGGGGGAGGCATCATCAAAAGGTGATGCCAAATTATAGGGCGTGGGCTGATGCTCTTTTGTCCTTTGTTTGGCTACCATCAACCATCAAAAGGCCAACAAACGAATCACGGGAATGTGGAGAGTCAGTTGAGTGTGTGGCAGAACAGAAGCTGCAGGTGGCCCACGCGCTTTATCAGGATTCCGTTTGATGCAAACAATTCGTGGAAATCTCTGTTCGTTTGTGTTTGCTCGTCGCCTTTGCCCTTTTCGTGTTATTTGCGAGTATTTGCAGACAGCACACTCACACTCACACTCACGTATGACACCTGTGAATATTGCTTTGTCTGCCACTCAGAGGGGTGTCCGCTCACCTGCTGTTGATTCTCGCGCTGTGTCCGCAGCCTCGCCTCAATGCACTGACGCGTCTCGATGAAGGCCTTCCGCTGTGCCTTCTCCTTGGGCCAGTGGGTGTAGACGCCGGTGAGGTTGGCCAGCAGCAGGGCCACCCCTGTGGCGAGCAGCTGCAATAAGAGATTGGACATTGGAGGAGCATTAATGACATTACGACCCATAAAGACAATGAAAACATTGGTTAAGGATGCTGAACAAGAGGCACGACAATCACGAGAAGCAGGAGAGGCAGGGTCCCATAACAGCGTCGAAGCATTCTCGATTTCATTCAATTTTACGGCCATTTAATTTAATTTCATTTATGGCCTACCCCCTGGGAGAGAATGGACTCTATGCCACACACAGCCTGCTGCCTGCTGCCTCCTCCCACTGAGGCAATTAAAGCTCTCTCTCTCTCGCTCTCTGTCTCTGTGGGCCTGCCTCCTCCCGCTCTTCCTCTGCTGTTTTCTTCTTTAACGTTTCACTTTTATTGTTTGCTAAATGAATTTGCATTTGCGGCTCAGTGGAAAATGCCGAACCTGTTGATAGATGGCTGGCTGCATGCCTCATTGGGCAGCAGACACAGCGGAAGAGCAGGAGACGTGTACGAGGAGTCGACTGAATAATGCCCTATAGTCGTAGTGGTAGTGGTAAGGTACTCACCTCCTCCCATTTGAGAGTTTCCGCCTCTGCGGCCGTAGTGAGCCTCAGGCAGGTGTACAGATGGACGACACTCAGGAGAAAGCCTCCGATCAGGGCCTCCCGCAGGCGCAGGGGCAGCATCGTGTAGGTCATGTAGATTAGGACGATGCTGCAGGCGCTGCCATTGAAGGATTTGCTGCCAAAGAGAAGGCAAACCATACTCATAATTAGAACAATGGAAGGTCAAAGGAGACCAGATGTTGTGTTTGCTTGGGATGATTGTTGATTATGGCCCAATGTGGGCTGGTGGATGGATGGATGGATGTGCGAGCAATTAGCGAAGTGTGAATGATTAATTTTCCAGGGATGTTGAACAGCTGCAGGACCAACCTCGGCTGCATGGCATAGCTGACGGCCACTTCGATGGCCAGGAATGTGCCCAATATCACATAGGACACCAGCACCAGAAATATCTCGTTCATTGCCGGCTTGGCGAGGATGCAGAGCAGAACTGTGACAAAAGGTTACAATGGCAGATTCAGTGGGCTCAGTCGATGGTTAAGTTAACGTTTGGGACTCACAGCCATAGACAATGCCACAGATTAGCATTACGATGAGGAACACCAGCACGGACTCGTCAATTCTCATGACAAGTGCGGAGAGGATGTGCCCCAAATTATCCTCCGAAGGTACTGCTGCTGCTTCTGTTGATTCTGCCTTTGACGATGTGTTTAACACTTCATCACGTTCCGCATGTGAAATTTCATTGTTGTCGCGTACACGCGGCGTATACGTAATGCGTTTACTGCCAGTCTCTGCCTCTGCCCCATCAGCCACATTATCATCAGCGACAACGCCACCAGTCAGGGCATCAGTCAGGACATCGGACAGGCCATCGGACAGGACTTGATCGGGCTCAACAATCAGTTGAGCCGGGTTCCTCCTGGACAGTCGAAGCACCTGCGCCTCCACAGGCCCCTCCTCCACTTCCTGCAGACTCCTCCTGCTTCGTATTCTGTATCTGCAATGGAGAGACAAAAGATTCAATCGATTGATTGAAATGTGCGTACAGCCCCCGACTATTCATCCATCTTGTTGTTGTTGTTGTGGCAGGGTAAGGGCAAGGGCAGGGCAGGCATAAATATTTATGTGGAAATACATGAAAATGAAAATGTAAATGGAATTCGAATGGGATTCATATGCATTCTGGTATAAAGTCATGTTTTGGCAATGAACAAAAGTATTTCATTGTTATGGGAATTCTGTTCGACGGCATTTACATAGCTGCATATAATAATAATAATAATAGTAATAACGTAATAGTTTTTAACAATTTTTAGTTGATTTATTCAGTTGTTTGTTGGCTTTCAGTTTAGATTTCCTTTCGCTTATCAGGACGACATTTTCATCCATTAAACGACTTGATTAAATTAAAATTACTTTGCCTTTAAGTCTCTTTATTTTTGCATATTTTATGGGAGCGAATCTTGTCTCAATTTATTTTCAGTTAGGGACAGATAAAAATACATTGATTAGGGCCGTGTAATGGATTACCATCCACAAATTGAACGTCTGTCTGGGAGTCATTATTTATGCTGAATCTAGAAGGCGTCGAGTATACTTTTATACGTTTATTTCTGGTTCGCGTCAAAATGAAAATTTAAGCATATTCTGATTAAAGTCCTGTTCGCCTGGCAACAATTGAAGTCTTGGCCTGGAGTTTTACTCAAAGCTGCCTTTAAATTCAATTTGAGCCTACTTCTGGGATACTTTTATGGGCTCGGGATCAGCAGAACAGAAAAGCCGAACAGCAGAACAGCAAAAGCAGCAAAAGTGGGAAAAGTTGTTTGATTGGATTTTCGGAAAAACCTCAAATGCGAACGAGGGAAATATTAGTCGCCTTTCAGTCCTTTAGTCCTTTAGTCCTGCCATCACCTGGGATTCCCAGACTCTCCCCCTCTTACCTGGTGCGATGCTGTTGATGCTGTTGATGCTGCTTGTACCGATGCTTGTGGAGTCGTCGGTAATGTTTGCGCTTCTGCCTACGCTGCTGGCTCCACTGCGCCGTCCGGCGCCCATCATCATCACGAGCCTCGGCCACATCAAAATCAACAAGGTCGCGGTCAGAATCGGGGCCTGCTCTTCCTGCCACACCCCCTTCCAGTTCCTGGTATCCACGTGCCAGGCTGCCGCTCGAATTCAGATTCAAATTCAAATTGAGAGCCGCAGGAAAGCGCCTGCCATTGGCAATTTGTTGGCCGATTGCCGTCGGTGGTGGTGGTGGCTCCATTGTGGTTGTCGTTAAGTTGCCGCCTCCATCAGTGGCACTGGCACTGGCACTGGCATTTGGGTCCAGGCTGAGACTTTCCAGTTTCATTGCACTCCCCCCGCCACGGCAAAGCTGCAGTGTGGTGAACACGATGTGCGTGCCGGACAGGGCCAGGATGAGGACCAGCAGCAGGGCCAGAATGTGAGTGGTGTTACTTTGGTTCATTCTCAAAAAGTAACGCTGATACAGCATTTCCACCTAAGCATGCGAAAATGGGAAATAAAAAGTTAAGCGAGAAACTTGGCAAAGAAGAGAAATGCGAATGCCAGAAGCAATCTTACTACTATGGGATACCCTAAGTGATACACGGGAGGTTTATAATTTACATATCAAAATATATTTATTATTTACATATCAAAATATATTTATTATTTACATATCAAAATATATATTGAATAGTTCCATACTGGCATTGTTGTTGACAAACAGTTTTAAACTTTTTGTTTCTAACAATTTGGGAAACGAAGAAAGCAAACGGGCATCACAAGGGGTGATGAGAGATACAAGACAGAGTATGCAGAGCATAATATACTCGTCGATTCAATCCTGTATCTTGTCGACAATCCGAAAGAGTTCCACAAACTTTACAACCGTGAAGGTCACTTTGTTCTTAACGTCGACCCCTCGCGCCACGACATCGACATCTAACACCATCATGTCGCAACTTGAGAAGTTCGTTGCTGCCGTGCCAAACGTTGATAAAAAAGAAGTTTCCAATCACTTAATTGATCAAGAAACTCAAACCGAGATTGCTAATAATGAGCTCGCTGGACCATCGTCTGAAAAGCGACAAATTTAATGAATGAGAATGAGATTGGCACGCTGTTCCGTGTGCAAGAAAGAGTTTACCGACCGCTGCGCAATGGCTCCAGCATGTGGCTCCACATCCTGTGCAAGTCGTGCATTTCACGAATCAGCACGACTGTCCGGTTTGTAAGCAAAAGATGGCCAAAACATTTGCTACGCACGCATTTTTTTTTATTTTTTTTTTTGTATTTTTAATATTTTTTTTCACTTTTTTTTGTACTCTTACATTTTTTCACTTTTTTTTGTATTTTTAAATTTTTTTCACTTTTTTTTGTATTTTTAAATTTTTTTCACTTTTTTAGAATTTTAGTTGTGTTGCAGCTAACAAAAACTTATGACTGAAACTGAGCTCTAAACAAACGAAATGAATATGAACATGGCTAGAGCATGGGGCTGACCAGCTTACTTTGTTTTTTTTTTTTTGTGGCTTGAAATATATCTGGAAAATCGTACAATCGCAACTGAAACGCAACCATAGGGGGCTATGATTTTCCTATTGAAAAAAACTGAGTTTTGCCCAATTGACGAAAGGTTTTTCTAGGCATGTTTTCGAAATACAAAGAAATGGACGGATCTGGTGTCACATCCACCAGAACGAAAAGAATTCACCCCTGAGGCTCTCTGCGGTATGCAAAGTTTAGCCAAAAGGCAGGGGGAAGGTAGGGAAAAGTTGAGGGAGCAGCTCAGCAAGAGATTTCATGCTAATCTTGGAGCGTAAGTAGCTTACCTGAAGGTTCTTGAACTGATGCGTCGAGCAGAGGCGCAGAATGATGCGGTTCAGCCGGAACCAGAACGAAATGCTAGGACTCAGAGGACCACCAGTGCCGCCGCCGCCGCCACCAGCACCGACACCACTCTGATTGGGATTGTTGGCCTCCACATTGCTGGCATCACCTGAAAGCATAATCATGGGCACATTTCAAATACAAATTCCAGACAGAAGAAGGATAGGGAGAGGGAGTACAGCTTAGACTTATAAATATGCATTAATTCAGACAAAAGCCAAATTAATTATGCGGCAGACAGACTTTGATTTGAACCCGTCTGATTCAATCGCAGCTGCAATTAGCTGCTACACATGATTACAGATTGGAATTGGGCATTTGGGATCTGGAATGTGGAAACGGCAATTGCAAATGTAGTAGTCAGCGCACAAATAATTACTAAGCTCCGGTCTGCAGTGCTGCAGCAGGTTCGAGGGCTTCTCATCTCATAGATTCACAGTTGGCTGACTGCACAAGTAGATTAAAATTATGGAAATTGCTGGGGAACATCGATTACAACATTGCCATCGAAAGCAGGCACATAAACCTGAATCAGCATGGAATTTGAGAGTTTTTGCATAGCTCTGATTGTGTCTGATTGTGGGTTGCATTGGTCATAGACATGTGGGGAATGTGGCTCCTAAATGACTAAACGAATCTGCATTTGATTGCAAAAGAGAGATGTAAATTAGATATGAAATAAACTGCCGTTTAAAGGCAGTACGAGTCCATTGGTTGTCAGTGCTGGTAAGCCCAGTAAAATCAGTGAAACAAAGCGGAGAGTTAGAAGCGTTGAAAAGTTTGCTTTATACATTGGATATGAAAACCATTCTCCTAATACATATATATATAATCACATAACACACTGATCAGAATATCCTTTTTATTTACCACCAACATTGATGAGCCAGCAGCAACCGGTGGGCAAACTACGATTGAGTTGAGCAAACTTAAACGTATTGCTTGCAGTTTTTCTTCTGTTTACTTCTCCGATATATCCCTACTCCTAACACCATTGTGACATTGAGGACAATTCGTTCGCTTAACGTGTTGTACACACATTTTCGATTTGCCCATCCATTGTTCGTGTGTGGCACATCATCAATGTTCGCCACTGACTGCTTCTGACATTTCCCTCTGCTTTCATTTTCTGTAGAGTACGAGTAACACGAGAATGGAAACCTTGATTTCAAATGCAACACACAAAGCCATAAAATATTTTATTGTAAAATGGAGAATGTCAGCCAAATCGTCATATTAAAATCATTCAACTGTCCCATGTTCTGACCACAAAGCAAAAAAAAGAAAGCAAACCACAAACACACAACATAACAAGAGAAAGAGAGAGAGAGGGAGAGAGAGAGAGAAAGAGAGAGTGAGTGGGAGTAGGTGGCAGGGGAGCATCAGAGAGGGAGAGCTTGAAGAACACGCATCCTGAGAATATGTTTTTATATGCATCAATAAATAAATGCCAAACGTGATTATGTAAATTTCTATAGAAATCTACGCATCCGTAGTATATCGAAAAGGGAAACCAAAGGAAGGCACAAGCGCAGGCTCTGCCTCTCAGTTCCTTTCCAGAAAACAGAACTAAAATAAATCAGAAGTACGTTGAGGTTGAGGCACAACCAAGGCAACCCTCTAGTTCCAAGGAGGCGGCGATATGTGTGCGAAATGCCAATGACGAGGAGAAAAACGAGAAACGAGAAGCCAGAGCAACGTGAGACGTGAGGATGTAGGGATGTGGGACGTGGGACGTGGAGGAAGACTGCGAAATAGCCTCATCAAATTCAATATGACAATGACAATCAACTTGTGACAGTTTGAGCGATGCGGATGAGGAGACATGTGAGAGCATGTTGGCATTTTCATTGACCCTCAGTAGCCTCCCCCTATCCTTCCCTTTTCTGGGTAAACGCTTTCTTATTAGGAAGGGAAATTCTTTTGCCTTATATCACAACTTACCTTGCTGCAGCAGCTGCGTCTCATCACGTTGATAGATCATGGGACTGTGGCAGGTGGAGCTCGAGTTGGTGGAATCAATGGACTCGTCGATGTTGCACCGCGTGATGCCCGCCTGAGGGTAGAAAAACGCAATTAATTGAGTCATTAATATGCGAGGTAAAATACAGTTAAATGTAAACCCATTTTTGGCATAATTACGAAATAATTTGTTTAATATTTATCATGTCAATAAATTTGATTATTTATGAAAAAAATAAATGGAATAGAAATTGTTTGCATTTTTAATAAAATTGCACATTTAATTAAATCCATTCCCTGCCAAAATGTACAGATTAATTCATCATTTATCATTTTAACAAACTAAATCACATATTTATGTTCTCCTAACAACACATCCCAATCACAATTGATTTAAATTGCTCATAAAAATGTTTTCGTTTCAATAAAAAATGATGTTGCCTATGGGGCATAAGTAGGCTAGGATTTTCGCTATCGAGTCTAAACGTTTTACCACCCACCTGTCACCCAATCAAATTCACACACACACATATACACATACGTGCATACATATTTAGATACCCTCGCGGCGTTTTTGAGCAAATTGCCGCCGATTTGAATGCCAGAAATGATTTTTTCCAGCTCTCCTTTCGCTCGTTTGCTGTTTTTTTTGTTGCTGCTGCTGCTGCCTTTTCAATTTGTTAAACTTTGTCAATTGACTCTTGACAACGAGCGCAAATAGAACTGCTCACACACACAGATAGTACACCCGTACACTACCCACTCCCACAGTTATACGCACACAGGCACAGACACAGACACAGACTCTTGTGTGCAGTTGCTAAGTGGCCCCTTGTGTGCATGTCAGCAGCTTAGCCGTGTGCGTTTAGCAGGATGTTCTGCAGGACATCGCTCGTTAGTTTGCATTACAAACAGGTAACATTTTATATACAGAGAAAAATAACTGCAAAAGAAATGGAAGAAGGATGAAAAAAAAAGGAGACAGAAAAAGCAGACCCCTCAAAGGCTGGGAAGTACTCTTGAAAATATGTGGAGAGCGTTGGGCAGCCCTAATACCTTCAATAGCCCTAAAATAAAAGCTTTCTTTAATAGCACTTCATATTATCCCTAAATGAGGTCCAAATATGTACACCCCATCAAGATGTGCTGGGTTTTGGTCTTGCAAGATCTGCACACATGTAAAATCTTTCACGAACAAAATGATTTATCTTTGAGTGAGAATAAACATAACTTTGGTATTCTAAAAAGCTAATAAATCTCTCAAGTTTCACTTTAAAATATTAGCATTGCACTCAACAAGGACAACAGAGCAGCGTTCAACAAGTTTGGGGCAAAACTTTGCCCCGTGCTGGAGCGGAGGCCAAGACCTAAAGCACTCCCTGGAGCACAGTTACGGAATCGATTGCGGCTTAAATAATCAACTTAATTAAGTAAAAATCGTCCCCGAAAGCTCCATTGTTTGCTTGGCTTTAAATATACATTTTCAAGGCAGGAGGCAAGCGCCCCTCTCCCATCGTTGGCAGCTTTCCTCATCAATAAAAGTGTATTCAAATTCAGTTCCAAATCGAATTAAATATTTAAATCCCAGGAGAGGCAACAACAGCAACAGCATCAGCAACAAGAGGAGGGAGAGAGAGGAAGAGGGCGATGAAGGACAACCACAGCAGCAGGTAAAGATTGGCCTGCAATCGACGTCCTGTCCATTAGGATGGTAAATTAATTGATGCCCCCATCAGGGGCGTGGGGCATGGGGCATGCTCCCCACCGACTTACCGCAATCAAACTGCTGCTAACCATGGCCTTGCCTCCCTTGGCACTCGTATTGAAATGTTCGATCACCTCCCAATTGGACTTCTTGGGCGTGGAGGGTTGGGTCTGGGTCTGCGGAGAAGATGCCCCACCCTGCCCGGGTACATGCAACTCCATGGAGGCCTGCTGGCTGCCACCGCTCCCCGCCTGCTTCAGAGAGGCCGAGCGGCTAAAGAACTTTCTGTGTTTGCTTTCCTGCAAAGAGGGAGAGAGAAGCGAAGCGAAGCAGAGGATTGAGTACTTAAAGTAATGATTGTGCGTGTGTGAGCGAGGGTTTTTGCGGGTCAATCAAGGTATATCAAAGAGAAGGTAAGGCGGCAGTCCAGCTCCTTGCTCTCGCTCTCTTTATGGTTGCCAGCTGTTCCAGTCTTGGGTTTACCTTCTGTCCAATATACCTTGCTGTAAGTAATGGCTGTGCGTGTGGCAGGGTGTTGGTGGGGCAATTAGCTCACCTCCTTTCCGGTGGACAGGCCTGTAGCTCCTGCTGTTCCTCCTGCTCCCCCATGACGCATTCCCCTGAGTGATAGGCGCTTGGACCATTCCCGTTTCTGGCTCTCCGATGACAGAGAGCGGAAGATGTGGCCCCCACCCGTAGCACCGCCCGCACCTGCTCCTGCTCCTGCTCCCACTCCTCTTCCTCCTTCGGTGGAGCTCATGGCGGTGTGGCTGAAACGACAAAAAAAAAAATGGAGAAAATGAAGAGGAAATTGATTTTCATTTTAAATCTAAAAAAAGGAAGGAAGAGTAGCTTCGGGTGCCGAAGATATTCGATATTCTTTGAGGGATCATATTTGCATTGCAATAGAATTTAGTGGATTTTTCATCGATCCGACCAAGCCATTTCTCAGTTCCAACTACATCAAAACAAAGTGAGTCTCTGCAGAATATCAAGCATGTATTCAAATGCATAATTACCACGCTCTTGAAGGGTATCAATATCCCGGGAGGGAGGCTGAACTGGATGACTGTCAGAGAGTGCGCTAATTTCTAAACAAATTGCCTATTTTTGCGCTCGACAGCAGCAGCAACAGCGACAGCGACAGAAAATGGCATTAAAACAATAAATTCGATTTTGTGAAAGCACAAAATCTCCCACAGCACCGCCGACAAAATACAGTTACAAGAAGCCTCTGCCACTCACCTCCCCGCCCCCCACTCACGAACACCGACGCTGCCAATAAATATACGGTATCTACTTTTTGTGGGTTCCTGCTCCCACTCCCACTCCCACTGCCGCTGTCTTTCTGTCTTTACTTTTGGATTTTCTTTTTGGGTGCCGGCCCACTTAAGCACGAAATGCTCGCCAGACACGCGACGCTCCAATCCAAAGCAGCACCGAAGACAGGAGAGAGAGTGCAGGGAAGAGTAGGAGAGTAAAAGAGTGTAAGGGAGCGACTTCAGATTGTTTGTTGAAATTTTTGTAATGAAACAAAACGCCGGCGAAAGAAATTGTAAAGAAATTATCTCCGATCAAGCGAAATTTTAATGCTCTTTTCTTCCATAAAAATTAACTTGTGGGGCAAACGAGGAAAAATGCATAAAGAGAGAGATAGAGATTATCTGCTATTTATAGGAGGGAGAAAATATGGTTCATAAATTAACAGAAGTGCGGAGAAGAGATGCAGCGACATTAAATGAACACAAAATAAAAGGGGAAGTGGGGAGGGGAATGGTGCAGAAGCGTAGACAGGGAGATCGGTTTTCTTTTCATCATCACTAATGGCTAACCTCTCCCCATAGTCCATATGCCCCATTTGATTAGCATTCCAAGAAAAACTGTGCCACAGACAACAGTAAAACAACAGCCAAAACATTCTGGGACTGGAGCAGAGTCTTAAAGCCAGGCACAGGTCGCTCCTTTGCTCCGTGGCTCCTTTGCTGCAAGGGATCCTTGGCTCTTCGCTTTTCGCCATCATCATCGTCGTCTTTGGCCTTTTGTCGGCTTTTGTTTTTAGCCAGAGGCGGCGGGCAAAAACTTTTGCCAGTACATCTTGCGAAGGCGTGGCAAGCGGAAAATGGGGTATGCCACAGAAGGAGCGGCTGTAGAAGGGGCAGGGGCACACACAAGTGCCTGGCCACCGGCATAAATATGTCAAAAACACAACGCGCCGCGTGCTATAAACAAATTGTTTTGTTGTAGCCAAAAAAAGGCAGAAAAAAATACGAGGCAAGAAAAATTGGAAAATTGTTAAACAAAAATTGAAAAACTGAATGTGAAAATGGGATATTGAAAAGACAGAGCCGCGAGAACATCCTATCGATTCAAGAAGAAGAAAGGGTAGGTGTAGGTGGTGGGGAAAGAAGTCTTATGTACGTTATATATGTACATATGTATGTATTATATTATATGTACTCTTAAGCATTGTTCTCTGATGGATATGTGTAGGATAAAGTAATCACATATCAGGGGATATATCTGTTTTATGTAATCGAATATGTAATTATTTCACTGCCTGCAAATCTCTGTACAAAATCGTAATACCCTCTGCGAAACCGACTAAAATCACTTGAAACATTTCTGGTGAATAATTCCTGAATCACTTTGCCCAATTTGCCATTAAAAAAGTTCTTTGTTTTCCATTTAGCTGAGCATTTTCTTGTGCGTCTTGGGTTTTTTTGGCCACCCGCAGAGACATCAGACAGCAGACAGCAAAGCGAGACGATGAGTGCTCATAATATAAACTATAAGTCATATTTCCCCATTTCGTAATTTCCCAAATTCCCAATTCACCAAATGAGAAGTAGATATTTTTGTGTACATTCGGTTGGAATATCAAGAATCGTTTCAGTCCATTGATGAAGGTCAGAGTTTGTTCAATTTAACACTTCATTAAGTCCGAATGGGCCTCCAATGTTCCCTCCATTTTACCCATTTACCTCACGCATTGGAATCTTCTCAGTCGTACATAAATTGAGTCATCGGCAAAAGGGGAAACTGGAATACCAATTTCAGTTGTGTCCCATGAAATATGCAGGAGGAAAAAGCAGGACAAATCCAGCATCAATTAGGCAAACTTTTCAGCAGAACTACAGGAGAGGAGAGGAAGCAAAGCTGTGAGGCAGAAGCTGCCAAAAGTCGGCAAAGTTTTCTCCACATAGAACAAAATTGAGAAAAGAAAAAGTTTCTCCACTCATATGCAAAATATGCAAAGAAAAACTGCGGTAAGTGGAAGTAAGTAAAATCCCAGATGCTGTTGCCTCGCCAATTGAAAACTCTCCAATAAATGTCATCTTATGCCGCCAGGAATCATCATCATCATCAGCGATTCAATGAGTCGAGCTTTTTAGCATATCACCCACTCAAAGAGCTCAGACCTCAGAGTCCTAGGTTATTCATAGATCCCTGACAGAAAGACATTAAACTGCTGACAGATACTCGTCGCAGGAGATTAACGGCTTTAATTGGCTTGAACTGTTGAACGGAGCATCCCCCTGGGGCATCCAGGCAACAGCTGAAGTGCTAATCAATCAAAAATTCGCCATTTCTGGGCTAAATCAAATGATTAATCACAAAATGTGGCAGAATGGGAAATTCTTATTGTTCCAAGATTACAACTCTTGCCTGGAGAAACAAATTTATCATTGTTAGACAATGGAATGCAAGGTATTTACATAAACTTGGGTATCGTTCCGACTAGAAAAATGGCGTAACTGTTTAGAGTAATTCTCGTAAATAACTGCCAAATAACAAAAGCCTTTCTAAGTGAACCACCCACCCACAGCCTCTTAGTATTTGCACACCTCTCCAGGTATGTAAAAGGCAAGCAAACAACGTGAGATTCGATTCGGTTTGGTTCTGGTTTTGGTTTTGGTTCGTTTCTGGTTCATTTGTGGATCGCTTCTGGTTCGTGGTTATATCCAATATTCAATATCCCCACCAGTTCAATGGCAATTCATTATGTTAATGGCGCTAATGGTCTGGCAAATATTGTGCCAGCAAAAAGAACAACAGCAACAGCAGGATAAACTTTTTGCCAGCACAAACAAAACAGCAGAAGAAGGTAATCGAAAAACACAACAAAAACAAAAAATTGATAAGCGAAGCAAATTAATGAGGGGGAGAACTGCCAATGCGAGACCCTCCTCCACCACATTAGGCGGCGACATGTGTAAATGGTGCAGATAGGAATACTTTATGATGGAATGGGGAAGGTATATTGAATAGAAGGTGAGACTGTTTAGAACTTTACTTTGCTAAGCGGTGGAACAGTGCAGTGGTAGCCGCAGTGCCCTTTGTTCAATGTATGTATGTATGTACGTTGGTACCTTGATTGGAAAGACTAGAGAGTGAGAGAGGATTCTCATGCATATTCATTCATTAAGCGGGCAACCACACAGCCACACAGCTGCTAACATTCCTCTCATCTCTCACTCCCATTCGCAGGCCAGGTCTTTACGGTTACTTCTCTATAAATATAGTTTGGCTCTCACTCTCACACCCACGCGTAAGCTTCTTCGCCCCCGCACACACCTTCCCCCTCCTTATGCATTTGTATATTTTTAGAAGCAGAGAAATGTTTATGCTGCCATGTGTTTTGCCGCCGCTCTTCGGCTCTTTAGTGCCAAGGTGTATTAGAATAAGGTATTGCCTTCCTCGCTTTCCATGCTCACGTGTGCCGCTCATCCATGAGGCTGCTCTCTTGTACTATCTCACCTTCCATTTAATGTACCTTGTTATTGGCTTTTTGGTCTCTGCTGTTTTTTGTTTACGCATCATCATCTTTTGGTATTTTGTATACTGTTTGCATTTCATTTGACGCGTTGAGGTGTTTTTCGAAAGGAAATTTGCATTGGAAACGAATTCATTAGCAAATAGAAGCGAGTGGGGGGATGGGGGATGATAAATGAGGGTGTGAGTGTGTTTGTGGGTGTGGGTGTGATAGAGATGGAGGAATGCGTCTGCCAAAATATCGGACCCTGACAGTGAACATGAACAAACACGCACAAACGTGAGCTAGCAGAGCTTTTCGTTAGTCGAAGGGAGAGGAGAGAAAGGGAAAGATAAGCAGTAAAACTGTTCATTCAACTCGTTCGACAACAAGGGGGATTAGTCGACTAGAGGATACACTGACAGGTACAAGTATACCTACAATGTACATACATTATTCCTTTAAATAGTCATTCGCCACTTACCCAAGAAGTGCAGTAGAGCTTTCAAAGTACATACATGCGGTACATACGGTATGCAAATGGGCCAAATGCCAATCTACATATGTACCCAAAACAACCAGAAAGAACAAATATAGAGAGAGATACTAAATAACATTCATAATTAATACGAGTTGTAAAGAACCCCCAAGGCACAAGGAGCCGAAAATTGTTTAGCTCATAAATTTCCTAAGACAAAAATCCAACAAAGAGCCAAAAATCGAAACGCTCAAAAGCCCAAAAGCCCAAAAGCCCAAAGTGCCAGACAGAGCAAACACTCACACACATACTCGCACGGGCACTTGTCGGATGAAATGTAAGACCAGAATATGGCATAGCAGATATATTGGGGCCGAAAGTGAAGAGCATCCTAATAAAACAGAACACGGAGGAGGGCCCAGGGGGCAGAGTTCAATTCTGGTAGCATCATCAGCATCATTCTACGACAGAAGAAGCTGTTTATTGGGGCACAGAACGGCCGACGGACTTTAAGGCAGCTAAATGGGTAAACAAAATGACAAAATGACTTACTAATTTGTGACATGATCCAAGTTAACCAAACCAAGCGGAGAAATGCCAACATCCGCCGCCCTACCTTAACCAGATGCTATCTCTGTCTTCCCTTTCCCTTTCGCCACCCCCTTTCCACTGTTTATGGCTCTGGTGGTCATAGCCTTCATTGTTGTTCATGTGCTTTGTATCGCTGTGAACCAACAGCCATGCCAGGAGGGAAAGTGATCAACTCATGAGTACTCAGTAGTCTTTCCGATGCTTTTCTTCGCCAAAAGATTCCAGGTTCACTCTTGTGGAATGTAGTCACGCCCCAGGATTCCAAGTGGGTTTGCTCTATTTATATTCCAAGTTAGGATTGTACTAAGATTGAGATGATTTAAGATTCAGACAGGTCAAAGCACCTTCGCCTCCATTTCTCTTGGATTACTGGGTACATCCTTTAGTGCTTTCTCTTTTTTACTCCCTTCTGCTCCGCTGCTCGGTTTTGTTCGCTTGCCTTCTTTACTAGCTGTTGTTCCGTTTGCCGTTGGCTTTTTGTTTATTTTAAGTCCATTATACGTTATCCCTTATCCCTTCTCCCTTATGCGTTTCGTTGCGTTGCCAGTGTGTCCATGTGCCTCCAGTACCTCTTGTGTGGCTCCTAGCTACTAGCTCCTGCGGCTCCTGGCTTCCAGGTCAATTCGACTTGGTGACGTTAGCCTACTCTGATCCCTCAGATATTTCCATGCCCTTTTGCATATTTACTATGTGGTTTCCTCACAGTCATCCCTTCCCCTCAACCTGCTTAGCCCCTTGCATTGTTTTTGTGTTGCTTGCAATTTCATTAGAGTCTCTTGCCCCCCTCAGTCACTGCTCTCTTTGGGGGCATCCCAGTGCCCATCTGATGCTCTCCGAGAGAGGGGCTGCTCACCGAGACGCTGGGCAATGTCAAGTGCTGCTTTGGCAGACGGCCAGGGCACGCTAGGACGAGGCCTTCGCCTTCAATGTCCTGGCCTGGCCTGGCCTGGCCCCACGTCACATGTGGGAAGGTTGCCCTCCACACATTGAATTTGATGAGCTTTGTGGCTCATAAGACTACACATGCCAGCTGTCACTTGTAGGCCACAGAATGGTAGAAATATGTGAAATTGCAGGACCTTAAAAGGAGTAGATTTCCAGGAAAAAAGTGGGCTGCAGATTTAAGGGTTTCAATGGAGTAAGAACTGCTTGAAAGGTTTCTTTTCGAACAGTTCCAGTGTACTACTGGAAAAATGTTCCCCACTTTTAGGAGAACTTCCTCTGAACTTTTGCTCTTCATTGGATCTGCTTCATGGTCTGCTATCGTTTAAGGAATGATGGATTCCCTCACTTTAAGAAACCCTCAAGAATTCCCATTTTTCACTTAATTTTCAACAGCTTTTCAAGTACTTTGCCACTTGATATCTTTGGCTTACATTGTTTTGGAGGCACTCAATGATTTAAAATATTCTCTTTCTTTTATATTTTCTCAATTTACGAAATTACGAATCACGCACAAGCACACACACACACACACAGACTCGAAAAGAACTGCATTTGAAGCAGAGTCGAATATTTCGATGCAAATTCCGTATCGAGTGCATTTTTCGATGCTCGATGTCAGACAGCACATAAAGCACGAAGTTTATGATTGTTTATGCATACATATAGACATGTAGATATACATATGTATATATCTATCAGATACTTGCGCACATATTTGTTGATACTGATTTTTTCATTGTGTATTTGTGCAATATATTTTCATGGACAATCGCCGAGTAAACAGAAAATCATTTTCAGTTCATTGTTCGGGGAATGCTGTGCTCTTTTCTGTTTAAATTGGCAACCGGAAAAGCCGCAGCGAAATAATTGCAACATCAGATGTAAGGGAAAAGTGGCGGGGAAAATCCCTTCGATTTTTTCCCATTCTATTGCCCCCCCCCCGACATGCAGTGGCCCATAAAGAAGGGTACAATACTGTTGTTTGAGACAAAATTAAAGTAATTGAGTTGAACTTGAATTCTTTCCGTATTCGAGCGAGGCAACAAAGTGTGGCATGGCATGGCACAGGGTTCAAGGACTCCACTCCTCTCCTGCCTGAGGGGCCCAGTATCTAGGTGGTTCCATCTCATGTGTCAAAGGGATGGCTCGGGGAATTAAGCCAGCACCAGAACCAGAACCAGAACGCTCACGGATTAGAAAAATGAAAGGCAGCAGCAGCAAACATATTGAACCAAGTGCTTACACAGAAGAAGGAGAGGGGAGTATGGGGTCCTATTCGTAGAAGTTTCCATTGAATGCGTGCGTGGACTGCAAACAAAAGAGGATTCCACTAATCAGGACTCCTGAAAGACAGTTGGGCGCAGAGCAGAGACATCAGAGACAGCCACTGGGCAGCCAAGGCAGCGGTGGAGCCAAGGAAATCAATTCCATGAATAAATTAACACGCTCAACAGCTGATTGGGTTTGGCTTTTAAAGGATAAAAATACAATATATGTATTCCCAGTGCCCAGTCGCATATTCAATTACTAATTAAAGATGCCCCCCTAGATACAGATACATAAACAGCATCTGTGTGGTTACATTGGCTGGATAAATAAATATTTGGATAAATGTCTGGCAATAAGATTTAATAACAGGCAGAGATTGGAATACCCTTTCGAAAGCTCTGAGAGGATAAAGGAATTGCTGCCGCAGAACCCTTTGAATACCCCACTTATAGATAGCAAAACATGGCTGACAAAATGCCCTTAGCACTTGGCACACCCCTTGGAAAGGGTATCCTCAATGCTGGACACGGAAATCTAATGAATTGGGGTCCGAGTAAATGTGCTCAAAGCATTGCCTTAATGACATTCTGGCTAATTAGTAACGTGTTCACACAAATTAGGCATAGATTAGATGGAAGTCAGTCGATTGGGAATGTCAAAGGTGTACAGCGTATTGTGGATACAAAGATACAACGCGGAAAATGCATATTTAAAGAGCAATTAAAATGGAATTGAATGTGGCATGAATATTTCTGAAATTTAGACATGTAAACTCTCCCTCCAGCCCACAACTTTTTTCCATCAACAACAAGAACTTTGTATAAATTTACCCAAAACTTTCACAACTTTTTTTTGTAAGCCCAAACTAAATCATATTTTAATTTGCCTTTGAGCCAGTAAATTTTCTAAAAATATGCATTCATCCTCAGACCAAAAGTACAATTATAAACTACCTGTAATCCAGAAAGTTTTATTCCGATCTGGGTGAACTTTTTGCGACCATCTTTTGGCATTTAGTTGCCTCAAAGTTTTGCTGAGTAGTAAAACTTATGGAACCTGAATTCCTCGTAAAGTTGAGACCAGACCATGAGGTCCATAAGCCTGATGAGCCAGCATAAGTCCTCCTTTAAGAACAGGGACCAGGAAACCAGTGTCGGGAGCAGGTAGAGCCTATGAGCCACAAAAGTCATGCGGAAGAGGAAGTACATCCTACAACAGGAAGAGGCACAAACTAGGGAGAAGCACAACAGGAAGAGGCACAGACTCCAGGAGATAGCCTCTCTCTCTCTCCCTCTCACGAATGCCTCATAAACTTTTGTGTTTAACTAATTGCTGGGCTCGCACCACACACCGCAGCACTCTCCGCGCTCCACAGGACTCCTCCTGTATCCCCCTCCCACACCAATGGAAACACATGCAATTTTCATGCCCTGACACTAACCACACGAATGAGCAGTGGAATGAGCACTGGGATGGGTGGGGGTGCTGTGTTGCTGCCAAACAAATTTACTATCTCATTACGTATACTTAATAATTCACAAAAATTCTCATATTACGCATACGCCACGTAGCGTAGCGTTGCGGAAATGTAAATTAACCAAAAGCCAACATTGCAGTGCACTCTGCCCTACCCTCTCTCGCACTCTGACAGCAGAACCGCAGACGCGTGGGGGCGTGGTGTGGGGAGGATGAAACCAGGGGAGAAAAAAACTAGAGAAGAATAAACTGAAATTAACGTAGAAACAGAAGCCAAATGGTATGCAGAAAAAGCTTCAGTGGTTTTTTTTTAGTGGTGGGGAAACCCCATACCCTCCCTCCCGCCACTTTGGACAGGGGATGTGAGTTTTTTTGATGTCAAATATAATTAAATAATTAAGTTATTCGTTTAGATTTGGATGAATGGAAACAAAATAAATTTTCTGCACAGAAAGGAGCAAGTAAAGCTAAAAGAGCTACTAACTTGATTTTTTGCTAATAACAATAGAAATAAGTGAGGAAGCTCATGTGGATACCCTAACTGTTTATTCAGAGTTTAAGTCCTGCCACAGCTTTGTCTTCGCTATACCACCAACATCCTATACACTGGAATTATACTTTTTTATGGCTTGGAAAATGTTTTCTCTTACAAAATTCATTATACCCTCTGCAATGTATGGAATATCAGCATTTATTTCTGTTAATTTTTACATACCTGCGCGTGGGAGTGAAATACTTTAGGGAAAACAAAAACTCAGTTGTGTTTTCTTAAGAAAATTGTAGCTCCTTGTTTTCACAGGCTTTTTGTCTCTCACTTTTCTCTTTTCTCTACGAATTCTCCTTTCTTTCTCTGATTTCAATGACGTTGCGATGTTGCTCCTGCTGATGATAATTTATTTGATAATTTCGTATGCATTAAAGAACAACATCTGAGGAATGTTTTTACGTGTTTTTTGTGTTACATTTCCTTTTCTTTGTTTTCTTCTGTGAACTTTTGAACTTAAAACGTTTGCTTTTCCCTTCTTTATTTTCTTTAAACGTTGCATGCCAAATGGAATCCCCGTTTAAGGGAGAAATATTTTAAATAATTATTGTAAATTTTATTTTGTACATCGCCAGTCACTGGCCCGCTGCCTTTGCCTTTGCGTCTTCTCCTTTTTTGAGTCCTTTTCACTGGGACTTTATTTCTTTATAAAGAAAAAGGTTCTGGCAAACAAACTGTGTAAAAACTTTCCTTTTTCAGACACCCACATACACGCACACACACGAGCAGTGGCAAAAGGAAAATTCAAATTAAACTGAGATTTCTTGATGCCCCGTCCCGTTGCTCCGAGTGCGATTTTCATGGTTGACAGTTCCCTTTTTTTATGCATTTTCTGTGGCCAAAAAAAAGGGTCTTTAAAACGTAAAAGCCACAAAAACAAAAACAATAAAAAAGAGAAAAGATGGTGAAAGTTTTGTGGGGGCGAATGGAAAATGGAAATGTGACTGAAGTGTTTCAACGCGGAAGATAATTGGAAATTGGAAAAAACTTGCCATAAAATATCGTTGCAATTATTCAAAATGAGTGCTAAAAATGCTATATAGACCTTCTTCCGCTTACTATTCCCATAAATATTTGAAAATAAATGCAAATTTCTTCAATGAAAAATTTCAAATACTGGACTTGGCCACAAAATGTTGTTTAAAACATTCGATTTGTATAATTGTTTCGATTTGTGTGTGTGTGCTAGTTTTGGAATGATTAATAAATGCATAAACAAAAGATCTCCTCTGATTCGTTCATTCAATTATTCTTGCTTTTATTGGAGGTTCTGCAATGTTTTTTCATATTTTTTATGGGCATCAATTAAACGAGGAATTCAACCCAATAATTTCGGGATGTTTTTATTAAATATTCAAGCATACACATTCCCAAATAGATGATAGAAGAAATACCACTTACACGTGGCGTATACGCAATGTGGAAATTGGAAAATTGGTTGCAGTAATTTGCGAAAGGCAATTGGGCGCCAAATCAGCTGCAAGCAAATCAAATTAATTTGTTTGCTTTATTATTTGACCTACTGCAAACAGAGGGGGATGGGGAAACGGAAGGATATACGTACGGCAGGATACTAAGGACAGAGCGTGTCAAGACTGACACCAAATGCTTGCCAATTTGCATACAAAATGGGCGGCAAATTGGCAAAACAGAAATTGCTCTGCTCTGCCATTCTATTGCATAGGTGGAGGTGGAGTGGAATAGGAATTGTATCACATAAAAAAACAAGAAGCAAACAAAATGATTGAGAGCCATAAGCACACGCCATCGAGTCATCAATAGCGCAGGCAGCAGGTCCCTGCTTCCTGCCTCCTGCCTCCTGCCCTGGTGTATCCTTCATGAAATCCATGCGCCCAATTCTCGCCTGTCCTATCCGCCTCCGCATCTGCCTCCCTTCCATCAAGTGAAATCCCAATCAGTCAACGGCTTTGAAGCACAAATCAGCGCCCAGCGAAAGTCAAATTAGAAAAACAGAAGAATAATAAAAGCGAAAACAAAAAAAAATACCAAAATCAAATGCAATGGATGGGCTCTCCGACAAGAGTATACTCTCTCTCTTATTGGAAGGATCTTTCGCAATTAGAGGATATATATGGGATAAAGGATCTTTGCATCTTCTGGCTATAATATTTATTGTTTTGTGATGATTTTTTGGTCGATATACCAAACTGGATCGTCATTTCTTTACAATTACAGATGCCATATTGGTGAATTTTCGTGAGTATATACAGACATATGTATGTACCCCATTAAATACCCTTTCAATTACCGGTTATCTAGCAGTAAAAAAAAATTCACGGGAAATGAAGCGCAAAATTAGAAAATAATAAAAACGGAAGAGAGCAACAACAAAAAAAAGAGATACAACAGCAAATCTAAATCTATAAAAAAAAACATTGAAATAATAAGAATAATACTAAAAAAAACAGCTACATACTCTTACGAATAAAGATATAGGTATAGATATATATGTACTATACTCGAGGGATATAAAGCCTTTGCTGCCACTGCCACTGTTGCCAATGCTGCTGCCTGCCACTGCCACTGCTGTTGCTGCCACTTGAGCCGGAAGCGTGTTCGGCGATGAGGCGCAGGAACAACAATGAATCAGGGATTCAAGGATGCAGCCCCGTGAAGACAGCCAAGCGGCAAAGATAAACCCGCATTGAAATCGCCAAATGAATGAGAGAATATCAGAGAGCGAGAGGGAGAGAGAGAGAGAGAGAGAGTGAGAGGGGAGGAAGGAGCGAAGGGGGTTCTTCCATTTTGCCATTGTTATTACTGCTGTAATACGCTTTTGCGAGAGGAGATTACAATGTCTGATTACTTTGTTATTAATAAACACAAAAAGCGTGCCAAACACACGAACACACAAACACACACCCACACATACATACACGGATATATAGATACATTGCTATTATATAGAGGAGCATAAAGCTATCGACCCGGCAGGTACTCATTAATACATCGTTAGAGAGTGGACTGCAAAGAGCAGAAGAGAGTAACAGAAAAGAGGCAGTACTACCAGGGGGGAAAATCGAGTAGGAACTGTTATAAATAGGATGATTTGAGAGATTCGGATTCCTTAAATCAATTTAAATAAGGGAAAATCGTAAAAATCAATACGCGACGTAGATCTTCAGTTCTTTGAAATGCTCTAAATAATCCGAATATGAAAAACAATCACTTAGGATTCTATCCGATGGTTTCCTTTCTAAACGCCCATTAATCACACCTGATATACCTTTACCGTAACCCCCATTTATTAAACGTCCCCCGATGGAACCCTGGAATCAGCCAACCACCAAACCGCTGACTTTACAGCCCCCTCCTGCCACATGCTACTGCCACTGGCACTGCGCCTCCTGCCACCGCCAGAGTTCACTCCGCAACGCGTTTATTTTATCATTTTTGTGCTTTGTTAGTGAAAACGTTTTATTAATAAACTTTTGTGTTGTGTTCTGTTGTGGGGTCCACCGACGACAAAGCGACAAAACGACAGAGCAACAGAGCAACAGAGCAACAAATGGCAAACAGCAGCCTAGAGAGAGTTTTCCCTTTTGAGGGAAAATAAAGGAGACAACTAAAAATGCAGTTGATTTTGCATACAACGTTGTGTGTGTGTGTTTGCGTTGTAATAAAGTGATGGAAATACCATGGAATCTGCTAAGCCAACATTTTGTTGTCTTCCGAATGACAGTTGCAAAATGACGTACTCGAAGGAAAGACACAGATTGAATTCGTTGTTCAGCAAATATGTTGGCAAATTAATTGCATTTTAATTGTTTGAATTTAAGCGAGGAATAAGAGAAGGAGATGCTCAAGAGCAGGCTGTTTGTGTACCTAAATCAAGTGTGTAAAATTTGTCTGTTAATGCTTTCTTTTACCCCTCATTCATAAGTCGTTCATTGGTTTACAGTTGCTGGGCGCTTATTAAATTTTCTTGGCCAATTTTAATGCGCTTTTAATTGATATTTAATTTTGATTCATTCGAGTTGTTGCCCCCTCTACTGCTTACATAAGACTTTATCTTTGGAGTGGTTTTTAGCGGTGCGGGAACGACATGTTTTATGGTAATTTTGATTTATATTTTCTTGGGATTTATGGTTGTCTAATTTTTGGCGTAAGCGGGGAGAATATTAAAGTTCGTTTTCACAAAAAAGTCTCTATATTTGTTTTTTCAGTCCACTTTCGTTTAAATGTTGTGTAAAATAAAAAATATTTTTAATGCACAAATTAAAAATCTGTAATTAATTTACAACATTGAAATATCATATTATTGTTTTAAGCAATATTATTATTATGAATAGTTTTATAATTTTTGAGAAAGTTTGTTCCTGTTTAGGGACCTTTTTCATAAATTTTCTGAAGATCTGGTTTAATTCATTTCACTTTTGCGTTCTTAAATTAAAAGCTTTAAACGTTTTTCAAACTTTTTGTTTCTTTAGCGATTTTGGCGATCACACTATCCGTTTCTGATGCTCTCACCTTGGCAACACTTGCACTTGGTTTTTTCACTGGGTTTTCACAACTTTAACATATCCATAGATGGAGATGAGTACTCTCCGGAGCATTGGCTGCGACCCTTCTCCTACCGATTATCCACTGTTGCTCCTCAGCCGAGGAAGTTCCCTATCACACCCGCCGCCTACTCGTATTGTAACATTTTCCGCTGAAGTTCTTTCGGTTTCTGTTTCGCTTTCGGCAATGTTCGACCCGCAACTAACAAGAGTTTTCCTCGGCACTCGGCTTATATACGATTTTCATCGTCAAATGTCGAATGGGAAAAGCTCTGGCAGGCTTTTCCATGAGCTTTTCTCACCAGTCCATTCCATTTTTAACGAAGAGCCGCGCCGCCAATGTTTTGCTCTGGCTTTCAATTGTTTACAGGTGTTTGTTTTGGAAACAATTTTGGTTAGAATTTATGGACCGCCAACGAAAAATGAATACACGAAAATCGTCTGGAGAGTGCAATGCACCACACGGGTTCTTGGGTTCACATTTTTATTTGATTTCTTGGGTGTGTTGTTGGCCTCCCCTGAGGGAAATCATTCGTCGGAGTCGTCGGCGAATGAATGCAGACATGAACCACTTGTTGCTTTGGGGATTTTTCTGCCGCGCGGAAAAGCAGGCAAGGCGTTTCGCTCACTCTCCCTTGTGGTGATTGTTGAATTATTCATAAGCAATTCAACAACAACAACAACAGCACGACCAAGAAAACAAGGAGAAACATAAAAATCCCATTTATATTTAGGCTCAAAACAAACACCGCAGCACCGCAGAAACACTGAAACACCGAGTGGAAATAACATTTAAAACTTTTCAAATATTTATACGGCCAATTGGAAATGGTTGAATTATTGAATTGAACTCTGGCTCACAGATTGGGAGGAAGGAAAAGGAAAACTTTCTCCGAGATTGGTTAATGAAAATGTATGCCAAGAGGCAACAAGAAAAGCCCCCATCCACAAGCGGCAACAAATCAATTGCTGAGACGTTAAATGGAGATGGAGGATGGGGGTGGAGGTAGAGGTAGAGGTGGAGACCAGGTAGCCAGGCGGACAGCGACAATGTCTCCCTGCCTCACTGTCTCCGGTTCTCTATGAAAACATTTTTCTAATTTCCTGTCATCAATACAAATGAAATGTTCTTCAAGGCAACCGAACCGCATCGATTAGTCCGCTTTCAAAAGAGGTGCAAGCAGCAGTTGGTTGGACAGGAATTTGTATGTATATATATTTTATAAAATTAAACAACAGAAACAGAAATTCGTGGTGGAAAATGGGCGGGGGAGGGGCAAACATACGCGAAACGAATAGAAGGAAAGAACAGACTAGAAGCGCAGACGCTTAACCGTACGATAGTGATAGCCATCGTCCAGCAGGGCGGAGGAGTCCTCCTCGTGCTCGGGAATCTCCTCGACCACTGCATTATCATCGAGGGGGGGCAGGTACTCCTGCACGGGCAGGAGATTAGGCACCACTTGGGGCTTGCGATAGTGGTAGCCATCGTCCAGGAGCACGGCCGACTCCACCTGCTCCTTGGGCAGCAGCTCTTCGATATGTTCCAGGCTCTTCACCTCCACGGGTTCCGTGACGATCTCTGCCTCCGGTTCGGGCTCCGCTTCGGTTTGGGCTTCAGTCACGGCCTCTGTGGTGGGTGCAGCGGTGGTCTCCACAGCGATCTCCTCCTCTGTTGTGGCTATGGGTTCCTCTTGCAGCTCCTCTTGCTCCTCCACCACAGGGGGAAGATATTCGTTGTTCACGGGCGGCAGGTAGTCACGCGGTGGCTGCAGCACATGGTTCAGGGTCGCAGCATGTTCCTCAACAGGCGGCAGGTAATCCCGACTGGGCACTGGCGGCAGCACCACGGGCGGCAGATACTCCAGCGGCAGATGGGAGACGTCGCGACGCACCACCGAGCGACAGGAGACGCCCACAGCCAACAGCAGCACACAAACAACACCGAATCGTACTCCTTGCTGCAAGCAATCCAAAGAAGATGAGACTGCGTCCCCCTTTGAGGGTATCTACTTACCATTTTGATTGTATTTTTATCTGGTTCTGACCTGCTCAATTTATTTGGGCGTTGGGTTTTGCGGTTGCCTGTTGCTCTGCTCGAATTGCTGTCTGCTGTTGAAATCGCTTAACTATTTATACAAAAAATTAGCAACAAATCGAGTTCGAAGCGAACCCACATTAACACTCATTATTTTTGGGCTTAAACTTCTTCAGACTTGTTCGAGGGTTCGAATGTTCGAGGGTTTGATGGTTGGTTGGTTCGATGGTTCGCTCGATGCTGGATGGCTTAGGCCATGGCAATGGTCATTGATCGTTAAAGATCGTTGCTATGGGATGGGATGGCATCCGATGCGATCCAATCGGATTGTTTGCCCATTTGCTCCGCACTATTTGATTGCGCGCAGAATCTGTCAATATTTTCTTTAAAGATTACCCATAAACATTCCTCCTTCCGCCATTCTACAAATACTCTCAGATTTAAACTTTTTTTCTCGCTGTTTGTTGGGTATTTATTTTAGTTTTATTTTCTGAAACATTTTTTGGGGGCCATCCGCATTGTGGCGCTGCGGTTTCAATGTCAGCTATGTAAGAGACAGACGGAGAAGCGGAGTCAATGTCAAGTGTTACACCGCAATGCAAGATGACGGGGCACAAGCGATCAGAACTGTGCCACGGATAGGGTCACGGTGGATCGATCCACGAACTCGTAATTGTTGCTGCATCATCATACAGCAATTAAAGAGCTCTTATCACACATTTTAGGGGCACAAGAGCCCAAGCAGCGCTCTTTAAGCGGCTTAAAAATTAAATTGAAAACGAGAAACTCCACAAATCGAAATTGAAATGAAAATGAAACTGCACAAAAGAAAGAGCGAAAGAGAGCGATAACGAAAGAGAGTAGGAAACAGGGAAAATACTGAACGAAAGCAAAATGGAAGGAAGAATGTATTCAATCAAATGCCACAAATCCATTTTGCCAATAAAAATATTAGTCCACAGATGCAAAATAAAATAAAAAGAGATCTTTCTTGAAGGAAACGAAGCTGGGAATATCCTGGAAATAGAAGAAATATTCCACAGACAAAAAACGATTGAGATTCGTGACACACGATAAATCCGTGAAATATATACATACATATATAGAGATATACATATACATAGAGAATATCTACACTTATTTTATGGGGTAGGTCTTCCCTCCACCTGTTTTTCGTTGCGGTTGTCCGATTGCAAGCCGACAAAAAAAAAGTTCAACGTTTTTTTATGTTTTCGCCCGAATGCCAAACAAAAAGAGAAACCAAAACCAGAGAAAAAAATTGATCCACTTTTTTTATATTCTATTCTCTATTACGAACGGTGTGGTGGTGTCACCTCCCAATACCCCCTCCCTCTCATTTCGATTCCGTGTAATTTTTCTTCCTTTTTCCCGAGGTATACGCATGCCGCGGATTAGTAGAAATTGAAAAACTTCCCCACAATGGAAGCCCCTCTGCGGGCCAATTGGTGGCAGAGTGCCATCAGTGGATAGGATACCTGTGATGGATTTTCCACTGCTGTCCAGAACCGCGTTTCCTGTGCCTCCGCTATCCGTTTGCCTAATAGAAAAACTAAATATTTAGTTAGGAGTTTTAACTAAAACGGCTTCAACATGGTTCAATACCTATCGCGGTCTGTTTGAAAGCACAAATGGATTCGAGTTTGGGGCGAAACTCTTTAATACTCTTCCCAATGAATGGCTCCCATGATACATAAAAGAAATTGGAATCTAGTCTTATTTATTCCGAATTACAACTCCATTGAAAGCAACAAAAATAAGTTTCTTTGCTCGAAGCTCCATCAAATATCTTATTAAAATCCAAATACCTTGTTGAAGGAAGTACAAATTGTTGGGCAACGGAAAATATCCCTGAAATTTAGGCTCATGGTAGGGATTAGTGCAGGCTGCAGTTTCAGGGGGGAATTGCAGGCGGAATAACATGGACGAATTCCTATTGGGTATAGCCATAGATGGTGTAACCAGCGTAAACGAATTTTTGTTCAATCGGCTGCCACTTGGGGCATTTTGCAGCAGCAACAAGAGCCGAGCACCGCAACAGCAGCACCGAAAACCAAAGAAAATACACACCGAAAAAATAAAGCAAATGTATTGTGTGGGAAAACCCAAGAGTGAAAAACTATTCAAATTCAGCTAATGGACCACCAATCGAAGGGCATCGAGAACATGAGCTCACATGAGTGGAAAATGCCGGTGAAGAGAGAGAGTGGAAAGCCTTCAGTTATGCTGAAGAGAAGGGAGTAGTGTTGTCAAGGGGCCTACTCGAACGGAGATTTATGAAAATGCCATTCGAATATTTGCATTGATTTTAGCTTGAATTTCTTTGCAAGAATGGTTTACCCTTCGGATGCAGTTTATAAGCCAAATAAATCTGTATTTTCCACTAATTGAAGACACAAATCCTTATCACTGCAGCTGGGAGGCGTCCTCCATGAAACTTTGATTGATGTTTGCTCCCCTTGGTGTCGAATGGTGTCGAATTTGCATGCAAAACTTGTGAACTACACATCCCAGAGAGACAGAGAGCTGTGCCATGCCATGAAATATGCAACAGATGGAGACTGAGATGGCAAACAAATTAAAAGCAATGCCACGTGGCGCCTGTCAACTCTTAACACATTACGCTCCAATTACGAGAGGAGGTCCCACTCCCAGGCAGGAGTCCTGTGTGTATGTGCGTGTGTGTGTGTGTGTGCTTTGAATATCACTTTCCGCATAATAAAATCATTGAGTCATCGGCTTTTCGTTGCCTGTCGCCTTATGCAAGGCACTTTGGCAGGATCGCAAAAAGCGACTGAAAGCCTCAGCCTCGCCTCTCTGAAGGAAAATGCAATGCATATTAAGCAGGCAGGAAGCCAGGCAACTTCAGGATTAAAGAGCAGAACGGAAAAGAAAATTCCAAAAGGTGTGAAACCACACAAAAAAAAAAAAAAGAAAGATGCAAAATTTAATTACAATTTAAAGGTGGCGGCTGCTGTCAAACCCTTCTCTCTGTCTCTCTCTCTCTCACACCATTTTGGGTCTACACTGAGAGAAAGTGGCAACTGTAACAGATTAAAGCACAGGGAAATTTGAGATAAATGTATTTCTTTGTGGAACTCAATTAATTTGGAATTCCTCAAGGGTTTTGCTTTCTTCTTTTTCCGTTTTTTTGGTTTTGCTTTTTCTTTTACTTTTGCTTTATTTATTACGTTTCTATTCGGGGTTTTGCTGTTGATTTCCCTCTGTTCTCTATGGCTTTCCCCTGGGGTTTTTCCTCCACTTTTTGGCATCTTTTTTTAAGATGGCACTGTCAAAGCGAATTTAATTGTCTCAATTATGCGCTAAATATCGCCCAACTTCAGCAGAGCTTCCAACTTCAGACCCAAATCAAGATGAGGTCAAGCGGCTTGTAGAACCCTTTCTCTACGCCAAAAAGAGAGAGAGTGAAAGCAGAGGAAAGGCGACGACAAGCGAACTTCATTGAAGCAATTTTCACCTCCTTTCAGTGGAGAAGAATAGACGAGACGAGCGCCAGTAACCAAGTGACTTACTAAAAAGTTAACGCCATTTTGTGGCAACTTCAAAAAGTTTCCTTCAACCCGTTTTGCCCTGAAGGAAAGGAATCTTATTCTCCATCTATCTTCTGCTGGCATTGTGTTGCCCCTGGATCCACGTTCCCTGGTTCCCTGGCTGCCTGCTTCATGCCACAGTTGAATGCACTTTTGTGCCTTCATTAGCGAAGTCCTCGCGCTAAGGAAAAGCCCACAGGCCATACGGCCAAGGAGCACGATAGAGCACGACACCCTGTACAGAGCGAAGAGACTTTTCTTGGCTACTGAAATCCCTGTGAATTCTTTGGTAAATAAACTTTCATTAGAATCATTTTGAGTTGAAGTAGAAAATTATGAAATTTCATTAAGCCAAAACTATGGTTAAGCGTTTAGGGAGGGACAGAGACAGCTTCCAGCCCAAGAGAGAGTAGGAAGCTGGTAGCTGGTAGCTGGTATTTGTAGTACAGAATATACATATGTACAAATTTTAATTGTAATACTTATTAAATGTATGTATAGGTGTATCCCATTTTGGGGCAGCAACAGCTTATCTAAATAGATGACACCTCCTGTGTCCCATGTCCTACACAAACAGGGCATCGCATTAGACACACAGTTACTGGCGTGTAATGCGGCGTATACGTAATTTGCTTAACAGGTAATTAAAAAACAACACACGACCTTCCCCGACCCCGATCCCGCCCCTCTACACACCCCTCTTCCACCTGCTACACACACCTGCAGTGCAGTCAAAAACGTTCCATAATTTCACACTTAGCTGAGCAGCCATTTCGTTGGGGAATTTCCACGCCCCATGCGACAACCTCTAATCAAAGAATTTCCATCGTATTTTCAGCTGTAAGCCAACAAAATTAACTTTGAGCTCAAATAAGGAATCTTCTATCTGTTTATCTTTGGGAAAATAAAACAACATTAAGAATGAGAGACCTTCAAGCGAACTCTTAATCAAATTTCCACCGATTTTAGTCCGAATTGCTGTCTATTGAATTAACAACATTTTATTAGAGTAATTCTGTAAAAGTTGATTTTCTTGTGTCCAAATCCTTGGAAAACCTAAACAACCCTCTGCGAAAAAGGGATATCGAAAGAGTGACGACCTGACATGTCGCCAACCAAATAGAATTTCTATTGCGCAAATAGGGGAAATTGCACAAATATTGAACGGAAATATCCTGCGGCTTTGGCTTTGGGCTACCACTGGCCCCTGTCTATTGACGCACGGAAAATTTAATTTTCATTTCCCAGGGACCCCAAAAGGAGTTGCTGCTGTGTGTTCTGTTCGCCTGTGTTTGTGTGTGTGTGTGTGTGTGTGTGTTGTGTTGTGGCATAATGAGTGGCAAGTGGAAAACTTTAATACCTCGGGATTGTCAGTTTTGAGATGTCAGTGGAGAGAAAGAGAGGCGGTGGCGGAGGCGGAGGGGGAAGCAGAGTAGGTGTCATGTGTGTGTCCCTTGGCCGCAGGAATTTCCATCCTTTGTGAGGAGACCGCAATAATGTCCTTGTCCTGGCTATCCGTGTGTGCTGTGGGATTCTCTGCGTATACGTGTGTGTGTCTGTGTGTGCGTGGATGTTAACCCATTTCGCGGTAGACGTTTACAATTTTACACCGAAACTAATTATATTTAACTCTCTCTCTCTCGCACACTCGCACACTCGCACACTCTCTCTCTCTCTCTCTCTGTCTGTCCGAGAAGAGTGGCCATGCATTGAGGATGATGCCTCAACAGAATCTGTTTATGTAATGCATATTAAAGTGGTCTCCAAATCTACCCACCCTTTCCACCCTCTCGATCTGTCCTTCCCCTTCCTTCGTTGTTGCTATATTTTGTTTTGTTGCAGTGGAATACTTAATGGTAATGGCAACTGGTGTGTAATTTCCAATTAGGCTCAATTTACAGCGTTCTTGGTCGCCGCCGCCGCTAGACAAAGCGGAACGGAATGCGGCAAATTGCTGGCTACAAGTTAATCAAAGTAACATTCTCTACTTTCCCCCTACCCACCCTCAACCGACCCCCTGAACACTCTTCACAAATGGTACATATATAGAGCAGAAAAGGACACCGTGAAGATGCCCAGAGCAGGAAACACATCAAATGTTACTCTTTTTAAAGAGATCTTGAGAGAGCGATAAAAATAGAAAAGTTAACTAGATAAAAGGTGGGTGGGACTCCTAGGAGAGGGAACCCCTCGAAGAACTCGAAGGAAATGAGAATTGAAGGAGGGAAACGAAAGGGCGTTGGAAAAACACTCGAGTGAAATGATAGAAAAAGACTCGAATGAAATAAAAATGCGACTAAAATTTGACATTAGAGAATGAGACTGGTAGAAAAAAAAGAGTCAGCAAAAAATAAAGAAATGCACGTGTAGAATATAAACCAAATACTGCACAAATATATATGGAATTTATCTGAAATATATATATTAAAGATGTAAAAATACACCTTCAATAAAAAGTGAAAATTTACTAAAATAATTATGAACGAAGAATTTTAAATTGCTGAAATAAAATGGTAAATATGAATTAAATTTGAAAAATAAGTGAAAAATTTATGGAAAAGAACAGAATTTTTGCATAAAATAAATCTAAAGGAGAATGCTCAAAGCTAAAATAAAGCTAAAGTATGTGAAGTGCTTTTAAAACTTTAAAACGTGCCCCCCCCTAATGAATGCCCAATGCCCATTTTCCTGTCTCACCCTCTAAATCAAAGCAAAACTTTTACTTTGAATGCGATATCAGCTCTCCGCCTGTTTTCCGTTTGCCGTGTCCATCAGGTGAAATTGTCCGTAAGCTGTTGCCACACACACACATACACCAGAAGTCAAGAGGCAGGATACACGGAGAGGGGGCAGGCCGACAACTAATTAAATCGACAACCTGATGGCTACAAAAATTTAATTGAAAGGAATCTGCCGCTTAACAATTTCAACAAACAAAAGAACAGCACAGAACAACAAGGCACAGGAGTGGGTGGGACCTCCACGCCGTGTCAGTGTCCAGTGTCAGTGTCTGTTTGCCACTCAAATTGAAACGCTGTGTGGCACACACAAACCAGACACACAGCCCAGTACAGACACCCTCATACAAAAGTCATTTAAGCGACACGCCAATTGTTGCGTTGCTCTCTCTCTCTCTCTCGCTCCTCCAACAATTATTTCATATTAAAAAGTACAGAGAAAGTAAGGTTGCAAAATGAAAAGGAAAACAAATGGGCGAATAATTAAAAGTTAATTGAAATTGAAAAGCGTCGAAGGGAGGACACTGACACGATACTCTCCCTTCCCCTCCACTGCCCTACTCTCGATCCGAATGAGAACCAAATTAAAAGTATATAAATCCAGACAGCTTATGGGTCTGTGGGACTGACTCCATCCGATGTGATGTTCACCTCTGTCTCCGACGTCTAATTGAAACCGAATCATTATCCTGGCTGGCACACAGTCTCCACTGCCACTGAATGTTGAATGTTACATTGAACCCGCGGCACGCTCCGTAGAATGCTGCACCTGCAATTCCAGGCTTATTTGTTAATTTTCAGAAAGAAATGGGAAAACTCCCACAGAACGCAGAAAGCGATGGGGCCAGCCATGTGATGGGCGTGAAAGCGAGCAGATTAGTTGATGATACAGGTGCAAATCTCTTCTGCGTGTCACGCTGCCATCCATCCCCTGGCAGAGTTTTTCGTGGAGCTTCTGATTCGGATTCGGGCAAACAAACAGATCGACAAACAGAGCTGCGGGAGGGCAAGGCAAACAGAATCAAATTGTTGCTGTTTGTTGACCTACGAGTTGCCCCCTCTTCAGATCCCAACCTCCCTTCGTTTCGACTTTATTCTTATTTGTTTTCATTTTCATTTCTTGGCAAAAGCGAAGCGAAGAAATGCTGCTTTTGGTCGCGCCGTTAGGTGTCTGGGGAAATTAACAAAGCCGCAGGTGTATAGGTGCACTGCTCCTGCCCCCGCTCCTGCTCCAGCACCCTCCCTTTGCTTTTTTAATGAAATATGAATGGAGGGGGCAAAACACTTGAACAGCAGCATTAAACGTCAAATGTCAGCACAAACGTCAGGAAATTCTCAAAGGTTGAGCATCAAGCATACGCAACACTGAGCAGAGAAACAATAAATTCTCGTTTCCTACCCTACCCTAATCTACCCAAACCCACCCACCCTTTTTTCCCAGCTCTCAGTTAATTATCGCGAGCCACTGCACCGCTAATTGGAGTTTAACCTTCCAGAAAAGGGAGCCACAAGCCACGAGGCAAGGGGCGTGGCTGTTTTATTTTTGGAATTTTTATTTACATTTAGTTAAATTCCCAGAGGGGGTGTATACTCGTATTCTTTGCCATAAGAAAATTGCTTTAGTGTCGCATTTCTTATCCTCGCTGCGCTGCTTTATAATTGCTAAAGCTTCGATTTAGATTTTGTCAACGTCTCCTGCTGCGCAGTGTCTGCCCGGTTCGTGTCTGGAATTTTCCCAACACGCCATTTCTGGCTACATAAATTTAAATTGAATTTTAAATATTAACAAGCGGCGCCAAAGGACACCTTAAACGAGCAAGAAAGCACTCCGCTTGCGTGTGCCGAAGCATCAGATGCTCTCTCGAGTAATTCCTTCCTACGGCTGACACAAAAAACAAATCAAAACAATCATACCCCTCCATATGCATATGCCAAGGGTATCCCAGAAGGACCGCCTCTGTCCGTGTCTGCCTAATAAATACGTTTGCTGTGCCATCGATTTTTGGCTCGTCTTGCCATACATTTTCGTCTCGAGTTTATAAATATTTATGCGTAGCATTTTCGGGGGCTTGCTTTACTCATGATTTCCGTCTGGCTCCACAGATAAATGGATGGTCGCGATGGGAAAGGCTCTTTCGTGGTGGCGGGTCGGAAAGGGGAAAACTATAAGTTAATGCGAGGGAAAATGCATAATGGATGCAGGATGAATGATGGATGAGCAGCGGGACGGGATGGGATCATATTTATGTATGTATTTTGGCAGCTGTGACAATGTTGACAGAGCAATGAACAAATATCAATTTATGGAAACAGACACTCACCTGATGCTTTGCCAAGTGGGTCCAATGTAATCCTGGATTATCCCCATTTGTTAGTTGTGACGTCACGTACATATGCACTCCTCACTCCACTTCTTATTTTCAGAATCTCTTGGGGCCATAAGCCGCTTCCCTGCTGCTGCTGCTGTCTCTGCCACGACTGCAAGGAAAATAAACAAAATCCAAAATTTTTCGTCATAAAAATGTTAAATAACGTTAAATAATATAACCCCAAACACTAACACGCAATTGTTTCACATTTTAACTTATTTTGCAATACATTTACACGCATTTTAATAAAATTTTAGAGCAAAATTTAACTGCGGCACTTTTTTCTGCGACTCTTTGTTTTTGTTGTTGTCTCTGTCGCTCTTGTGATCGTGAACTGTGAACTACTGAGGCTGGTTCAGTATATCGAACTAGCTCGATTATCGATTACTACGATCGAAAATTCGAATTTGAATTCAAATTTGAAATCTATCAATCTGCTCCGTGATAAGCTCATCATCCGGCTCATCTAGCGCCCACTCCCCGCCCAATTACCAGCGGAAGCTCATCAATTTTTCAAGAACTCGTGACAGCCCAAAGCGACTTTTGCTCACATCATCTATCCCACTGTCGGTATCTTGTCAGCAGAACAGCAGCAGCAGCAGCAGCAACAAGAACAGACACATGTAGCGGTGTCTTAATTACCAGCCGCAAGCTGTTGCCATTAACAACAACTTTTGGGGATTGGAATGAGGCGGGCTGGGGCTAACCTCTTCGATAAGCAGCTTTGGGCTTAGGCCCTCCAGAGCCTCGTTTCAATTATGTTGTCAAAAGCCAAAACCAAACGACCGACTGACTGCAATTTATAGTCCAATTAATTGGAAGTCACGTCACCGCAAATACAGAATTAAATGATTACCAATGCGATGCTGGTCCTGTCGTACCACAGATTATCCTGATGGCTGAGTGAGTGGCAGCGTGCAGGCAAATTTGTTAACAAAAAAGGATTTCCGTGTCGAGATTTGCAAGAGGATGAATACGAGTAGCAGCTGCCAGGAGCAGAAAGAAAGTAATTTAAATTTGTAAATCGATATGGTTGACAGCGGCGGTAGCCTGAACCCTTTTTTTCTCTCTTTTTTTTGGCACCCATTTGAAAATTTATAAATATTTTAAGTTAATAAATGCGGCGCCAGCGGCTGTTTACGTCTGCTCTAGGAGGCTTCTGCAGCTCCTGAAAGGAGCCAAGTGCCCCCAAAATTTGCATAAACTAAAGGGGAAACTTCCACTACACTCCACTCTCAACAGTTTGGCTGGGGCTGGGGCTGGGGCTCGGGCACTGACTGTGTGGCTGTCCTTTTTGTGAGCCTTAGCAAATATTCTCAAGTTGGCTGTCAAGAGAGCCGCGGGCTTTTTATGCTTTCCGCTTTCCACCTTTGCTCTGCTCTCTGTCGAAATGAAAGGAAAGGCAAGGAAAGGAAAGAGTTTTCCCTGCCCGGTTTTCCAAGTTTTTCCTTACAGCAGCTTTAACGGCTAATGGCCGCTGAGCTGCGACTGAGAACGCTTTAAGCTGTTGCCCTGACATACGCCCAGGCCCTCCCTTTCTGTTCTCTTCTCCGTTTTGTGGGTCTAGTTTCATTGACCCAACATGCAAATTGACTGTGAAACGAAACAAATGTACAAGTTCTGCCTTGCTACTGGTTTCGGGATTATCTGTATCCACAGACACCACCGAAAAAACAGACATAGAAAACTTTTACATTCGTATAAAAACAGAATCGGAAATCAGGAGTCAAGCACCAGGGCGGACGGGGGACCAAAAAAATCAATGAGGCTGCCACAGTTTATGGCTCAACATATCCTAGATGGCATATGGCTGTACTTTTCGCTATAAATTATTCCCAACACAGAGAAGCTGAAGGCGAGGCAGGACGAAGCGGAAGGACTCCTCTCCTCGCCTCGCCTCGCACACATAAAATATTGTACATGAGTGGCTTTTATGCAAAGAAGCTGTGGCGACACCCCCTCACACCCACACCCCTCGGAATTTGTTAGAGCATGGGCCAAGAGAGAGCAACAAGTTAGGGTCATAAGAAAAAGAAATATTGCGTGGCTGGAAAACTTTAAGAGCAAACGGAAATTGTTGCCAGCCTTTTAGGCAGACAGCCAGACCAGACCAGACCAGAGAATGATTTATCTGCGCAGAGTTTATGCCCATAAAAGCGGGGTGGCAGTGAGGCAGGGAGGCAGGGATAACCATAATCATAACACCAGAACTCCCCCTTCATTAACAATTCATTAAAAGCCACCACAAAAAATTAAAATCCACCTAATCGCGGAAATTTATCCTCAAAAGTGAGGATGTTAAACGGGGGGTCTCACAATTCGATAAAGAAGCTTGATAAAGCAGCAAAGAAACTGGCAGCATAAAGAAATAAATAAAAACAGAAGGACTGTTTTTAGAGTCTTTCCCATGGGAAAACCCTTCTACTGGGGTAGTCATATATGGCATGTATTTTCACAGAGTATTTGCCAGGTCGCCATGGCATTTTTCGGCTTACAGCTAAGCCGCAGCCTCGAATTTTTGCATGTAAAATTAAATATGCACAATTAAAATTATGACTATTTAATGGGGCAAATCAACGTTTCGTTTGTGCAACCAAAGGGAAAACAAAACGTGCAAAAAGCGAAAAGCGCAATCGATAAGTAATTTCCGCAACAAGTTCTGATGGCATTTTCATTGGCTCTGACACTGTGACACGTGTGTGCGTGTGTGTGTGTGTGTGTGCATGTCTGTGTTCTGCTGGTTAAATAAGTATTTTGTAATTATTCATAAATATCAGATGAGGCTGCCCTGATAAATTAGCTTTATATTTATAGAAATAACAAAGCAAAGCAGAGCTCTGCCAGAGAGCCCTACCAGAAACTCTTCCGCAAATTAACACCTCAAATGTAAATCAAATAAAAATCGAACAGAAATAGAAATAGAAACAGAAATGAAAGAAGGAAAGGTCAAGCCTCGCAGCGAGGGCCAACAATTGAGAGCCGAGAGCCGAGAGCCGAGAGCCATGCCACTTGACATTGTCCAAAAGCGAAACTGAAGCAAAGACCCAGAGCTGCGTCGTCGCTGGCTCTGCCTCTGCCTCTGCTCGGCCACTCGAGAGGCCACTCCACAGAAGAGGCTTCGCTTGTCTTTGCTTGGTTTTTTGTTGTTTCTCTAATTATGCGACTCTGGCTGCTGGCCGCTGGCCGCTGGAGTCCAAATACTTTTTTTGGCTATAAATTGAGCAGCTGGCAGGCAGAAAGGCATCAATCCGCTCAGGCAACAGCAACAGCAGCAATTGCAGCAATCAGCGAAATCCCCGAAAAATCTAATCTTGAAAAATGGTGAGCACTGGCTGGAGGATTGGGACTACCTCCTGTGCATCCTGTATCTGAATCTCCGCTCTCTTCTCTTTCGAACAGAAAATCTTCTCTCTCGGTAGTGTCCTCGCCCTCTCGGCTGTGGCTAGTGCCGCTCTGGCTGCGCCCCAACTGGAGTCTCGTCTGCGTCGTGATGTCTCCGAGCTGGTGGATCCTGCAGCTGCAGCGGCAGCAGCACCCGTGGAGTATCTGCCTCCAGGCATCACTGAGGCCGCTCTGCTGGAGGAACCACTGCCTGTGGATGCTGATGCTGATGCTGAAGCTGAAGCTGATCCCGAGGGCACCGTCCTGGGCGGCGAGGGCTACGAGTACCGCACTGTGCGCCGCCTCAAGCTGCGTCATCGCAACCGTCGCGATGTCTCTCACTTGCAGGTGCAGGCTCCTGCCCGTCAGTATCTGCCCCCCAGTCAGGCCTATCTGCCACCAGCTCCTGCTGCTCCTGCCGCACCTGCTGCACCCATCGATGACACCGAAGAGGTGGTCTCTGCCGTCGAGCCAAAGCTGGCGCTCGCTCGGGAGTATCTGCCGCCCGTGGAGGTGAGCACTGAAGCGGCCCCCCTGGAGGAGACCACCACACCGCTGCCGGAGGAGCCCGAGGCCGATGTCCGTGTGGTGGATGTGCCCGCCAATGGCGGCGCCGGGCAGCTGCTCCAGGATGGCTATCACTACCAGCAGCCGGCGGAGATGCCCGCAGAGCTGCGCGAGGCGGTCCGCGAGTATCTGCCGCCTCTCGGGGATGAGGCTGTAGTCGTGGAGGGTCCTGCCGATGGCCAGAGTGCTGTCCTGACCAACGACGGCTACCAGTACCGTGCCGTCAGGCGTTACAGATTTTAAATTTCTCAATTTCCCCTCGACTTGCATTAACTTTTCCTCTTCTTTTACCTTACAAATTGTTTGTTGATTTTTAAATAAAGTTTTGAAGTTTTTAAAAGCTAAAAGCAAGAAAATATTTTCTTAAGCCGAAAGCGAAAGTTTTGCTTGCATTTCGGCATTTGCCTTCCCTTATTTTCCCGGCAAATATTAAGCTAATGCAGTGGGGATCCAATTGGGAGACAGCAAATATCCAACAGGCACTTTGATGGCCAGACTCTGATGCGGAATTATCATCAGGAGCAGCAACTGGCTTATATCTATGGCAGGAGCAGTTTGTCTGCCCCAAACAAACTTCACATCACAGAGATTCCAGGAACAGGACTACATCGCCTGCACCTCATGTTCTCCTCATGTTATGTGTCATCCTGCTCATCCTGGTTTAGTGGCAATCAAAGGCAGTACATCACCAATTAGCTGGATTTATGTGTGGCAATCTCTCTCCTCACCCGCTCCCTTTAAGCCTTTCAATATGTAGAATCATTGCAGCTCTTTTTATAGCTTCTCCTGCTGCTCCGCCTCTTGGGTTGGGTTGCCATGACCGCCTTTGGTGGGTGGGCGGCTTAATTAATGCACTTGCGCGTTAATTCAACTCAATGGCAGGAGGCAGTGGCAGTGGCAGGAGGCGGCAGTGTCGGCAGCCAGAAGAACAGCATTAAGTGCTCACTCAAGTTAAATTACTTTGACTGATGAATGAAGGAGCAACAGCAGCAGCAGCAGCAGCAGGAGGACCTGCAGCAGCAGAACCATCCATCCAATCCCGGAAGAGAAGCAGATAATGACCAGCTCGACATTTTTACACACTCTCACAGCGTGCAACGATTTCCGCTTGAATAAACTTTCTTCCTTCGTTCGCTTCTTGGTTTTTTTTGGTCTCTTTTTAATTATGAAATCAATTGTGCGAAATTCAATTAACGTCCTTGCACTTTTCACTGCACAGCAGGGGGGAGGATTCCCATTGGATTCGCATCGTATCGATGCTTGGAGCATTCTCAGTTTTCATTTCAACATCTGCACAAATATGATAAACTTTCCCCAGCATCATAATCATCATCGTTTGCCGCTTGTTTATTTTTGGGATGTCCGCTCTGCCTCTGACAGCCCGCTTATTGCATATTGTCACAAAACTGTCTCGTTTCGAGATATATCACAAATCACAAGAGCAACAAGCGGCCACAATCGCTTCGTTTCGATTCGTTTAGATTCGAGGCAGGACATTTGTGCGGGTCCAACCCGGAAAAGGACTTACAAGACCCCTAAGGATGGGACACAAAACGATATCAGATACACGCTGAAAAAGAGACACTGAAATTTCGCCCGCAGGTAATCAATTTCACTTGTGGCACGGAGCACCCAGTGCGAGAAAGGATGTGGCCATGTCCTTGTGCTCTCTCTGCAAGTGACAGGCTCTCGCCCTGTGAAATGATATTAAAAATTATTGCGCATATTTATAAATTTAATTTCACAGAGAGAACAAGAGAGAGCAGAGCAGAAATCACTGCAGGGCAGCAGCAGCAGCAGCATCGTAAATGGCAGGAATTCCATTCCATGTGCTCAATATTCTTATGGTTTTTTAACATCTCTCCCTCTGCCTCCGTTTCTCTCTCTCTCTGTCTGCCTGTGTGTCTGTGTCTCTGGTGCACATTTCATTCACGCTTTGTCTCTTAAGCGGCGGCTATAAAAGCAAAGGACACGAGATACCAGAGACTCACTCACACGACGAGATACTTTCACACAGATGCGTCGCCTGGGTCGAGCCGTCAAGTGGCGCATTTAATGGTTGATGTCGTATATCGGCTTTACAGGTGCCATATTTGGCTCTGTGTAATTGAGTGCCTGAAATAAAGATGCAACAGTATACAGAGCAGTGTCTAATTTTGTCAATTTTTGGTAGGCCCTCAAGTTTATGGCAGCCGCTCAGGTCAGGATGGAACAGAACCCATTAAATAATTGCAGTGCGAAAATGTCGCCTGTCAGCTGATTCGTTATTCGTTGTTCACACTCATTAAACATGCACTCATTCGCTCGTGATTATTGAATAATATTAAATCAGCTCCGACAGGGATTAAATGTCAGCAACAATCTGGATTGCAGTTGCCTGCCCCTGGCTTGCCCTGCCGTCTGAGTGGGTGGGCCGGGCCATAAGCCAACAAAAACCATTTACTCGCAGCTACTCGTATTTTTTGCCACCCTCCCCCCTTGCCATGGCATTTTATGTAATGCAAACACTTTGACTTAATTAAAATGGCAATGGCAAACAAAGACTATGCACAGCACTGCACTGCATATGGGTGAGAGATGGGGATGGGGATGGGGAAACCCCGGGCAAACAATGAAGAATATTCATTGTTTTGATAACTCGGACACAAGATTGGCTTTCCTTGGCAGAAGAAAATCCTAAAAAAAAAACCCCCGCCTCCCCCTTTCTAACCCCAACTAAAATTACACAAATTTTTGTGGTCAGGCTATTAATATTGAAACAAAGACAGAGGCCGAGACCAGGGAAAGATGTTAATACGTATACGAATATATTGTGCAGCATATTCCCGGTTACACTTTCGTGCAAAATTGGAAACACTCTTCAGATTTTATGGAACGAAAAGTCTCTTTGTGGCAGGACAAGGCACAGCCCAAGAGAGAACTGAAGTTGGGAACATCGAGAATAGAATATTGAAATGGAATTTGTGTATCTTGCCCAAGAATTTAGCAAGTCTGAAATTCAGTTGACTGAATTGAAAACGAGAACATGGGGCATGGCAGAGAGTTGTGTGTGTGTGCTGGCTACATAGTTTGTGGAAAATGAAAGGTTGCAATGAAAAATGATTTCCAGCTGCGTAGTTTGGGTTCCAGTTTGTGCTGCTGCTGGCTCTGTGGGCTCTGTGGGCTCTGTGGGCTCTGGGGCTCTGTCCCTTTGTCCCCCCGTTGCGTACGCATCACAGAATCACGTTACACAAGCATCAGGCTGGTGATGCTGCTGCCAATGCTGATGATGGAATACCTAGATGTGTGCTCTGCTCCTGGGTTGGTTTGAATATTCGTTTGGTTTTAAGTGAACAAAGTAGAGGCAACCGAACAACTCTCTAATTAGTGATGCGAAAATGTTGTGTCCATAACTGCTGTCCGTTTGACCAACTCCAACTCGGAGGGTAATCCGAGGCGGCGCGCTGCTGCTGCTGCTGCTGCTGGCCATTAAATTGTATCCTGTCTGGCAAACAAGTCCTAATAATTAACCAATTACCTGGCCGCACTTCAAAGCTGTTGCTGCTGCTGCTGCTACCCCGAACATCGCATCGCATCGAGTCGGGTCTTGGGTCTTGGGTTACGCACTGCCAGCTTCCATTTTTGTAGTCCCAAAGTGCTCGCCTGTTGCTGGTTTTGCTGGCGTTTTCGACCAGAGGCCACAAAACTTTCATCTTCCATGGGTCTGGTGGGTCTAGCTGGGTGTGTGGAGGGTGTGTGGAGTATTCATTGCTTATTCATAGCTCAACACACAAATGAGCGACCCTTAACGAGGCTCCTTGATGGAACTTGTCTCTCTGCAGCAGACAGCAAAGATTAACCCGGATCAAATGTGCCCAAATATTAGTGAAAAATACAAGTGAGCAATAGACTTGAACTTGGAGTTGGAGCTGTGTTTTGTGCTGCTTCATTTTAAAGAATGAATCGACATGCATTAAGGATGATGTCTTCCCCCGACATGGATAAATAAATGGGGTTGGACATTGCAGTGGACATTTATAGACAGCAAAGATTAATTCGGGCCACAAAAATGTTGAAGTTATTCGCAGAAATCTCACATTATTTATGGATGAAATGTTTTATGCCCTCGAAGACTTTTTCAGTTGGAGTCCTGGGAGTCCTGGGAGTCTATTAAACTAATGAAAATTAGAGAGAAGCATCAACTATCTAGGGGGGGAAAGACGCGCCTGTGCGTGTCCTTGAACAGACATCAAACTGCTTTTCGGGGGGTGGCAGAGGACAGGGCATATAAACACGTACGCTGCTGGCTCAACTATGAGAAACCCCGGCCAGGACTATTTCAACCCCTGAAGCACCAGAGCAGCAGCAACAACAGCAGGTGCCCATCAGGAAAGGGACTACCGTCACAACGCCACAGCAGCCCCAAAAGAGGGGAGGCCACAGTGAAATAAAAAACGCATATTGCGTAAATTTCGATGGCAAAGGCGAAGGTATCGCAGGTCGCAAAAGTCGGATTCGCATTCGGAGTAGGGACACAGCCACAGCTACAGCCAGAAGCAGAGTCAGGTGCGTGTGCGGCACTTATGAGTGGCACTTAGCCTGGCCTAATACCCATCATTAGAGCATTTAACAGGAAACACGTGACACTGCATGGAAGCCACCCTACCCCGAACTGCTCACCGTGCTCCTCGTGGCTTCGCAGAGACACAGAAGAAGAAAACACTTTAAAAATTCCCATTTTCACACCCCAAAGGATTTGACAAAGCTTTGGCTTTCAAAGGCCCACTGCCTCCAGAGCGGGTGTCGGCTGCTGATGGCTGGAGGAGGCAGCCGTCACCCAGGGCCTAGACACAGTGGTTCCAGCGAGGTGACGGAATTGTAATTAATTTCGAATTATTCCACAGTCTAAGCTAAAAATAAACGACTGCCAGGTACCGTGGAATTAGGGGACACGATTTAACGTGTTGTTTAGCATTCGTTGTCACATGGCAGTGGAACAAATAATATACGAATAGACGAGATATCGTTTGAATTTCCAGCCGGGCGCGCAAACGAGCGATGCTGTAAAGTGGCAACTCTGGAAACGCTGAACCAAACTATGTTATTGCACTGTTAAGTGCGACTGTTTTCGCGCCTAACAGCGCCAAACACTGATTTCGAGTACATGCAAGCAGTTGAACCGATAATCTGCACTGCTTGATGTTTGGCGGTAAATGTTTCAAATTCTAGCTGAGTTTTTAATAATTATTCATTTTATTTAATTAATATAAAGCTATTTTGTTGACTGTAGCACTTTCAACGTACGTTAAGCGTTTAGAAAAATCGTAAAAGTTACAAATTGTTGTGACTGTGTGTGTGTGTGTGGTTGTGTATGTGTGGGGTGGTGGCCGCAGTGTGTTGGGGGTGGGGCGTGGGGCAGAAGGTGGTGCTGAGACTGGATTAAAATTAGAGAGTTTAAATCGAAAAAATACTTGAAAGACATTCCTCGTCCTCCTCCTCTTCCTCATCATTTGGTACGAACTTTGTACATTTTACAAACATTAAAAACTAACACCAATCCGATTCAGATGCAGATGCAGATTCAGATTCAGATTAGTGCATTAAGTAGACTACTGCAGCAAGGAGGGAGGTGGCCAGGAGGGTGGAGAGTGCGCCGCCAGCTAGAGAGGAGGCGCCAGAGCGGCAATAGTACTCATCACAGTTGGCATCGGCGAGGGTCTTGTAGCGATGCAGCACCTCCGACCAGTTGCAGAGACCGACGCTGCACCAGTCCAGCTGCACGGCATCCTGATTGAGGAAGAAGACGACCTTCTCCTTGTCGAGCGCGGCGGGGCAGTCGTACTTCACGGCCACAAAGTTGGCGGCGAAGGGGCCCAGGATGCTCGTCTTCCAGCGCCGGTTCGTCAGGCTGTTGTAGTTGTCGGCCCGCAGCTTGATGTCATCCTTGCGGATGCCCAGGGCCGTGATGAGGGTCTGCAGCCCAGTGGTGTGCCCGAAATGGGCGATCACATGCGGCGACAAGGGATTGCTCAGGTGCGTGAGCATGTCCTGCACGAGACGGCAGTTGAGACGTGCCGTATCCTCCTCGTAGCCATAGCCCGATCCGTAGTAGTACTTGAGATCCTCGGCATACTCAAAGACAGTCACCTGCTCCGGCAGGAAGGCGCCGCACCAGACGCTCGTGCGATCCACCTGCCACGCCTGCTCGTAGCGGCACGTGTCATACATCAGCGTGATGTCAGCCTGGTCCAGAGTGTACAGATAGCTACAGGCAGATCCAAATAGAGAATTAATTACAATTACTGCCAGTGCGAGTCTGGAGCTCAATCTCACCCCAATCTCGTGGAGATATCTGCCAGGGTGCTGTTCCACAGGGCGGAGTGTGTGTACTTGTGGTACTCGGATCCCTCGCCCTTGTAGTTGAGCTCGTTGTACGACTGGCAGTAGTCGTAGGGGCGCAGCAGGAGATCATCTTTGGGCATGTCCACGGGATGGGCGGCATTCCCGGTGCCAAACAAACCCTCGGCAAACGCCTTGAAGCTCTCTGTGGTCCGCTGGGTGTCCGTGTGGCGGAACTGCAAAGCAAATCCAAAGTATTATTGAAGATTCGCAAAGGCTAGTTCGAATTGCAAATGCTCACCTGATAATACGTATCATTGTAGTCCTTGGGCAGGACAGTGGGATAGTAGCGCTGATAGAGCTTGGCAGTGCCCCGCAGATCATCGTAGCCCTGGCTGGTCAGAAACTCATCCATATCGGGGGTAATGCTGCTGTTGCCCTTCCACAGCTGAATGGCAATCAGATCCTCAGTGCACAGCGCATTGTCGTCGGGCTTGGTCTTTGCCACCCGATAGTTATTAACGATTTGATCGCGCAGCTAAACAAAGCGAAAGAAGGGAGCAATATTAGGCTGTAGAGAGTGAACGATCGGTGGTGCCGGGACTCTACCTCTATCAGCCGGGAGGCCTTCTTGATGGTACCCGATTTGGGTAGCCTGGTGCCGTGCCTGTGGAAGACCCACATTTTCTTGGGCTCGCAGCCGGGCACCAGGTACTGCTTGTCGATGTTGCTGCTCTTGGCAATCTGGTAGGCCGTCTTCGAGGCAAATTGCGCTGTTTGCGGGCGATCCGAATCCTTGCCAAAGCAGTAATCCTCCTGCCCATCCACCAGGTATGGTGCCACCAGTGGCACCAGCAGCAGCAGCAGCAAACGCATGTTGTCTCTGGAGACAGACAGAAAGAAAGACAGACAGAGAGTTGAGTTGAGTTGAGTTGAGCGGAGAAAAGGGTTGTATTCGGTCGGGACATGGACATGGACATATCCTTGAACTGTCGCCAGCCCTAATGGACAGGGGACAGGACGAGTGTCATATGTGGAGGAATGCCATCACCACCACCCCAGCCCCCACAGAGCCACAGAAGCGCCGCAGGAAAAGCAGGAAAGGCAGGAAAGGTGTGGCATTTAAATTGCTTCGCTGGCGTCTGGCAAGACGACTATAAAGGAGGGGCCTGGCCCACAGAATCGAAGCACAGAATGGAAATTCAGTCAAAGGAAATGCCAGCACACACGCACCCATCCACCCACACACACACACACACACACACACACACACATAACTGGCGCGAATGAACCTCAACTGTGGCCCTAAAAATTAGGCTAATGATTATCTTTCTGACAAATTGCTGCAGTTCCTCCACGTGGCCGCCATAGCACCTTACAGCCAAACGTCATAGCGCCCACCTCCTGTCCGCCAATCACCTCAATTAGGTCAGTGGATTGGGAGGGGGAGAGGGAGAGGGAGAGGGTATGGCTCATAAAAAGTTTGTAATGTTTCAATTTAGTATCTACATATGTATCATGGTATGATGCCCGCATCCGCACATCCCCAGCATTGATTAATCAACAGAAGGGTCTGCTCCATCCGCAGGGTCTCCTTCTAGGGCTGCATGGGGTGTGAAGTGACAATAGGTTGCCCATTAACCGACACGACACACAATTTGAATGTAACTTGAGCTGATTTTAACTTGAACTTCGTCTGTTGTTAGCCCTGCCCCTAGCCCCCATCGATTGATCGATCGATCGCTCAGGCAGGCCTGTCAATAGAAATTCTATTAAAATAGATCTACAATAAATATTATATCAAAAATATTGCATCGGTAAAGAGAACTCAAAAGAAGACAACAAAAAGATTGTAGTAATTTAATATTCTTCATATATTTATATGTGTATATAAGCTATATAATTCTTTAATCTCGCTATTTGGAGAATGTCCATTTGTCATTTGGGGGCCTGTCAACTGCCTGTTTCCTACCTTAGGCTCTAATTCTCATGGATTATCTTAGATCTCTCTGATTTATCTTCTATATTGAGATAATATTCATATAGTAGTAGTCCATCGGCTGTTAGATATCGGACTTGCCGGGCCTATAGGCTCTGTACACGGATGGGAAATTAATGTCACTGTATAATATAAAGTTCCCCCCATGCAACATGCAGGGAATCTAACTATATATACGAAATGTAATCCCATAAAAAAAAGGAAAAAACAGTGAGCACTAAAAGGTTGCATTTCAGCTGAAATTCGTGCCTAAAACCAAATCAGAATTTAACTTAAATATTTTTTCAACTTTTCAAATAAAATTAAATTACATTGCATGAATGTCTTGTGCCACTGCTGCTGCTACTGCTGCTACTGCTGCTGCTGTGTGGCATGGCTTTTAATTTGAAAATGCATTTGGTGGAAAGCCTGCTTCCAAAACAAATAAATCCGCCTGCCAGTCAAAACAGAGCAGAGCAGCCACAAAAACACAAAGTAAAACAAATAAATTGTAGCCGAAATAAGAACCAAAAATAGAACGAAATTAATTTCTGTTTCTGCTCTGGTCTGCTCTGCTTTGCTCTCTGTTTTGTGTTTAGTTTGGATCGTGTTTGCATCATCGATCGATGGCCATTGCCTCCAAAAATTACGCACAACTACTCTCGTTGCGATGCTGCAACCTGTTGCCTCATGCCACGAGAAGAAGCTGCTGTGCCTGTGGCTTCGGTGCCTTCGGTGCCCTGCCACAAAGTGACGTCATGGGCATTGCATTGACAGCTGCAATTAGCCTGGGAATTTATAATTACATATATCGCCTCCTCACACCCACCCCACCCCACAGCCGATCCAACCGATGTGCTGTCATTGAGGAGCGGCAGAGCACACACGCATCTAATTTGTTCATCCATTTCCATCTTTGGATCTTTGCATCTTTTGCATTTTCAATTTCAAGTGCAAATAATTGCATGACTCGCGCGCATCCATTGGATACACTTTTCAGCTTCGATACGATCCGATCGTAGTTCTCCAACCCCCCCTGCCCGTAGCTGGACCCCACTCCCCTAATCAATTGAATGCCCTGCCTTTGTTTTTTGCCCCACAATTTCTGTTAGTTTTCTGTGCTGTGGCTGTGCTGTGCTGTAGTGTGTTTTCTCAATGTGAAATTAAAATTCCAATTCGACTGCCACGGACGGACGTCGTCCCGTCTCGTGTATTCTTTGATCACTTTATGAGAACTGGATATGCCAGAGATCCCCAGAGATCGCCAACATTTGAAACTAATTTAATCTTTCAATAATATTCATGATAAAACTCTCGTATTTGTGTAGGAGCGTGCGTGATATTTGGCCAATTTTTGCAGCTACATATACATATATATATCAACCATTCCTCGTGTATTTCCCTCTATGTGCCCTCGCTCTGATTTCAGTTTCAGCGGGTCTGTTTTTTCCTGGGTTTTTAGAGCATAACATAAATCAAAACCAGAATTCCCCCTGCTATTTTTTCCGACGACACAACCGGCCCACGAAAAGTCATTGCCATTAGCCGAGTGTCCAAATGAAATCAAATTCATCATTTTACCAATTGATTCACTCGGCCACAGACCCACTTCCAGACCCACATAGATCTCTGCAGATTGATTGATCAAAAGATCGTTGAACTTTCCCCAGGAGAGTATGACATAATTTTGAGACGAGTACGAAAGAATTACGGAAACGATGCTCCAGTATTTGTTATGTGCCAGTGGAGCAGCACTTTCGATTCAATTTGTGGCCAAAAGTTAATTCATTAAACACGCAAAACGTTTTTTGTTTTGTTTTGTTGTTTCGCGAGCTGCTGTGAAAATTGTCGCGCAATTTCCAAAACCCAAAAAGCAAAAACTGCCGTGTGCTGTGTGCATATTAATTAGCATATATTTATACCTATGCACATACATGCATACATATTTGATGATACATGATGTATCTGTGCTGGTGCTATACGAATGCCATGACAGAGAAACAGCCGTCGAGTCGACCAATTATCGTAATGATGCTCCAAGCGCAATTCACTTAAAAATCCCCAACACGTCTACGGAAAACGGCACATATATCATGCATATATTCCTTATATGAATGGCCATTAAGCCGTGCCTGGAAATGGGGGTCGGGTCCGGAGACCGGGTAGACCAGACCGGAACATGCATTCATTGCGAGCATAAAAAATTCTAGGGACAAGGACAAGATTTTGGTTAATATTCAAAGAGCGTTCATGTTGTTTTTCCCAGTGCCTGGGAACTATGCGACTCCTCTAGGGTTTTCCCCAGAGAATGTTTAATTCGAAAAAAAAGGCTGGAAAACAGAACATAAAGTGTTTAATTTATCACTTGGGGGCCCCCGCCCGAGGCGACCTTCTCTCCATTACATCAGATCTCAGATCTGGACGGACGGGGGGCGGCTGTCTCGTCTGTCTTTCTGTTTGTTGGAAAATATTCTAAATTATGCCGCCTTGCTTGACCTCAGAGACGAAGCAAGTGTGGCTGTGGCAGTGGCATGGACAGTGGCAGGGGCAGCGATGGTGGCAGACGCACATTTCCCCATCTTGGAATTTTGTAAGAGTTTTCCAAATATTTGTGGGATTTTGGCAGGCGGAATATCTGTTCGTACACCCAAAAATAGAACCGCTCTTCGTTTATAATGATATATTAACTAATTCCCATTAAAAAGCAAGGAAAGTGCTTGGGGCGGCCGCTGAAAGGCGGCTGAAAAACGCCACTATTTCGGTTTGAAATAAAAGGAAAGTCTCTTTACGTATTTTCCGCTTTTCCACGGTTAAGGTTAAGTGAGCAGAAGAAGAGCAGTCGGGGGAAATGAATGCCAAAATGCTTTTGGCACGAATTCAAGAGGAAAAACTTTTGACAAATTCTGCAATTTATTTGAAGTGAGTGCAAAAGGGTGGGAGGTGGGAAACGAGCAAGAGAGCCAAAGATCGCGTCACAGAGAGATAGAGAATGGGAGAGCACAGATCAGAGAGTGGAAAACAACGTTAGAATATACGTTTTTATGTCTATAACCGGTTTCGATCTCTGTCTCTCTCTCTCTCTCTCTTTGTTGTTCACAAACATTTGCTTTTCGGAGGTAGTTGGCCCACTTTGGGCTGGGCCTAGACGAACCCCACCCCCTGCCCATATCAGGTAGCTGCCGAGGCAAATAGCGAAAAGCCGTCAACGAACCGCAGGAGAATTCCAGAATTTGTTGTAACACAAAATTTGTGCACACATTTAAACGAAAGAAAAAGACTGCTAAGCATTTGATACCCTTTACCGCGTGGATTGTATATATTTTCGCTTGTTGAGGAAGGACTATCTTTAAAGAGGAGATTTCTTCGAAAGTCTTTTTATTCCATCGATAATTCCCGTGAAAGCTATATGGTATATTGATCAGATCCAAGAGGTTACGACTTGTACATATGCATATTGCATGCTTAAAAGGCCAGAACTTAAGTCGTTGATTTTGATCTTAATGGAGCTATGGAGACATTCCCTGCGTGTCCCAACATTCTAGTCACAATCGTAAGACCCTCCTCTGCAAGGGCATACAAATAAATTAAATATTTAATGTGGCTAGCGTGCCGATGCTCGAGGCTTGCCCCAGTGGCAAAGGCAGGGGCGTCGTCGCGTTGCCCAATCGTAAATCTGGGAATCCTCCAAAGGGCGGACCAGCCACAAGGGAGAAGCTCCTCCAAGATGTAGGAGTACGGGGACACTTGTGTCAACTATTTGTATATGTAATTTGCTTATCTTTTTTGCTGCTTTTCATTTAATTCCATGAGCTTAGATTAATTGTGTCCGCTGTCCAGCTAATTATTTTGATTGTCTTTGCTTTGCATGCGGCGTGCGTTTTTTAAGCGCGTGCAAAACGCAGCACTAGCCTCGTTTTGAGTCAGAGTCCGTATAGAGTGGGTCTGGGAGCCATTCAAGCCATTCCACTGCCAGCTGCTAATTTGATTGCTAACTCAACAACGCGACAAACGCGAATAAACAGACATTTCTAACTGAAAACAGAGATCTGATTAGATCATTGAACCTCCCCCTTCGCTGGCTTGCGGTTCTGTTCCTAACTTTCTTTCGGGCATTAAACAAAAAAATTTAAATCCCACGCTGCGTGGAAATGGAAACCCGAAAACAACATAAAGAAACATAAAGAACTAAAAGGGAAAAAACACAAGACAAGAAAACAAATTTGTTACCAAAAACTGATTAATGTTGCCACCACACCACAACAGAACCACTCAAGTTTCCAGCGTTTTTCATTCATATGCAAAATGAAGACAGAACACCTGCGAGAGGAGCCCTGCCCTGAAGGGCTTGCAGAAGAATGATATTGCGATGATATTAAGGTAAGCATTTTGTTGAGCTCATCACAAAAACACGAAAAATCTGATGGAGGGAGGGAGGCGTAGCATGTCTTCTCTCCGCTTATATAAGAATTATAGATGATTGCCGGACCGAACAGGTTTCCCACTCAAGTCATTTTCTAACGCTACGCTAACAACAAAATATACGGATACAATACGCTCGGATCGGATCGTTCGAAAATAAACACAAAATTGGCTTGCTCTCTATGCTGCAGGTGCAGCTGACAGGTAAGAGAACATCTGTCCCATGAAAAAAGAGAGCGCTAGCTAGCTGCTTCGTTTCTAATAGTTCTCTAATGGTTCAATTAAATGATATATACAAGACGAGTATTTTGGCAATTGCCAGAAACTATCCCAACAATTTGAGCGCGAAATTTATGGGTTGATTGTTGCGGATGTTTATGGGAATTTTATTCAAATGGCAGACAGTTAATGCTTCATAAATTATATTGATGATTTAAATTTTATGCCAAATTTTAACTCAATTTGTTCATCGACACAAACACACACACGCAGGCGCACATTGTATAGTAATTGTAAAGATTTAGCACACACCTATTTAAAGTGCACAGTTTTGACTGTAGAATTAGTTTAGTTAACCGATTCGTTTGCTTTGCAGTATTTCTTCCCACAAATTAACTCCAAACGCTGAACTGCACGCGAAACCGTTCAAAATGGAAATAAAACCCGCGACCAAATCGACAGCCGTATGTTGTCTACCGCGCCATTCGGTTATCGTAACGGGCCGTCTATCGCTAATAGTGTGCTGCCCAAGGTATATTCAATGGAAGGTTTGGATGTTTATTTTGGCACTCAAAAGTGCATCGCATCTTATGTGAGGCCACAAATAAATAGGAGCGAGAGTACCTGCTATTTTATATACCCTGCTAACTTCTGAGAGTAAAATCGCAGTGTAGGTAAGCGTGGGAAGTCAGGTAAATTGACAGGTGAGAAGATGGGCGGGGGAGGGAGAGGGAGATGCTGCAAGTGATAATCTTGGTGTTTTGTAGGAACGCATGTGGAGTAGATGTACAGTTAATATAGCTTAAATATTTATTTGCGTGTGTAACTAGAACACTCTGATAAGACGAACAATAGAACGAGCCATGACAGGCGTTCAAGTTTAATCGGTAACTGATTGCAACTTATCATGTCTCACTCAAACTAGTATAGATCTCAAGTATATAGATAGGTACTTACGCAAAAGCTGCATCCTAGATAGCGTGGGTAATCTTGTTTTGGGATTGTTTGACAAGTTGCCGGGATAGGAGAAAAACTGACCACAGTGTAGTCCCGGGCCCGTGGAAGCACTTCAGTTTTTTGAATTCTTTGAATTCACGGCGACTCAAGTGGTGTCGATCTATTATAAATCACGCTCTCAATCTCCTTATGACGTCCTCCGAGGCGTCACAAGGCGTCATTAGCGAAATCGGTCACAAATTTCCCGGAAACGTACTTCCTATGTTTCATTATTATTTTATATATTAGATGTTATGCAATTGCACACACAAATGGGCAACATTCTCCATACCTTGCTTGGGAAAATTTAATTGAGATATTGTCTGTAATCTCAGGCTCAAATTGCTGCAGATGGATCTAAAGGAGAAGTTACAAACATATTAATTTTCCGCAATTTAAATCAAGTTTCATCTGTTTAAATAGATGGGGGTTTAGTGGGTTAAGGTCGCTCACTGACTCATGACATCGGTATATAGTATAGTATATTTTCTAAATGTCGGTATATTTTCTCATTTGTTCGGTATATTACGGTATATTTCTGCAAGTCAGTCACACTGAACATTAATCCGTGGTCACACTGGTCATATTGCACACACAACCTACAAATTCAGAGATAGTTTCTGGAATTTATAGTTTTAATTAGAGCTGTCAAACGATTGATAGTTGAGCCATCGATAGCTTTGAATGTTTTGGAAAAAACAATCGATACTATCATGATAGTCGCAAAACCGTCGATAGTAGAGACTAGCAGTAAAATATCGATATTATCGATGGTGCCCTCGATGGTTTGACAAAAGAAGAATCGATGTTTCCACCAAAACCAAAGAATCGATTATATCGATGTTTGAATCGATTTTATCCCAGCTCTAGCACACACAACCTACAAATTCAGAGATAGTTCTGGAATTTATAGTTTTAATTAATAATAAAAGAAAGCTAAGCATAAGTGAAGCAGTCAATGTGAGTCCTGTCAAAGCGTACACCTCCAGTCGAACGACATTCATTCATAATCTGTTTACCGTTCTCTCTCTACCCGTCTCCTGCCTGGCAATCAAAAAAATCATACGAAATCAAAGATGTCAGACTGGGATTCTGTTACAGTTCTCCGGAAAAAGGCTCCGAAGTCGTCTACTCTAAAAACCGAATCGGCGGTCAATCAGGCTCGCCGCCAAGGCGTTGCCGTGGACACCCAACAAAAATGTGAGTTGGGCAGAGGGGATACCCGGGGATCACCTCACCTGGCCGGTTGGCCCCAAAACCACTTTGCACACACACACACATACGTACTAAACAGTCGGCCTAACCTAAGCACAACAACAAAACCTCCTGCTGCAATTGTGGCGATGATGTATTGCGTGGCATTTCACAAGGCGCAGTAATCTGCATTAAGGGGGTATTTTCTGCCTGGCCTAGTTTCCCCACTTTCACGGATCCGATCTATATCTGCTATTGATTTTTGTTTCTTTTCACCCATCCCATCCAATCTACAGATGGTGCTGGCACCAACAAGCAGCATGTGACCACCAAAAACACTGCCAAGCTGGACCGCGAGACTGAGGAATTGCGCCACGACAAGATACCGCTTGACGTGGGCAAGATCATCCAACAGGGACGTCAGAACAAGGGTCTCAGCCAGAAGGACTTGGCCACTGTATGTTCTCAATCTCTTGCTCTCTTGTGCCTAAAACTCATTTAAAATTTATTTTATCTCCTTTTGGTTGGCAGAAAATTTGTGAGAAACAGCAGGTTATAACTGATTACGAGGCCGGACGCGGCATTCCTAACAACTTGATACTCGGAAAAATGGAACGGGTGCTTGGCATCAAGCTGCGCGGCAAGGAGCGTGGCCAACCAATAGCGCCTCCCGGTAAAAAGTGAGACGACGCTGCCGCGTCCACTGCTTGTGGCGCTCCACCATCGAACACCTCAACACGCAACAATGCCAGACAGCAGCAGCAACAACAACAGCAGCAGCACCAGCAACACCAGGAGCCTGGCTGGAGCACCGTGAGCAGAAGACGCAAATGAAGCCTTATCGGGAGGCTCTTAACCAAATCAAATCGGATTAACTAAACCACGCAGCCCAAGACACACACAAATCCACACCCAATTCTCCTTTTACCTATGAGCGCGCCATAGTTCTTGAATGTTTGTTTGATGCCAAAAACGAAACTAATCGCCGCGTTTCACACACATAAACACGATGGCTTTACCTATTATTATAACTACCATTTGCATCCCCCTTCCCCCCTTTTTATTTGTTTTCTGATAAATTGAATATTGTAATTTTAAAATACAAATCACAAGCACAGCCTCGCTCTTCCCTCGCAGAGGCCACAGAGACAGAGAGAGAGACACTAAAGCGAAACGCAACAGACTAATTTGATATTATTTGATAAGGGTCAGCGCTCATAGTTTGAGGGGAAAAATATTTTTCATTCATACACACATTCGCAATGGCAATTGGCAGGCAGCAAAGTTGCCTTTCTTTTCGGTTATACAAAAATTTAAGTTGTGGAATTAAAAAGCAAAACATGAAAACACGGAAATTCTTTCAATTCAATCGAATCGCCAAATCTGAACATTTGCATGATCTTAAACACCAGCTTGATACATATACATATTGTATGTACAACTAAATGATATATGCAAATTATTAGAGCTTAGTCGGACTTTCACTTCACCTACTTTTTGTGTAACGTAACTTATCGTATAAGAAGGAAGGCTCGGTCTCGTCTCTCGTGTGTATGCATTATACATACATGCTAAGTATATACAAAAAACATATTCTTAATGTATTTAGGGTAACATTTTCTAGTCTACAACATATTTAAATATTGTAAGCGATGGCATTTTCTCGATGTTCTCTTACTCGAACGAACACTGCTCCTCCTCCACTCCAGGCGACAGCTTTCCAACTATTTTGCATAAAATTTATGCTAACCCCAATAAATCCAATTCAAAACAAAGCGGAGTTGGAGATGGATATATAAACAATTATACTTATATACATGTGTATTTGCTATGAATGTCTCTGTGTAGTAGTAATTCGTGGAGATGATTCGTGTATTGCCAGTGAATAACTCTTTAATATAATAATAAATGTTTTTTTGGCCATCTAAGTAATAATCCAAATGGTTTTCCATGGCAGTTTTTAAGCTTTGATTTCTTTGGAGAGTAGCTTAAATATTAATATGTATTCGGTAAGGTAGGTTGAAGGCACATGTTATTAGTTGCTAGTCTTTGATTTCTTCTTTGGTTCCTCAATTAAATTCGGTTTCCACAAAACATTAGGTAGTGTCTGTCTAGACTCTAGAGGAACGCCGACTCGGGAATCTCACTGTTTTTCACCATTTTAAGAAACATTTTGGTGGCCAGCTCGAAGTCCCATTCGGCCGACTCCACGATTCTTGTGCACCAAGGAGACGTTAGGCCGGTTAGCTCGAGGAAAAATATGAGCTTGTCGCTCTTGCCTTCGAGTGAATCCTCGGATGCTGGCGCCATCACGCGATCCTTTGGCAGTGGGCAGACCTTGAACGCACTTTTCAACTGGTTCCTCGAGGGATTCATGATGCTCAAGTGGTCATTGACGATCTTCAAGCGGCAAGACTTCTTGCCAAAGCCCTGGAAATGACAGATGGTGGATGAGTCAATTAAAAGTATCTCCAAACGTGTCCTTACCAATCCCTGATCATCAACCTTGAGTACGAAGTTCCTGCTAAAGGCCAAATACAACTCCTTCTGGTTATGGGTGCTCGGAGAGTCGTCGCGCATCAGACCAGTCACATGAATAACCGCCGACTGGCCATTGAAGTGCATCACGTCCGTCTGTAGGGAGATAAAGTCATGGACGACACTCGGCAGCTCCATGAGCACGTCAATGATTTCCGTCACACCCACATGGAATTCGTTTGTGGCTTTGCTGTAGTCCGACCACTTCTTGATGTTTCGCGAGTGCCTGTTGTACTTTGAGATGCGCTTGTTGATATGCGTGTTAAATGATGGTGCGCGCTCAATCACATAGCTGCAGGTCATGGTGAATATCGAGTCGTCAGTGTAATATTTCATCAGGAGATTGGCCCGTTCGTCCGCCTGCTCGAACTCGCGCAGATAGTTATGGAGAAATACGTCGCCCACCAGCTCGTAGGCCCCAATGTCACAGAGGAAGTTCTTCTGCGGCGCCTGGCCCGGCTTGCTGCTCAGATCCACCCCATCCAGCGTCGTCAGTTGAGGGAAGATTTCCAGCACTGCCTGGATATAGTCATTGGGGAGGCTGTACTTTTGGCACAACGGATTGCCATGGAGTCGCAGCGACTTGAGCGGCAGCTCACCCAGCGCCTTGATGTGCTCCAAATCATGTATCCAATTGTGGCCCAGGTCTAGCGCCCTCAGGTTGCCCATTCGCGACAGGACGCGTGCGTCGTCAATCCGGAGAATATTATTGTTGCACAGACGGATCTCCGAGCAGTTGGACATGAACAAGCGTGAGATAATCGTCAGCATATTGTTCAGAATCCTCGTGGAGCCCATGTGGACCCAAAGGCCCTTGAGGCCTTCGGTTGCCTGAAAGTCCGACAACTTGAGCAGCCGATTCTGGACTACATAGCACTTCTGAATGCATTTGGTAATCCTCTCCTGGGGATCCACATGATGCAGTTGGAAGCGGATGACATTCATGCGCAGATAGAACGGAATAGTGCGAGGATCCATGCTTACATCTGGGTCATCTAACTTTGGCTGCATTTCGGGTAGTTTTATCTCCAGATTACAGCTGTGCACCAAATACGCAATCTGTTCGAAGCAGTTGCGCACCATAAAAATGTGCTCCTTTCCGTCAAACTATAAAGGGATTGACATCACAAATTACAAATTCGTTGAACCGTAGGTGAGAGCTCACCTTGTAATAGCAGGGATAGATCTCGGTCAGCATTTGGTTCGCCGTAATAAAGAATAAACTAAAGAGCTGTTGTTCAGTTAACAGGTGCATGGGATCAGGTACCTAGAGATCACAGAAGAGAGTTAAAAGTGTAGACGAAGGACTTGGATTTCCAAGGGTTTACAAACCAGAAAGGCATGCCAATCTTCACTATGCTCAAAGTCTGCCAGCTTCCATTTGTTGGTCCAGTCAATGCGTATGCCATCCGACTCCATATCGATATCATGGTTCAGGGGCGTATAGGTGCTGTGGAGCTTGTCGTAGGGTATGCCATCCACCATACTGAAGTTTCCCTGCAGCGCTTTGATGCTATTTGGATATTTGGAACTCTTCGTGATGGGATTGTCAGCCAGCTTCAGTTCCTTTGCACGAACACGATTCAATTCGCGGCACAGACGAACCGAAGAACCAATCTGAAAATTAAACTCTTGTCTGATTTTATGCTTTACTTTGCACCTCACACATACCTACCTTATTTCCACTGAGATCCAGGAGTCCATATTCGACATCGCCAAACAGCTTGAGCGGGTCCACGCTCTTCATTTGATTGTCCGCGAAAATGAATCCATTCACCGCGCTAAACCGGTCATCGTGATAGATGTTTTGGCAGACTTGCCTCAGGGTGGATACATTTGCCAGACTAACCACAATGTTCTTGAAACAGGGATTCGCCCCAAAGTTGCTCAGATTCAACACGCCACGCACGCCGTTGTGCACCTCCAGACGCTCCATTAGGCGCGAGACCTCCTGAGATACGAGCAGCGGAGGCGAGATCTGATTGCTTCTGTTGGCGGCCACACCGAACTGCACGCTTATCTGTAGACTGGCACCGGTAGATATGCTTAAGCAGAGCTTCTGGGCAAATAGCTTGTCTATCGCCGGCTTGCAGGCACGCGCCAGAAAGTTGTCGGCGTGAGGACCACGCTAAAAAAAGAACAGTTGTCAGCTGAAGGAGAGACAAAGGATTTTCGTGTGAGAGCCAACCTCATAGGCAACCGGATAGAACTCCTCGCCGTCGACCGCATCAAAGATGGCTTCAACAATCACTTGCTGTGGATTCTCCAAATACTCGAGTTGTCCCAGATGATGTATGGAAAACTTATTCCAGCTCAGGCCCGGAACACGATCAGCATAGTTTGAGCAGTTCCTAAACACCCTGGGATCGGGATAATCAACCTGGATGGGCACGGATCCATCCGAAAAGTTTATGACATGTCTGGCGACTATGGCTATGAATTAATTACGATTTTTGTATTTAAATGGTTCAAATATCTTACTCCGGGAGTGCATCGTTTTAGCGCTTCGGCTGAGGCAGTGAGGTCAAGCGACGCTTTTGACAAATGCAGAAGAAAAAATGCTCACAATTTCGATTTCGACCGGTTACTCAGCACTGGCCGTTCTCGGAATTTGGAAATGTGCTGAGTTTTCAAATTCAAGCAGGGGAGAGGGTAAAATGAAACTTGAGACAAATAATTCACTTTTAGAATTTTTATTTTCTGTTGGCTTCTTAAGAGTAACAAGTCTTACGATTTACAAGTTTCAAATTACTTCTTGGGAGTCTTTTTCTTCTCCACTTGTAGTGGAATCGCCTTCTTGCCCTGAAAATACCCCGTATAGTAACCAGACATGTACCATGCAGTCAGCATGGACATAAGGTCCTGCTCCTCGCCCGCGTTGCCATATGGCGGGATAATGGGAGGAATCAATGGCATAGTTGGCATGCACGGTATAGCAGAGGGACCAGCAGACTTGGTCTTGACGGACGACTTCTTGGAGGCACTGGCAGACTTGCCGCGACCTTTTTCCTGTTGCGCTTCCTCGGCCTCGAACTGATAGGCCATCAGGGACTGTTGGCGACGGGCGTCCTTGCCCCAAGATTGCAGCAGATCGGCGACCAAGATCTCCTGCTCGTTCTCATAGCCCAGATAGCGGATCACACAAGTAGCTGCCTCCTCGTTGATGGACACCACGGTACCCTCATAGTCCACGCCGTCAGTGAATGTGGCCCGGGCATAGTCGCCCACCTTGAAGAAAACAGGCTCGGGGCTGGTGGCGTCAGTTGCCGATTCAGCGTTGAATTCCTCCTTCTTGTTCTCGTCCTCGCGGGTATTGGTCGAGTCGGCCAAGCGGCGAGCCAAGGCCTCGCGTGCCAAATTAACCGACTCATCGTAGACTTTAATCAACAGAGAGTCGTCCCAGGCAGCGTCATTGGCGTCGTCACACATCTTGTTCATTGTTTGTTTTTTGGATACAAATAAATAACAAAAAGGGAAATCAATGCGCCAGCGTTAGTCAGCACTGCCCAATCATCGATACCATACCGATTGGTGCCTACAATCGCTTCACTACTTAGGGAAGTCCATCACTAGAGTGCACCAAAAACGAAACTCATTCTCCGTAGTTTTTGCAAACAAAATAAAGAAATAATTTAAAATGGCTTCGGTGGAGACACTATACAAGGAACTGACCGCCGAGTGGTCGAAGCGTCCGCCAAACACCAAGAAATGCGGCCAGCTGCTGGACCAACTGAAAGTAGCCCTGGTCAAAATGGCCTTCCTACCGACAGACGGCAACGATGCCCAGAACTCGAAAAAGCAACTGCTTCTGGCTCGCTGCGTGCTGGAAATCGCAGTGGAGCACAGCGTGTTGAGCAAGGATCTGCAGGCCTTTGAGCGCTACATGTCGCAGCTGAAGTGCTACTACTACGACTATGCCAAGATCATCGGCGAATCGGACAACAAGTACAAACTGCTGGGGCTCAACTTGCTGTACCTGCTCTCCGGCAACCGAGTCTCCGATTTCCACACTGAGCTCGAGCTGCTCTCGGTGGACATCATCCAGCACAATCAGTACATTCGTCCCATCCTGGCCCTCGAGCAGTACATCATGGAGGGAAGATACAACAAGATTTTCCAGGCCAAATCCTCAATGCCCGCCGAGGTCTACAACTACTTCATGGACCTGCTGGTGGAGACAGTGCGCGACGAGATTGGTGCCTGCATTGAAAAGTCGTACGAGAAGATCTCCGCCAAGGACGCGGCCAAGCGTCTGAATCTGCGCGTTCCGGATGAGATCAAGGTGTTTGGCGAAAAACGCCAGTGGAAGCTGGAGGGCAATGGCAACTATAGCTTCACCGACCGTAGCATAAAGCCAAAAGAGGCCCTGCCCTCCGAGGAGCTGGCCGAGCAGGTGCTCAGCTATGCCCGGGATCTGGAGATGATAGTTTAAGTGACCTTAACAGTTTGTAATATTTTTTAAAAATGCATAATTAATAAACAAAATAACATTTAACCCGTTCAGGCCGTGATGCATCGATTTGTGCGAGTCTTTTCCATCCTTAATATCTCTAACGATTGGGCTTTTTATTTTTGAGCAATAGACACATTTTAATTGAAAAAATTATACATTTTAATGTTTGAAATACATTTACATTTTTTTGCTGTCCAGCATTGTTTATAGAAAAATGTCTAAATTGATAAACTTGTAGAAAATTGATTGATAAAACGATTAAAATTATACGTTCTGTGATGAGAGTCCCAGCTAGCTTGTAATATTAAATGGAATAACAAAAATGAGAAATACGAGTTTCCTCGATATATTTACGGTATATTATCAAAATGAGATGGTATATTTACGGTATATTTTGATAATGACAAGGTATATTTCTGAGGGTCAGGCGGCACGAACGAACAGCGGAGTAAAAATTTTCGCTGTGCGATTATTTATAAAAAAAATTGCTTAAAAACTTACGAAAAAGTTATTAAATTATTTAACGCAATGGCCTGCAACGCAAGTAAGACGCACCTCTTGCGCGCTATCGCTGTAAGTTTCAACTTAACCAACAAAATGACTGCAAAATTATTTCCCCTGTGGAGAGTCGTGTTACGTAAATGATATAGTTGCTGTTTAAACTGTTTTTAATTATGAGAGGACTAATGACAATGTTACCCTGTCTTTCGTCAGAAACGGGGCTATGCCACCTGCCCACGCCCCGTGGGCGACACCTCCGCCGTCAGTGTGAATGTTCTCGAGAACAAATTGGTTGTGGCCACAGCTGATGCCACCGTTCCCGTCTCGCGTGTGTCCGTCGTGTTGGGGTAAGTGGCGACGCAGTCTGCCCACCATCAGCACTAATCTGGTTTCTTGCAGAGCTGGTTCCCGCAACGAGGCCTACGATACTCAGGGCGCCTCCCATCTGCTCCGCTTGGCTGGAGGATTGAGCACCCAGAACTCGTCTGCCTTCGCTATTGCCCGTAACATTCAGCAGGTTGGCGGTACCTTGACCACCTGGGGCGATCGCGAGGTTGTCGGCTACACCGTGGAGACCACAGCCGACAATGTGGAGGTCGGTCTGCGCTACCTTCAGGATCTGTTGCAGCCAGCCTTCAAGCCCTGGGAGCTGAAGGACAATGCCAAGACTCTGCACAACCAGCTGGATGCTGTCACCCGAGAGGTAAGCAATTGTCAAATCGTGCTCCCTTCCATTCTGTATTACTAAAATCCTTCTTGTTGTGCAGCAACGCGCCATTGAGCTGGTCCACAAGGCCGCCTTCCGTTCCGGCCTGGGCAACTCCATCTACATCCCCAGGTTCCAGCTGAGCAACCTTTCCACCGAAAGCCTGCTGCACTACGTAGCCAACACCTTTTCGGCCAGTCGCGCTGCCGTTGTTGGCGTGGGTATTGACAACAACACTCTGTCGGGCTTCGCCCAGACCCTGGAGTTCCCGAGCGGCGGTGGAAAGGCTGCATCGGCCAACTACTTTGGAGGCGATGCCCGCAAGGACACGACAGGACAACGCGCCACTGTCGCCGTTGCTGGTCTGGGAGGTTCCATTGCCAACCACAAGGAGGCTCTTGCCTTTGCCGTGCTGGAGCAGGCTGTGGGCGCTGGTGCGGCCACCAAGCGCGGAAACTCTTCGGGACTGTTTGGCGAGGCTGCCAACTGTGCTGGCGGCTCGAGCCCCAGCTCTGTCAGGGCTCTGAATGCCAGCTATTCGGATGCCGGACTCTTTGGCTTCGTTGTGTCCGGCGACGCCAAGGACATTGGCAAGACCGTCGAGTTCCTGGTTCGCGGCTTGAAGTCTGGTTCGGTCTCGGAAAAGGATGTGGCCCGTGGCAAGGCCCTGCTGAAGGCCCGCATCATCTCGAAGTATTCCTCCGATGGTGGTCTGATCAAGGCGATCGGTCGCCAGGCGGCGCTCAGCAGAAATGTCTTGGAGGCCGACACTTTGATTGCTGCCATCGATGGCATTTCCCAGCAGCAGGTCCAGGAGGCTGCCAAGAAGGTGGCCGGCTCGAAGCTTTCGGTCGGTGCCATTGGCAATCTGGCGAACGTGCCCTACGCTTCTGATTTGGCTTAAGTAGAACAAAACTCCTTTGTTATCCGTAAATGTAACGACAAAATAAACCTGTTGGAACTTCCGATCCGCGACAAGTTGAATCTTTCTCTTACTATCTTTAATGTTTGTATAAATACTCCTACTGGAATCCTTTGCACACCGAAGGGATTTTTGGAGTGCATCTCTCGAAACATGCAAAAAACTCGATATAATATAACATAGAATACGTTTAACAATAGGGGGGAATTGGGCTACTACACAAACACCACCACCAGAATGGCAACAAACAGGGCTATGATGACGAGCCAGTAGCCCCAAGTGCTGTCCCGTCGATTAACTTGTCCAATGCTGTGCGTCTCCTGTTGCACACCCGTCTCGACGCGATCCATTGCATTGGCCAGGTTATCGAGAATATCTGGAAATGGTCACAGGTTAGCATTGATAAGAGGACTCCAACTGGTACTCACTGTTCTGATCTTCGACTTCGTTGCCCAGCTGGGTCGCTAGGTTGCGCTGTCGGGAAATAGTGGCCGAGAGCGCATCGAGGCCTCGATTCTGATTTTCCAGCATTTCCGCCTGCCTTAGTTTCAACGTCTCCACATCGATGGGTGTTTCTCGAGGAGTGGGCGGGCTGCCCTGCTCCTGCCAGGCAGAGCCTGAAGAAGCGGCCAGCACATTGGAGCGCGAGCTGTTCGTAAACTTCTGATTAATCTCGCGCAGCTGCGAGGTTAGCTTATCCCAATCGATGCGCCGCTGCTGCAGCTCCTCCTCTGGGCTGGTTTCCCAGGTGACGGCATTTTCTAGTACTACCTTCAGATGCTTCACATCTTTGCCCAACTGGTCCAGCCCTGCTTTGATGCTGTCTGTTAGTCGGATGTACTCCTTCTCCTTGGGCTGCTGCCCCAGTTGCTGGCGCTGATGCAGTTGCACCAGCAGCTGGTGGCGCAGTCTCTCGCAGCCCTCGTACTCGATGTCCCATGAGTCATGATCTACCAGAGCCATTTTGTCGACGCCTCTTTTATCAGCAAATTAAAAACTACGCCGAAGCCAAACAATGAAAACATTGGCAACAGCTGTGCAGTAGAGTAGTGCTGCCAGTCGCCAGTGTTTGAAAGTCATCCAATGTTCTTGACATTTCAGGTAGCATCTGCACTCACACTTTGAAAGGCGGTCCTAGAGACTTGACGATATCTGTGACTTTTAAAGACACATAACTGTGATTAACACAGTGACAATAAATTCAATTATTTTTGTGTTTATGAAATAATTCTATAAGTTAATTTGATAATAATAATAAAATCATTTTTGATAAAACTTCCTTGTTTATATTGTTTAATTGCACTATCATAAATGCACAGGTTTGGCGAATGTGATAGCTGTGTCACAGCTGTGACTGGTGATTTGAAAATACTTTAAAGTAACAGGTACCCAACTATCGCCCATCCCTAGCTCACACGTACACACAATTCAGTCGTGATTTCTTTTATTTGTTTAAAATTATTGCTAAAAACTAAAACAAAAAAGGTTCTTAAAAAGTTGGCCAACATGTTGAGTGCTTGTGTTAATGTTTGCGAACCTTTACCCTAAACGGAGGCCAGCGCGGGCCATTGTTCTCTGCACCTGGTAGTAATCGCGAGTGTAGTGTGGAAGAGAGTGGGAGAGCAGAGAGCACTCCAAAGAATCAACTCTACAATAAATTAAATAAAAGTCAAACCACATACTCAATTACCCAACATGGAGCGGCGCGTGAAGCTTAAGACAATTAATCCGCACATCACGTGTAAAATCTGTGGCGGATATTTCATTGATGCCACAACTGTGACGGAGTGTCTGCACACATGTGAGTTTCACTGACGATGGAGCTGTGCTGTGCCGTGCCGAGGCCTGCCCGGTGGCAACACCTGCCCCGCCCCGCCACGCCGGTTCAAGCCTCCACACAGCCAGAGAGGCAATGAATTTGATTTCAATTGTTTGCACTTTTTCAGTTTGCAAGAGCTGCCTGGTGAAGCACCTCGAGGAAAAGAAAACCTGCCCCACCTGCGATAACATCATACACCAATCTCATCCCCTGCAATACATCAGTTTCGATCGCACCATGCAGGACATTGTGTACAAACTGGTGCCGAAACTGCAAGAAGGTTTGATTTTGATTTTGCTTTTGATTAATGTCCAACAGCAGCCAATTTTTAATTGTCTAATCATCGGATTTGCTCTTCTCCATTTCCAGATGAATCGCGCAGGGAGCGAGACTTTTACAAAAGTAGAAACATGCCATGCCCGAAGGATGTCACGCAAAATCATGAAGATGACAATGAAAAGGTCATGGATGCTCATGCCGAATCCGACTTCCATCGTCTGGACGAGCAGGTCAACGTGTGCCTAGAGTGTATAAGCAATAACTTTAAGAATCTGCAAAGGCGCTTCATACGCTGCAGCTCCCAGGCGACGATAACGCATCTCAAAAAGCTGGTGGCCAAGAAAATCCTCAATGGGATCGAAAAGTATCGCGAGGTAAGTGCACCTCATCATCAATGCTAAACGCATAATGAACTCTACAACTGCTTAACCTTCCATCTTACAGATTGACATTTTGTGCAACGAGGAGCTGCTGGGCAAAGATCATACGCTCAAGTTTGTCTATGTCACACGATGGCGTTTCAGAGATCCTCCGCTTCGGCTGCAGTTTCGTCCCCGAGTTGATCTCTAACAACTGCGAGGGCTGCTGTTTTTAGTATAATGCTACAACAAATGATCTATTTTTATAATTTATTGACAAAGCGTAAATATCGTAATTAGGAGAGTCCCCCAACCCTAGTGTTAGTCAGCCCCCGGCCCCTCCCCCACATCTATGTATGCGTATGTGTAAATGTGCATGTATAAAGTCGTAGTCTAATAGTTATCCCCCTCTCCAACATCCTCCTAGGCGTAACTACTCCTTTAACTTTATCCTTTATCGTGTGTCCCCCCATTTGTTGCTAATGTCGCCTCTGATTTAATCAACCCTCTATATATTTGCAATATTATCATGTTCTCCTTTTTTTTAGTTTCAATGTATACACAAATATATTTATTATTTTAATGTACAAACACACACACGATTGTAAATAAACTTTTAATTATGTCGAAATGAAATGCGTCTTTAATTTGGATGCTGCCAAGAGTTTCTATAACTAAAACGAGATTGTGTATTAAATGGATGACGATAACGATATGGATGGTGTCCATAAGGCCTGGAATAGGGGGGTGCCTGGAACGAAGGTCGCATTGGTTGGTATCCAAATCGTGGACGCGGTGGATATGCCATTGGACCATAAATTCCATTAAACTGATGCGCTGGATGTGGTGCCGGCCAGCCCTGAAAAACATACGAGTAGAAGAGAATTTTAACGACTATTGGTGGGAATCCGGAATGACACTTACATATCCATATGCAAACTCATGTGCTGGCACTGGCACAGGAACTGTTATTATCCGCGGCGGTGGCGTGCGTCGACGCGGACTCCGGGTTCGGTGTCGACGCTCGCCACTTCGACTACGGGAGCGACGACGATGGTGGCGTCTTCGCTCAGAGGAGTTCGATCTCGACCTGGTTCGTCGCTTTCGTTTGACAGTCGGACGCGGGGATTTTTGACGTAGATTCTTCACGCGATCCCGTTCACGCAAGGGATCAGCAAAGTAGGGCACCGCCTCCTGCTCGCGCACGCGGTCGCGATCTCGTACATGATGTCGGTCTCTTCGGGTCCTCGATCCATGGGAATCTACATGGAAAAAGTATACTTAAATCATTACGGAGCGTTGTGTAGAGGCTTGGGAGCAGATCTGAAGTCCATTGATTCGCTTGGGTGTATTCAATTGTCCCAGATTATTGGATGGTGTGTTCGTCCTTTCCAGCGTACATTATCTTCCATTGCACTTTTCACTTTATATGGCACTATAACAAAAACAACAAAAAGAAAAAAATTGCTTTGCACTTGGTCGGATTACGATTGCACTTCTATATACGGACCTCGGTGGGACGCTCCACTGCTGTCGGCGTCCATTATAATGCAGATGCACTTTTTTATGCACTTTCTTCTTCGTTCTGCTGCTGCTGCTCGCTGGCCAGCTTTTATTGCTGTCGGTTGGTGCCTTTGAGATGCTGGGTTTTCCTTATTGATGTTGAAGGCACTAATTTGAATGCTTGGCAATTCTAATCACGGATCACGGTAAATATTTTACTATTAGTTTCGTATTTTTCTTCTTGCCGAACTGTGGAATTTTTATCGACCTATCGATATTTACCTAATTAAATATTTACTTTTTATCTCATTTGATAAGATGTTGATGAATTTTTTATTCAAACGCTACGGATTTTAATGTAGACCATCAATCCATATACTATAGCGGTCGGAAACGACTGTGAATGGAATTTCTATATGCTTTTTGCAAGGTGTGTTGGCAGTTATCGGTTATCGGTTAACGATGCGAGGTGTGTGACCTAGAGAGGGATGGCATGTAAAACCAACTAACAAAATATTTAATTGGCGCAATATTTAAAAGTTACTCTCGCTAACTGTTTGATAAGCGACCGATGTTGTTAAAGCTTAAGGGATATTTTATTAGACATAGCTGAACAGCTTTTATTCATAATATAGGCATAACACAAAGCAGTTTCTTTTCGAACAAATTAACATTAAATAGAACATAAGGGGCAAACGCAATTAAGAAGGTACACAAATGAATTTAAAACTTAACACTAACTGGCACGTTTATACGCTCGTTCTCCATGGAAACTATAATAAGCGGCTCCCTCTTGAGCCCCTCGCGACTGGGCGAACTCAATAGACGAACTTTAATCTCCACTTCTCCACCATCTGGGGCAATATAACATTCCCTGGGACTAATCTGCACAAAGTCCGATACATTGCAGTGGACTTCAATGAGTTGCCCAGAGCGGAAGCAGTTCTTTACGGACAGTTTGGCAATGGTTCCAGCACCGAGCTCAATAGAAGCCGGCTGAACGGACCAGTTTCTCTCTACGGGCAGCATTGTGGTAGTATCCGCCTCATGCAGCTCATCGACAGGCTCAAGCATGTTGCTCTGTGTGGGAGTGGGTGAGTTGGCGGCACAGATGGTGCGGAACAGAACGGTCTCCTCGGCCTCCGGTAGGAACAACAGCGACGTCTCGGCGGACTCGTCAAAATCTCTATTCAGGGTCAAGGCCACGTCGATGATCTTCACAACAGTGACCAGATCCAGGATGAACTCGGGCGGCTCATTCAGTTGGCTGATATTCCTTACAGGCTGCTCATCTGGAAAGGGACTCCACAGGCTGTCCAGCATGGCGGAGGTCAGCTTCTCCCGCTGCCTACTGCTCATGCGATGCACCAGATGCCGCATTCTCTGCCTGTTGGGCTCGTCACCGCAGAAGATACGCATGTTGGCCAGGGTCAGAACCTGCGAGCTCTTCTTCAATATGTTCTTCATATCCTCGCGATTCGGCCGGAATATAACTTGCACCGTGCTCTCGGTGTGGGGCGGCAGAATCATCTTGCTGGGGCGCACCTCGAACGCTTCGCTCAGACGCAGTTTCATCAGCACTGTCGAGTCCACAGAGATGCCCACGAAGGCAGTCAGCGGCCCCTTATTCAGGAACTTGAAGCTGGCCGTGAGCGGACCGGAGTAGAGTTCGCCTACGTCTCCGATGGTGAGGAAGCTGGCACCCACCGGTCCCTTCAGCAGGCCCTGAATGGAAATAGCTGCATTCCCGCCGTAGCCATACAAGGGGATTTCCATTCCGGGCTGGCTGCTGTTTGCGCCCAGCGGAGCATAGAAGGACACGGCTCCAATGGCCGCTCCACAAACGGTGGGGCAGAAATTAATCACAATGCTCCGGCACTCCATGGCCTGGAGGGTAATGGTGCTGCTGTCGTTGCCGACCAGCTGGAAGCCGGGCCCCTGGATGCCCAAGCGTACGACGAGCCGCTTATCCGCCGTATTCTTCACCTGCATGGACTTTCTCATGTCCGTTCGCAGCTTGGTGCTGCCCCAGCAGAGGCTCGTGTGGGTCACTTTCAGTGGCAGCAGCTTTCCATCGCGATGACTGAACTCGCTGGAATTGGAGCAGCGCGAGATGCTGCGAGCACTGCCACTGGTGCCGGCGCCTCGTCTGGCGGTCGTGGATCCACTCGTGGAACTGGCCTCGCTTCCCGCCGGCGAGGAGTTGGCTTTACGGAGTGCTGCCCCCGGCATCAGTTGTCGCCGCTCGGAGCTGGTGGTGCTGTCCAGAAGTGGCGAGGACAGACAGCTTCTCGGCGAGCACATCGGCGAAAGATTACGGGCCGTGGCCGATGCCGAAAGAGAGGGACTCTTGGCCAGACTTGGCGAAATGACAAACTCGCTCTCTGTGGACGAGGGGAGAGCATCGCAGCCGTCCAGGCGAGTGGAGCTCAGCGTGGTGCGGCTCCCATTGGTATTGGGGGGACGGATTGACCCCCTGACAGAGTGCGTCTTCTTGTTCACTGGAGTCTTGTCCTCATCCGCCTCATCCCCATCTTCGTCTGTGGTGGGCAGCGGCCGCACGCCGTCGCTGCTCGCTGGACTCACAGCTCGGGGGGAAGGGGATGACTTGACGCGGCACACACGTCTGGTGGGCGACTTCACTGGCGTCGATGGCCACTCATCTATGTCAGCCTCCATGGAGGCGTCCTTGTCCGCACGCGTAACCAAGATCTGAGGTTTGTCCGCCAGCGGACTTAGTGGTTTTCGCGACACGCTCTGCTGCAGATGCTTAAAGTCCGTGGAGTTCAGGATGGAGTCTGTGAAGCTCATGGTCTCCGTATGCTTGTGCGAGTCACACAGGGTTCGCTCCGCATTGAAGCTATCGTTTTCCTTGTCCTCATCTGCGTGCAGCTGGCCCTGACCACGGCCATGCTTGCGCAACCGCTCGACCACCTCTACGGTGGAGGTGTCCGAGTTAAAGTCCAGATCTCTCAGGGCCTTGTCTATGGCTGAGAGACTTAATATCTCAGAGCTTGAGGGCGGCCGTGCAGGCTCGTCTCCGTTTTTGGACTGTAGGGCACTTTGAAATACCTTCTTTGCATTTTGCATTTTCTTCATCAGATTCTGCCCCAATTTCGATCCCAAGTTGGCCTCTGCCCTGGTGTAGGTCTTGTTGTCGGGCTGCGGGGTGAGAGTGGGGGTGGGGGTGGGGTTGTCCTCGACCAAGGCCTGACCGCAACGCCTGTGGTCGGGACTGTCGTTGGCCACAATGTTCCAGATATTCTCCGAGCGTGTCTGGAAGTAGTAGCCCAAGGAGAAGTCCGGATCTCCGGCCAGAACAGAGCTGAAAAAAAAGACAGAGTGAGGACCAATCAGGGGAAACACGCATCAACTCACTTCGACACGGACGTCTCTATGTCGGACGCAGGTGGGGGGGCTGCAATCTTCTGCATTGCCTGGTTACTCAGCGTTGCCGTGGGCATGGCCGTGAACTCTTGGGCCCAGGATATCTCGCCCAGAATCAATTTCGATTGCATCAGCTCGGCCGGTGCGAAGCTCTCGTCCATGTCTTGGCCAGCGGCCGCAGATGCCGAGCCGAAGGAGAAGCCTCCGCCGCCGTTCAGACTTAGGTTGCTCAGGTCAGCGGTGCGCGGCAGGCTGTGCGAGCAGTTGAAGGAAGACTCCGTCAGGCTGCTCACATTCGATTTAGAGTTGTTTTGCGAGCAATTGCAGCCCGGATCCGCCTGGCTGGCATTGTGCAGCTTCTTCTCCAGCAGACGCGCCTTTTCCACGAACGAAGTTTTTATTATGTCGGCCACCGATACCACTTTCCTGCCCTTGTCGCTGCGGCAGAGCGTCGACCGGCCGGTAATCTCAGCTGGCTCGAAGGAAATGTTTCTGCCCTTCTGGACTGGCGTGGGCGCGGCAAACGAGCCACTGCTGTTCAGATCGATGGTTTCATCGCTGACCAGCTCCGAGATGTTGCTGCTGTTGTTGGTCAGGACACTCTGCCGCCCCCTCATTGCTGGCTTTGCCTGACTGGAGCGCGCGCGCGGCTTTTCCAGTGTCTCCATGGCTCGCAGGCGCTCTGCCCGCAGTCGCTCGTGCACGTTGGAGGTTTCCCTGCGACCCGTGCCGCTTCCGTTCCCGCTCCTGCTGAAGCTGGACAAGTCACCAAACACTGCAAATATTTTCAGAATATAATTTCGCACAAACATACATTCGGTCCATGTGTTGCTCTGCTCCTCACCTTTGAGATTCTCCAAGCTCAATATGCCCAGCGAGTTTTGGTCCATTGGACTGGTATTTCTAGGGCTCCTATTGCCTTTATCCATTGCGTTTTAATATTTTCTTACAATGGCAACAATAACAACAATTTAGCCTGCGAAAAAGGCGACGCTTGTTTCCAAAATGGGCGCCAATATCAGTGTTGATCAGAGCGGAGCGGGACAATTCCGAACAGAGTTGCACTCCACAGCAAGTCGACTGTGAGAAATACGTCAAAAAACATCGATTTGGTTACATCTCTTTCGACGGCGGCATTATTCGGCAGAAGCAGGCGTTCTGGAATTTAGTCTCTTTATATTTCATATTTTAAGTGAACGGAACAAAAAAAAATAAAACATACACAATGGAGGCGGCATTGGATGAACTAATTGCCGGTCTGCTGTGCTCAGACACCAAGAGGATACACGAGGTATGTTCAACGGGATGTTGTCCCTTTGGCGAGCCGACGCTATTTTTTCGTTTTATTCCCCATTAATATGCATAAAGGCTATAATATGAACATGCCCATGCTTAGCCTCTATTGGCACGTGATTTCTTATAGTTCTACACGTATATATTTCTACAAAAAACATTCGCGTTAGAGAGCACGTTGTGTACACATCCACACACCCGCACACACACACAGACAATTGAACAATTATTTATGCTTAAAATATATGTACGTTTCCGCTTGTCTAGTGCACCGCCGCTTTGAGCAAGGCGTTTGAGAATCCCGAGGCCCTGCCAGTGCTCTGCCAAATGGTGGTGTCGACCCGCGAGGCACAAGTCCGCCAGTTTGCAGCTGTCCTGGTGAATAAGCGTCTCCACAAGCTGCGACACTGGCAGATGGTGCCACCCGAACATCAGGAAGCGTAAGTCAATAGAAGGTCTATAATCTACGGACGGGATCTCTGATATTCTGTTTGTGCCCCCCGCAGCATCAAGTCTTGCATGCTCCAGGCGTTGATAAGGGAGAAGGAGAAGGGCGTAAAGAATGCCATAGCCCAGCTTATTGGGACTCTAGTGCGTCATGAGGCGGACAAAAAGGACTCGTGGTTGGCTGACTTGCTGACCTTCATTTTCCAACGATGCAGCATGGCCGATCCCAAAGAGAGTGAGCTGGGAACATCCATATTCGCCACGCTTACCGACGCCGCTCCAGATCAGTTGATCAACCAAATGTCGGAGATTTGTCAACTCTTTTCGAGTGTGATGATGGCCGCCCAGGCCAATGGAGACACGGCTACCCCCACTGTAGCCAATATGATGCAGGGAATGTATTCCCTGATTCCATTCATTGTCGGCCACACAAGGGCTGAGCAGACGGTGGCCAAAGCCGTGCCTCTGATGGTCTCTGCTCTCGAGGCCTTTGTCCAAAAGGGAGTCGTCACAGAATTCACCACCGCCTTTGAGCTCATGGATTCCCTTGCCGAGTATGTGCCGAAACTGCTGAATAATTACATCAAGATGTTGGTTGATTTCTGCCTGGCAACGCTGGGCAACAAGCAGCTCGATGATCCAATTCGTGTTCTGGTGGTGACCTTCGTGGGTCGCCTCGTCCGCATCAAGAAGAAGGCAATTTTCAAGCAGAAGCTCCTGGACCCCATCCTGGTCGTCGTCTTTGAGATGATGTGCTGTGAATTCGACAACGATGATGGTTCGTAACTTCTAACTTCTGCCAGCCAGTTTGCTCTGCTAATCCGAAGCCTTTTTTAGAGGAGGACTATTTCTCGGGTACCAGCAACACTCCCGTGACCGCGGCCACCCAAACCCTCGATGTCATGGCTCTCCAGATGTCGCCGGAGAAGCTGATTCCCCCACTTTTGCTGATCCTCGAGCCAGCTCTCCAGAATCCGGACCCACTGCGCCGGCGTGCCGCCTTCATGTGCATGGCCGTCATCGCTGAGGGGTGTTCGGAGGCCATCAAACGGAAGTACCTTGAAATTATGCTGAACATCATCAAGAGCGGCATCATCGATCAGAATCCATCAGTGCGCAATTCGGCCTTCTTTGCGCTGGGCCAATTCTCGGAGTTTATGCAACCCGAGATATCCAAATTCGCCCCACAGATTCTGCCCGTGCTCTTTGAGTTTCTGCACCAACTGATTGTGGAGCTAAAGGTAGGTCTTTTCCATGGCAAATGATCAGTCACAAGTCAGTTTTTTGTATGTTTATCTTCATATATACGTATTATACATTCTTGTTTGTGCTGCTCCTAAAGGCTAGCCATGGGATGGGCCATGCTCCAGCAGCAGCCCCGGCCAAAGACACTATAATGTACACGAGTCAGTTACAGATCAAGCGCATATCGGTGCTCGCCAAGTATAGGGTGCTGTGCTCTTTTTTTTTTTTCTTTCTTTGATTAATTTCTGCACTCCATCTCCATGCCAAAAGGGGTTTCTCCGGGGTCGGTCCGTGTAGCTTGTGGGAATCCAAAACTCTTTCATATAACATTCACGCAGCACCCAAAACTCTTCGCCCGAGTCTAAAGAACACAGCTTAATCAGAGTATTGGTGAACATTTACAGATGGGCCAGCCGGAGCCCACCCACATGGATCGCATGTTCTATGCTTTGGAGGTTTTCTGCGAGAATCTCGAGGAGGAGATTGTGCCACATCTGCCAGTGCTGATGGATCGGTAATTTACAATTTTCTTGGCCCATTTGTGTGCATCTAGTAATACTAATTCATCCATTCGTCAGGCTCTTCGAGTGCATGGATCAACAGAACTCAATTCACATTCGACAGCTGGCCCTGTCCTGCATCTCGTCGGTTGCCACCGCATCGAAGACGAATTTGGTGCCGTACTTCAATCCCATTGTGGATATACTGAAGAATTATCTGGTGAATGATTGTGACATTGCGCTGAATGAGCTGCGCATTCAGTCCATCGATACACTGGCTGCGATCACCCGAACGGTGGGAAAGGAGAACTTTATGCATCTCGCCCAAGACACGATGAACTATTGCACGAATATGCTGGATCAGGGTCCAGACGATCCCGACCTGCGACGCGCCATCTACTCTCTGATTGGAGGGCTGTCGGTTATTGTCACAGAGGATATGAATACGGTCTTCCCCAAGGTGATCGAGCGCCTGATTCAGACGGTGGTATCGACAGAGGATGCGCTGTTAAAGGTACGCGAAGACTCGCCTACGGGCAACCTCCTGACCGAAATCGATCTGGGTGACACCGACAACGAGGACGATGATGACGACGATATTGGTGATTATCAGGTGGAGAATGACTACGTCTTTGAGAAGGAGGAGGCCATATTGACGCTCAAGGAGTTCGCTGCAAATGCAAGCATCGCCTTTGCCCCCTACCTCACAATGGTTTTCGAGGAGGTGTACAAAACCATAGATCACAACCAGGAGGTCATCCGCAAAGCAGCCATCGAGGCCCTCAGCGCGTTCGTGATTTGCCTCCACAAAATGAACGACGCAAACGGAGTGAAGCGTGCAAGCTCTATCCTAATTCCAAAGTTTGTTTCGCTAGTTAAAAATGACGAAGAGCAAGGAGTGGTCTGCCAAATTCTCGACGAGCTTGGCGACCTTTTCAAGGCCGTCAAGAAGGCGGCATTGCCCACGTCTGATCTTGCCGAGGGGGTCATTGGATGCATCAAAGACGTGCTGCTCAACAACACGGCTTGCCAATTTAATGAGCCGAGTGGCGGCGGCGACGAGGAGGAGGCCGATGAAAGCGAGTACGATGAGGCACTCATCGAGAGTGGTGCCAATCTGGTGGCCATGATTGGCCACGCCCTCGAACCAGAGATATACTCGATGTACTTTGGACGACTCTACAATTTCTTTCTGACCAAACTGGTATGAACAGACCTAGAGTAGAGGTGATCCGCAGATCTGAATAACCATTTCATTTCTTTCAATTTCTGTAGGAAAAGGCCAAGAAGAACGACGATCAGGACCAGCGTTCCTTCATCTATGGCGTCCTGGCCGAATGCTTCCAATCGTTGGGCCTCTGTGTGGTAACATACTTCGATTCGCTCTGTCCCGTGCTCCTGGGGGGCACCACCGACTCGTACGCCAAGGCGCGCCAGAACAGCTACTTCGGCCTGGGAGAGCTAGTCTATCACGCCGAAGAGAAGTCCTTTGAGTGAGTGAAAGGAAACCCAAAACCAAACATAAGATAAAAGTATTGAATTTGTCCACCTTTCAGATCGTTTGGAGTGATTTTGCAGGCCCTCTCCGATGCGATCGCCAAGGAGCAGAATGCCCCTGCTCTGGATAATATCTGCGGGGCTGTGTCGCGCCTGATCATAACCAATCACAATATGGTGCCACTGAATCATGTGCTGCCCGTTTTCATCTCCAGTCTGCCCCTCCGCGAGGACACCGAAGAGAATGATGTGGTGCTCAAGGCCTTCCGCGTGCTCTACATGAATTCGCGTCCCAGTATTGTCAATCACATTGAGCAGATGGTGAGCGTCATCCTGCATGTGCTGTTCAAGCGGGAATTCAGCGACAACGACATGACGTCGAACGCGGTTAACTTTGTGAAGGAAATCCGCAACGACTATCCAGAGCACTTTAACAATGTGGCCAACTCCAGTCCGGAGGTGTTTGCATTCGTACAGACCCTCTAAGCAGCAGATACACTGTCAGACCTCGCAACTATTACTAGCTCATACACATTCAAGGAGTTTTAGGCCAAATCTCAAAACTTTTTAGTCGGGAACATCCCATATCTATATGATGGCGTCGAAGTTTATTCAAAATTGTTCAAAATGTTTAGTCAACAACACAAACACACACACGCGCAGTACACGCCATTATATGGCAGTCAGTCCCAGAATATGGGGAACATAAATACACATATAACCTCTCGAAGAAATTTATCTCTCAGAGAGATACATGGATACACGATACGAGCTAATGAAATGTTTTCTAATTTATAATTGCAAAGCGATATGAATAGTCTGAAATAAAATAAACGAATCAATGAATACTTGAATTAAAATTAGCAATATTTTATTTACTTATATTCACAGACACTTTCGTCTGCATATCAGATTCGAGCATTCTTCTGTTTCTACCAGTGTGCACCGCGCTTGATGGCCACTTCCCGGACAATGTCTGCATGGTTTGCATGCAGCTTGAGACTGCCGTCGACATCAGTCCATCGCACGTTCGAAGCATCGTCGCCGGCCACTAGCTCCAGCTGCCCCACCTGGCTGCCGTCCTCGTCGTGAAAGTTCAGAGCCGTTGTCTCCATCCAGGCATTGTCGGTGTTCCGAAAGTCGTCCACGTAGCCGCTGTAGATATGGACACCTTCCTTGAAGAACTTCTCCACCATATTGGCCTTGTCGGTGAAGTTGAGAGCCTCCTCGGTGAACTCACGCTTGAGTGTGACGCTCACGTTCTCGCCGGGGTCCACCATGCCCCCCGGAATGGCCCACAGTTTGTTGTCTGAACGCTGAATGGCCACCATCTGAAGGATGTTCCTAGTTGCCAAAAGTCGAATAAAATCTTGTAAAATCCATCGAAGCCCAAGTGGAAAGTTCACTCACTTGCCGGTGGCTGCATTGCCAACGATCTCTCCATTCGCGTCGCGCTTCCAGCGGGTAACAATGGGATCGGCTGCATGATTGGGACCCCACCTGCCCAGGGAGCCTCGCCCGCTCAGACCGGTGCGTCCGATTGGATTGCGTGGCAGGCCGTCCTTTACCTCGTAGGCACCGTGAAAGGACTCCCGGTTCACCTGACCGTCGTTCTGGTTCCATTTCGGCTGAAATGTTTCACTTGGCAACGGCGCATCGGCCCACACCTGTCCGCCAATATGGGGAGCTGTGTACGCGGGCGGGCAGTACTCGGCATATGGCTCCGACCAAAGGACCTGCTCCTCGGCCACTGGGAAACGGAGGACGCCACTGCGAGGATACATGCTGTTCAGGCATTTCACATGCCGGAAGATTCCCGGCTTCACCAGAGTGGCCAGCATCTGAACGGGAGGGGACTTGGATGAGACGAGAACAGAGGACAGGATAGGGAGAAGCAACAGCACCACGAATTTCAAATTTGTCATTGAACTACAATCAAACCTCAAAACTGCACTAAAATTATGTATGTTTGTGTGTACGCCGGCACTATGCACTTCCAGGTGTCTCCGTGAGAATTGCATCCCTGTGTAGTTGCCATGTAGCAAAATTAATTCAATTGTGTGCTTTTTGCCCTTTTTTGTTTAAACTATTGTCACGCCTTGGGAGTACATACCATAGGATTTTGTCATCAATGTGCTCGTTAGTCCCAGACAAAATCTTAAAGATCCATTTTATTATTTTATATCTGGATGTTACAAAAATTTCAAGCCACACACAAAAATTTCTGTTGAAATGCCCCTGACCGTTTAGACATGTTTTTACTGTTTACTAATCTAATCCAAGCGCAGCTGCAATTCCCTGGTTTCAATACCTTTTTTGGTAATTATGTTGATCAGCACAGAGTCACCGGTGTAGATGTCGCGCTCTGCGGCCGAGATGAAGGTGTCCGATGCAACGGAGACAGCACGCTCCTTGGTTAGCTCTGGGGGTTCCTTGCCATCCATATTCATGTTCTTGTAGCCAATCTGATTGTCCAGCACGGGTTGTAGCAAGCTGCCTGCTGTGCCGCCAGCACGGTAAGTGGCACGCTCACAATGTCCAATGGGATCGTAGGAGAAGACGACTCCCTTGCCGTCCTTGTCGAGGCCAGCCAAAATGTTTGACACATAGTAGGGGAAGAAGCGACGGTTGTACATTGTAATTGAGAGCATCTGGGCCACGGCATCGGTGGTCATGGTCTTCAAGTGTGTGTGCTCGTAGCTCTGCATGCGCACCTTCATCAGGCCAGTCAGCGAGAGGGTGTCGCACCAGCAGCCCGTGGAGGCCAGCACGGTCTTCTCCGACAGAGGGAACAACTTGCTCTGGTTGCGGGTGTGAATGTTGTAGCCACTGCTCAGACGTGTGTCGGCGGCAATGACCACAAAGTCATCGCCAGCAATGGCCACAATGGAGCTGCAAGGCGAATGTTAGCCGGACACCAATAGTCTGCGTTTTTTGTGAAACTCACCCGCCATTAGACTCGTATGGTGAAAAGTCCGCGTGCGAGACTCCAGGGACCTGGTAGTCGGGGAACTGCTCGAAGCCTAGGCTGCTCATAACTTTAGATGTTATTTTCTTATTTTCCGAAGTAAAAGACGTACGAAACGAATGATTTGCAAGTTTCGAGCGGCGTACCACAAAATGACATTCGATATTCAGCTGTCAAATAAATGGTATCGATTGCTTGGCGATATTAGTGTGGACGTGTCACGAAGTGTTTTCAGTATTTTTTAGTCATCGATTTCATAGTTTCAAAAAAAAAGAATAAATTTGTTTTATTGAACCATTTCGTTTATAACAATCTTTGGGTAAATGTATAAAAGTTTTTCTTCTAAACAGCTGAAAGGACACCTTCAATGCGTTCTCTGTGCAGTTGCCCTCGGTTCTTTTCCACAATCTCCTTGACGTCGTAAAACCATTTGCCTGCAAATGCATAAAAGAATGTAGTTTTCGCTTTTCATTGAATTCAAATGAATAATCTACCAATGCTTGTGTTCTGCAGGCAGTCCTTGAATGTCTTGCATCCCTCCATACTGCTAAGCACACCGAAAACAGAGAGATCCGCAAGACTAGGCTGCTTTCCGCCCATGAACTTTGTGTTCCGCTTCTTCAGCTCGGTGGTCCATTTGTCCAGAGCATCATACATATGAGATCGGACGTCATCGGTGAGAGCATGGCGACGCTTCAGAACCTTGGCGATCCCCCACATGGCTACGGCTCCGCAATAGACCATCAAATTTCTCTCCCAATTTGGAAAATGCACATCCCACTCGCCCGCCTTTGAGAACCACTCAAATGTCTCCAGAGACTCTTCCATGCTCTGATAACAGTTTGGTGATATGAGGTGCACCAAGTGGTCGTCAGCCCAGCTCCTCCATTTGCGATCGGTTCTGCAAAGAGGTCATTTGATAAGGACTATCTGGGAATGTGAACTTTACACTTGGGCTTACTCCTCTGTTTCCTTGGTTACGCTCTTGGGTGCACGATCCTGATACATGAGGAAGTACTTGTTCAATATATCCGTCTTTTTCTTGCTTTCGTCGTCAAAGAACGAGATGTGCGGGTAGAATTCAGCCAGCTCGCCAATATCGGTGCGCTTATCGTGAAGATAGGTGGCTATTAGCGATATAATGGCACTAGAATCAACCATTTGGACGTATTGACTATCCCCATCCCGTTGGCGTAGGAGCACCATAGGCACTTTCTTCAGTACCGACCACCGAATATCCTGCCGCAGCACGGCATCCACCTCGACAACGGAGTAGGAAACACCCATGTAGTCCAAGTAGGCGCGGACCTTACAGCAGAACGGACATGTCTGGAACTGGAACAACACAATGTCCAGCCCGGAGGTGTCCTTGGGGTTCACATAACGCTTGGTTATACGCACGCCCGCCGGCATGTTGTCTACACGTTTGGGCGGCGTGTGCTCGTGCTCCTTATGGGAGTCGCCATCTGTCCACCGCGAGTACGCTGTGTAGACTGACCCTGTGACTGCGCCCAGGCCGGCTCCGAACAGCGCCAGCTTGAATGTTCCATTGGGGGGCTTCTTCACTCCATTGCCTGGTGCTGCTGCTGGTTTGCTGAAGGTGCGGCGTGCCAATGCAAACTCCTGATGCGCTTTATTGCACAGAAATCGCGAAGTCCTGCAGCTCACTGGCAACGGACGTGTAGCCGCTAGGACTGTGGCAGTCGCCAGCCGAAAACATGACATAATTACCCTTTGTTTTGGTTATTACTAATATAATTATTATATATTATGCAAAAATTTGCGATAAGTAAATCGCCTACCAAGACTAGAATGGATTAGCGATGCGATATATATCGATATACACAGTTTACCCATCCCTACTCAATACAAACAATTAAACAAATCTTGAAAAAAAACCACAAAAATCTATTGTTTTTTGAAATTTCTGTGAAACTCGAAATGTCGGCATCTGTGGAAAGTATTGTCACGGGTGCAGCAGCTGCCGCGGCCCTAGACAAATATGGGGAGGAGGACTTGTTCAGTATACTTATACGGTATGGACTCTATGTGGGAGCCATATTCCAGTTCGTATGCATCTCGGCCGCTGTGCTGATGGCCGGCGACGAGACGGTGGACACCAACGAAGCGGAGAGGGAGAGTGAGCCGGTGCGGGCACGCCTGCACAAGATCCGCAAGCTGGAGAAGAAAAAGCGGCGCTAGGTCAGGAATAGCATAGACTTAGTTAGCCTAACTAAATATATTCTAAGTATACACTATAATAAAAGTAATTTCTGTGAAATGTGTAGCGCCCAGCCCTTGATCAAGGCAGATGATCGCGGTGGCGTCTGCCGCCCTGGCAACTCTGCACATGACTCAGGGCGGGGCGGGGGAAAGCACTACGCCCCCTTTTCCCATCAAGCCCCCCCACCACCCACCACAAATGACTAATTGTATTTCTCTTTTAGTTTTGGCTCTTTAATTTTGGGAATAATATAAATTATAATAATCGTATATTTATTATGTTGCTCGCAATGTTGTTGTTTTACTTCCCTTTGTAGTAATGTGTGTACATGTGTGTGTGTGCAGTGTGTGTGGTGTGTGTGTTGAATGCTCCCACTCTCTTCTCTATGCAGTCTATGCCACCAAAGGATGCACAAACAATTATCACTATGAATTATTATTATTATGCGGTATTTAGTATTTAGTTTCTTTTTCTCATGAACTTTGCGTGGAATTACATTTTTAGGTCAAAACTCATTTCGAATCTTCATTGACTTCATCTTCAGACAGGCAGGTGGCTGGTGGGGGCTGGAAGCCGGGGGCCGGAGATAGGGTGGGGGGCGTGTTGGTTCGTTTCAAAAACGCTTAAATTTCAAATACAACAACTATTTTGAATAGGGGAATAGGAAAATAGGTCTAGAGGGGAAAAGCAAACGAGGGAATCCGACAACTCTTAACTGGAACAACAACAACGAACCGCACACACTCTCGAATCGAATCATTTCGTGTGGAACGTGGACAAAAGACAGAAAAGAAAGAAAGAAAGAAATGAAAAACATAAAAGCTGGATTAAGGTGAGGCGAGAGGTGTGGCCGTGGCTGGCCGGGTCTGGGGTTGTTCGTTTCGGTTCGGGGTCGTGTTTAATGTATTTATATGTTAAATTCGCAACATTATTATTTCTCTTTACGCTATTTACTCGTACTCTTACTAATTGTTTTTGTTGTTGTTTCTATTTAGCTTTATCGTTATGTTTTTTATCATTATCATTGTGGTTGGTGTCTAAATTATTGTTTAGTTACTCACAAGTGTTGTCATCGTCTCATCGTCACAAAATATAGTATATATAATATATATTTGCTTTAACCCACACACAAAACCTTTCTCGTCCTTCCTGCTAACCCACCATCGGGGGCCCAGATGTTCCTGTTCCTGTTCCTCATCCCGTTCTCGGTCTCGTTATGGTTCTTTTGCCCCAGGCTCCGACATTGACCATCCTCCGTCGATGGACAACTAGGCCTCGGGCAGCGGTTTCAGCTCCTTTATCTGCTTGATCAGATAGGCCTTCTCGTCGTTGAACTGCTCGTCCTCGGATCGGTCCGTATGGAAATTGGTTAGGAAGTCGACCAGTTTCGTTTGGTTGCGCAGCAGGATGTCCAGGATCGGTTTCGGCTTGTTCGGATTCGCCACGAACACCTTGAAGACGTGAAACGCCTCAAACTGGATGTTGCGCGACTTCTCCTTCAGCATGTTCATCATCAGCTTCAGGTTCTCCGGCTCGGAAATGTATCGCGTCATCACAGTGAAGTTATGCCGGTCCAGCAGCAGCTCGCCCAGCAGCTTCAGACTCTGGCGCCGTGTCACATAGTTCTCCGAGTTGAGCAGCCGCTGATAGTGCTGCGAGAAGAACTTGTCGTAGTTGGCGTCCAGGAACTCCGCGCAAAGCAGCTTGTGGCGCGTGAGGAGCTCCTTGAAGGTTGAAAAGGCATCGGAGGCGATATCGAAAGTGGACACCTCCACGTACCGGAAGAACTTGAAGAACTCGTCCGAGTGGAGCATTATCTTGGCCAGGGCCTCGTAGCGGGCGCACTCCCGCAGCATGGTGCCGGAATTTAAGGCTATCTCTGGATGCGCATCCTCGTAGCCGCCCATCAGTGTAAACAGGATCTCCGGTTTCGTGCAGATGTACTCCACTGTGGGCGACCGGGTGCCAATCTGTCTCCGCAGCACATTGTTGAATATCAGTGCCACATGCTTCTTGCCCTCGAAGTCGATCCTGTGCAGGTTCTGTATGAGCAGCAGCAACAGATTGCTGTTATACAGCTCCTGAGACAGCTGGGCGACCACATAGTCCGCTGGTGGCTCTGTGTCGCTGCTGCCGTATAGCATGTTCTTGATGGACACCAGGTTCTTGCTGCAGTCCTCCTGCGCCTTCTCCACTTTTCGGTCGCCCGACTCCAAGGCATTGATTGCCTCCTTCAGCGATTTGACCAGCTCCACTGGCGACTTCTGTGACTTCCCAAAGAGTGGCATTATGCTTGCTGCTGCTGTCTCGGGCTCTGTTTCGGGCTGGCTCGGTCTCGTCTCGTATCTGCTGTGGCTGCTGACTGACTTTCTGCTGCTGTTGTTGTTGTTGCTGCTGCTGGCTGGCTGGTTTGCGCTTGCTTTCGTTTGCAGTTGTACCTTTGAGGTCGTGGCTTTCGTTGCCCAATTTCTGATGCTGAAGACACAAATTAGATCGCTTGGCAATATTATCACGGTATAATATTCTATTATTATATATTAATTTCGTCTTTTTCAGTGGATTTATCGATGAAACATATCGCCGACCCTCAAAAATATACCGAAAGATACCATCTCATTTTCAAAATATACCGTATTTGTATTAAACCCCGCTTTTTGCTTTACACAAGCTATTGACTTCGGAATAGTGAAACCAACCACGATTTCAAAGCTCAAAATTAAAAAAAAAACCCTGCGATACTCCTATATACCTTAAAAATGGAATTTAGTAGATTGTTTAAACTGATTAAATATACCACTATATACCGATATGTCGTAAATATACCGTCGACTCAATTTCGATGACAAAATATCCACAAAAGTTATACCCCTAAGCGGTCACACTGGTCTTTTCTCCGAGTAGAATTTATTGAATGTGTGTATCGATCTATCGATATAAGTCATATGAATCATTTAATAAAAGGTGGAGTCTTTTGTCTTAAGCTGGCAGGTAATTGATGCAGATCATCAAATGGTATTCATTAATGTGGTCGGAAGTGACTTTAAATGGGATTTCTATGTGAATTTTACAAGGTGTGCTAGCAACGATATAAAACTTGCATCTCTAAGGGGCGTAGGGAAGGAACTTAAATTAAATTTATATATGGTGCCGACACGTTTCACAGCACTGAAAAACCCGTTAATATGAAAGTTTTCAATACATTTTTTTAAATATCATTTTTATTTCTCATTGAAGTACTTTGTTTTTGATCCGTTTTCTTTTTAGATATTAATCTGTTGCGCATTTCAGGCGCTTGGGGTGTATCATAGAAGTTACAGAAATATATTGATGTATTTGTGTGTACGCATATGTTGGGGGCTTTATCAGCTTACTGGTTGTCGCTAGATAGATATTTGGGGGATTAAAGAAAGGCAAAGTATTATATGCACATCCATATATGTATGTATATATAATTATATCAACTTTGTATATGTAGATAGGCTAGACCGCCGCCCCTATCTTTTCGATCCTTTTCCGTTGTGTGTATTTTTAAATGAATTTTATTTGTGTTTTTTGTGTGATTTTTTTGTGTTTTTTTTCTATTTACGTATAAAATTGTTGTTTAAAATCCTTGAAAATATCAGATAAATAATTACAATTGGTTGTGTGTATTGTAGTATGTAATGTATGATAAAAGCAATGTTTTGCACTCGAACATAGATTAAACATAAATCAATTTAGTCTTTGCCACTAAACATATCAATGTGAGTAGTAGTACGAGTAGTTGTCGTATCGTATTTTATCAGCTAATAATAATATCTTTGGGCTTGGCTACTGCGTGTGCAAGTACGAGAACACGTACACACATAGATCATGATCATAGATATATATGTATGTATGTAAATGGGACAAGACACACGGCGACGACGACGAAAGGTCGCCGCACCTTACACATTCCGAGAGGAGTTTAGATTTTCTTCTCTTGGGGGGGGAAGTCACTAAATATATATATATATATAATATAATATCTTTATCTTGTAGAAGTATGTATAATATAATATGGTATATATAATAAAACATTTTACGACTAGTATATATAATGTATATTTAGTGTATATGTGTATATGTATATGCATTGCGTTTCGTGTATAATTACTAAATTTATTGAGATATTCTATGAATATTTTCCCTTCTTTCCATTCTTTTAAGCCATGTCTTGTGTCTTTCTATATATACGAAATACGATTAAAACAAACGAAGCGAGAATACGTCTATACGTTCGGTGTTTCAGGGGGCGGGCAGAGGAGGTTGTTTTGGGTTGATTGGGCAAGGGTTTCCAAGGAGGGGTTGTTCTATTCTGTTTTCTGTGTGGAGTGGTGGAGGGGAGATGAAATATACTTTACAATTAAAAGCGGGGATCCCCGTTGAAGGGGGAGGGCCAGAGATCCCCATTACAGAAATTTGCTTTGCAACTCATTTCGTTTTTTGTTTTCTTCGAAGCATTCTGCACAGATCTGACTAGATATATATGTGTGTTTATATATATATATATATATGTTATAGAGGCTACTACTACTACTCTCTACCAAGTACGATACATAGGTTTCTTTCCTCTCCTCTCCTCTCCTCACTCTGCTTTCGTTTTTAGTTATAGTTGATGCTTCTGCTGCTGCTGCTGCTACTGCTACTGCTAATGCTGTAGTTGTCCTTTGTCATCTATCAACTTCCTCTGATCCTCTTCTTCGCTGGGCTTGAAGTTTCGTTTCCTGCTTCCGCTTCGTTGTTGTGAGCCAAATGTTGGTGGTGTTGGCTCCCGGGATGGGGATGGATGGATGGATGGTTCGTTCGTTCGGTTTGCTTGTTTGTTTGGTTCTCTCGAGTGTCGTGTCCCGTGTCACTTTCGCTTGATAAAGTTGCCCTCGGCATCCAACCAGACGCCCGGCTGGTGCTCGTGTGCGTGCGCATCCATCCCCGTTCTTATCATTTACCTATTCAGCGCATTGGAGATCTGCTTGAGCGACTGTCCCACCTCCAGGAGCAGGCGCTCGTTGTCCTGAATGTTCTTGCTGCCGGCGGAGCGCAGGTGCTGCGACTGTGTCTCCACTCGAGTCACCAGCTCCCGGAAGTGGAACTTGGAGTGCGGCGGCATTGACTCGTTCTCCGCAAAAATGACGCACGAGTTTTGCAGGATGTTGAGCTTGTCGCTCAGCTGGAGCCATTGCGAGGCGGAAATGGCGTTGACGGGATGCTTGAGAGAGCCATCCAGCAGGCCCACCAGCTCCAGGATGCTCTCCCTCGATATCTGCGTGGAGTTGCCCGTGCTGGAGCCATTGTCCGTCGCCAGCTTGGCTATGGGCGTGGCGTAGATGGTCAGCTTGGTGGGCTTGTGCGGCACAGCGGGCTTCTGTTGCGGCTGCGCCTGCTTGCTGCCTTGGAGCTCGTTCTGGACGTAGAGCGACTGTGTCATATTCTCCGCTGCCGTGTGGCCGCCTCCTGGCCCTAGTCCCAGTCCCTCTTGCTGCTCCTCGCTGACGTCATCTGTGAAGAGTTGCGTGGAATGAGAGGTTTTTATTGAGCTGCTGGATGCTAGTGGCTGTGGCTGCACCCTCATGGCAGTGGCAGTGGCTGTGACTGTGGTGGTGATCGTGCTGTTGGTTGGGGGCGGTGGTGGTGGGGCAGCTGGCGGCGGCCTATTGCCTGGCTTGGCCGTGGGAATTGCTTTGAGCCCGTACTTGGGCGATAGCTGGGATGTGGTTGATGTGGAGGAGCCGCCATTAAGTGACGGCTGCTGGATGATCGCGCTACTGGCATAGTCGGGGGGTTGGGCCTGAGCCTGTGCCTGCCCCTGGGGCTGTTGCTCCCACAGTTTCTTTAAGCTATTAATACTACCTGTGCTTCGTCGCTTGCCGAGGTCCCCGCCGCTGCTACTGCTGCTGTCTCCCGTTCCCGTGCCCGTCTCCACCTCCACGTTGGAGTTGGTCACATCTATTTTGATTTCAGTCTTTTGCACGGCCTGCGAGTGGGAGAACTTCCTATTGTCGTCCTTGCGGTTCAGGGTGCCAGTGCCGGTGCCGGTGCCATTGGCATTATTTGCCACCGCCTGCTGTTGGGCACAGGCGGGAACAGGAGGCTTCTCCTGCAGCTGCTGCTCCGCCTTGTCCACTCGCCGCAGATGGGCCTTGAAGTCAATGATGATGTTGGACGTGGGCTCTGTCTTGGCTATGGGCGCCGTCATCTTCTTGGGTTCCACCTTCTTCAGCTGAGCCTTGAAACCAGCTGGAGGAGCTACTGCTGTGGCTGCTGTGGCAGTGCCATTGCCATTCGTCATTTTCAGCTTGGGCAGATTCATGCTCTCTGCCAACTCGGTGACCAGCTGGGAGACGGGATCCACTGGCACTGCTGAGACTGCTGCCACTGCTGATCCGTTGGCCAGGTGTGGGCTCACTGGCGACTCCTTGCCACCCGCCGCCTTGATCTCCGTGATCAGTTTCTCTTTCAGATTGAGGCTCTTCTCGGGTGCAGCGTCTGGCGGGGTGCCCAGGGAGCTGCACGAGTCCGTCGAGGGTTCACGCTTGCGCAGGGACACTCCGAACCGGGAGCTGGCCTCCTCGACGCTCGGGGCCGTGTTGCTCACGTCGTGGGTGCTGCTGTCGTTGTTGTTGTTGGTGTTGCCGATGCTGTTGCTGCTGGTGTTGCAGACGTTGTTGTTCGAGTGCTGGGCGTGCAGATGCTGCTGGATGGCCTGGACGGCACTCTCGGGCGCTGGTGGCGGCGGCGGTGGACCCGCCTCGAACTCCTCGGGTGGAGGCGGCAGGTCCAGCGGCGGTGGCGGAAACTCCAGGTTGGCCAGAGCCGGTTGGGGTACAGGCTGGGCTGGAACACCGCCAGACCCCAGGCCCACGCCACTCCTCTTGGGCGAGCTGCTGGAGCCAGCGGCCCGGAACGAGGAGAACGTCATCATGGTGCCCTCGGTGGTGGTGCGGTGACGCTGCAGCTTGTTCAGACTGGCCGCCGCATTGTTCTGCATGGTCACGCCACCGGAGGAGTTGCTCCGGATCATCTGCTGGGGCGGCGGCGTGGCCAGGCTAGCCGTCGATGGAGCCTTGGGGCTGGGATTGATCCTGGCCGGCGGTGTGGCATGACCGTTGGCAGCTGGCGTAGGCGTTGGTGAGGGACTGGCCTCGCCCCCACTGTCCTCAAGACTGTCGAGGAAGGCGCCGATGCGGGCCACCTTCGGCAGGGTGCCGTATCGATTCACCACGCGCTTCACATTCATCACCTCCAGGGCGCCCACGGTGATGGGATGCGCGGCCAGTGCAGGGCTGCCGTTGGGCACTGGCTGCATTTGATCCCTGGGTGCTGGCGGGGGCACCGATGGATGGTGCTGGGAACGCTTGCTCTGACGCGTCTCCAGTCCCCGGTTGCCCATCACCGGCGTTGGCCGCTTGAAGGAGCTGTGCTGCTGCGAGGACCTGGGTCCGATTCCGCCATGCAGCGAGTGCTGCATCTTGTTCGGCGTGACGGCTTGCGACGGCTCCAGACTGTCGCCGGTGGCATCCGTGTCGGGATCTGCTGCCGGATCCGTTTCCGAGTCGTAGCGCTGCGTGAGGCTGTTGATGTCTCGCGCCAGACCTGCGCGAGAGAGATCACAAAATGGAGATTAGTTCCCGGGCGGGGGGTGTCTGTATGGTGTTTGTGGGTCGTGCCGGGTGCTGGATGCGGGGTAGTAGTATGGTTCGTATGGATATTACGGATGGTATGGGTTAATCTGGACCAAAGTCAGCTGTTTCTTTCAGGTGTGATGTTGTGTGTGTTTGTTGTGTGTGTGTGTTGTCTCAAGCGGGGTAAAAACTACATAAAAACACCAAAAACATAATGAAATAAACGAAACGACAAAATGAAATACAACGAAATCCTTGGAGGTCTCTCTCTAGATTCTGTTTAAAAACAAACCTCTAATCCATCACCTGTTCTGGATCAAGAAGCTATAGTTTTGAAACTGAATAATAATTAACAAAATAACATTTAACAAGCACCAAAACATAAACAACCTTCTTTAAACTTAAGAAAGAAGTTCTCGAATTAAATATACAAATAAAACAAATTTAAAACAAACTTAAAATTCAGGGGAAAAAAATTTTAAAAAAATGTGTTGTCAGTTGAACTCATTTCAAAATAGTTTGCACGTGGAATACATATTAAGAAAATATGTACATATATGTAAAACAACTCAACTCAAAAGAATAAAAAAGATATCAAATATGGAAATCCAAATTAAATTAATTAAATTTAGAAAATAAAGAGTATCGCATGTGGAAGTCATAACAAAATGACTTGCACATAAAATACATTTAGAAAGGAACCAAAATAAATACGATATAAAACTCAAGCCAATACAAACGATGATCCATTAAAAGCAATAACAATAACCAATAAAAACGAACATAGAGTTTTGAAAATAAAAATCAATTGGATTGCTTTCCGTTTTGACAAAATAATACCTCGAAATAGGATGTCGTAAAGGAAACTACTGCAGGAGGACGATTTCTTAATGGAATACTGTTGTTGTTTTTGTTGTTGTTGTTGTTGTGGCAGTGGCAGTGGTTGTTTCAGTGGCACTGGCAGCTGTACGTGTGCTGTACGTATTTGTTGTTGATGTTGTTCTTGTGGTGTGTATTGTTGTTGTTGTTGTTGTTGGTGGGTTGGAATTTGGGTCTTGAAATTTCTACTAAGGGTCTGGCTGAAATAGCTGAAATTTCTATGCAATTTTGTGCTTGTGTTTATACCATTCGTATTGAGGTCATCGATGAAGTTGCACCGCTGATTGGTGCCGCTGCCGCCACCACTGGCGCTGATTGGATCCTCCTCGCGATATGTAGAGTCCCGACTGCTCGAAAGCAGACTGCAAATGATAAATGATAAGTGAACGCTGATTCATTCTGTAGGAAAGTTAGAGTTCTCCTCTACCTGGTTCGCTTGGGTGGTGCTGGCGCCTGTTTTCCCTGCTTATTGGTGGTGCGTCGCATCTGTACATTGCCCTTGCCCTGGCTGGAGAAGGTGCTCAGCTTTGTGGAGGTGGAGCCGGTATCTGGATACCAAAAATATTACAAGATTAGATGATGGCACAGCACTCTTCACTGATCTCCACTTTCCACTCACCTGACATGGGCGTGCTAGCCTGCTGCTGATCGTGCTGCTGCTGCTGCTGATGCTGCTGTTGATGGGCATTTGGCGTGAGGGAAGACGACGACTGGCACTGGGAGGGGGTCGCTGGCAGGGCCTTCTTCCCCATTTGTGGGGTGAGGCTGAGCGAGGCCGATGAGGAGGCTCCGCTGGCCGCTGACTGAGTGCCACTGGCACCGCCGACTACTATGCCCGATGTGGTGTTGCCACCGCCGCTGCTGGGGGGGTTGTTGTGGGAGCTGCTGCTGCTGCTGGCGTTTAGCTGTTTCTCGACCGCTTCGGTGATGGACGATTCCTGCGGAGGAGCGGAGAAGGAGAGATGTGCACCGTGTGGGTCATTATTGCTATCACTACTTTTGATTGTTGCCTGCTGACGATGCGGAGTGCGGAGAATGGCCACGCATTGCGATCAAAGCTCAACGTCCACATTGCCATCCGCTAGATGATGATGGCCCCCAGGGTGTCTATGATGCCCCGTCGTCGTCGTTACCACGCTGTTGTGGCAGCGGCGGCGGTGGCTCCTGTGTCGCCGCGAATGATGATCGTCATCGTCGCCATCGTAGTTGCTCTCATTCTCATCATCATCATCATCGTCATCGTCGTCCTCATCTTCATCATCTTCATAATCATCATCATCTGCATAATCATCGTCCCAGACCTCGACGTCACCCACCTGAAACATATGCTCCAGCGCATGGTGTATGCTCTTGAATGTGGGCCTGTCGGCGGCATCCCACTGCCAGCACTGGCGCATCAGATCGTACACCTCGGGCGGACAGCCGGGCGGCCGCTCCATGCGATAGCCCTTCTCTAGCTTGTGATATACATCGGTCAGATCGATGCCCGGATATGGGGACATCCCGTACGTGGCTATCTCCCACAGCAGCACCCCAAAGGCCCACACATCCGACTTGGTGCTGAACTTGTTGTACGCCAGTCCCTCGGGGGCCGTCCACTTAATGGGGAACTTGGCGCCGGCATGCGCCGTATACGTATCGTCGCGCATCAGCCGCGCCAGCCCAAAGTCCGCCACCTTCACCAGCTTATTGTCGCCCACGAGGCAGTTTCTGGCCGCCAAATCGCGATGGATGTAGTTGCGCGCCTCCAGGTAGCTCATCCCCGAAGCTATTTGCGTGGCCATGTAGAGCAGGGCCACGGCGTCGAGGGTCTCGCGACCCGCGGAGCGCAGAAAGTCCAGCAGATTGCCATGCGACATGAATTCGGTGATGATGTAAAACGGAGGCTCACGCGTGCACACACCTGGAGAGATGGAGAAAGGTGGAGAAAGGAGATTGAGGAGCCACTCAATGGGCATTCGAATGACTGTGGCACTCACCGATGAGCTGCACTAGATTCGGATGCTTCATCTCCTTCATGATGGCCGCCTCCTCGAGGAAATCCTTGAGGGCCATTGTATCCTCCTTGAGGGTCTTGACGGCCACCGTGTTGCCGTAGCGCTTCCACACGGCCTCGTACACTTCACCGTACTGGCCGCCGCCGAGCTTGTGCTTCATCATAATGTCCGTGCGACAGATCTCCCACTCGTCTGGCTCCGGACTCAGGGGGAAGACCGTGGGCTTGTTCTGCTTGGGCGCCGGATAGAGCAGGGGCGTGATCAGGCCATGCCCCTCATGGGGCACACTGTGATGATGCACCAGCTCCGCCAGTGTGTTGAATTTCGCCTCCTGGGTGACGAACACCTTGCCATCGGGATCCTCCGAGATGCGGTAGTGATAGACGCGACCCTCGTACCTGCGATTGGATAGAGGAGAGCAATTAGTGATCGAATGGAATGGAATCGAAATGAATGGTGGCTATAAATCGTACGTACCTCAGACTGATGCTCCTTTGGCCCGGAGAACTCTCGCTCTCGCGCACCAGAAAGCTCCCATTGATGCCCGAGCTCAGCAGATACTCTGCGGCATTGCGTGAGATGGGTCCGTGGTACCACGAGTGCTTCTCCAGCGAATTCAATGGCGTCACATAGTTGGAGGGCACCCAGCCGACGTTCCCGGAGTCTGAGTGCGCCTCGCACCACTCCCCGGACTTATTGTAGCTGAGGATCCGCACTTGTTCGCCCTTCTTCAGGCTCAGCTGGTTCTCGCCGCCTGCCTGGAAGTCATACAGTGCCACAAACAGCTGCGGATCGTCCTCCTCCGGTCCCGGCTCCAGCAGATTCTCCTTGGAGGTCCAGCGATGCGTCGACTCGAACACCGATGTCGCCGAACTGTGGCCCCCGAGGGAGGAGCACTGCAATCCGGAGTCGCTGCATTGCAGTTCTGCATCGGCCAGCAGGGAGGCTGCCGTGCTCCCAGCCGGAATGTGAGGTAATGGACGCGACTGCAGCAGCGCTTCTACATAACATAAAGAGAAATAGAGAAAGAGGCGAAATCAGAGTTGAGTTGAGTGAACCACCGATCGATCGGAGGAGATTAAACCCGTTTCTATCTCTAGGAATGCGGGTGCCCCATCCACACTCCACTCCACTCCACTGCACTGCACTGCACTGCACTCCACTCTCTTTGTTCCATTGAGAAAATAAATTATGCATAAAATTACACAAATCGTGGCGTCCGTCCCCCCCAGTGGCACTTTGATTGTGGGAAGGTTCTGCCAACTCCCACACACTCTTTGTTTTCACTTGGGTATCCCTATCCCCCATTCCCTATGTATCTGTGTAGCTGTATATGTCTATCCGTATCTGTTTACGTATCTTTTTGGAATGCATTTCTCAATCATTCTTTCAGCTGAAAGAGTTCTTTGAGAGAGAGAGATAGTGGAAGGGCATATACAATAAGAAAATAGTCAATAAGGACATGCCTGCTTATAACGCTGACGCAGTACTTTGATGTTCGACTCGAGACGCACAAGAGGATGCTTCAAAAGAGAATGGCCAAGAATAAAAAATACAATTATTTGTTTTAAAGCACATGCCTAAATCAATGATAGTTCTTGTATATAAAAACTCAAATGAATTTCTAGCTAAAGTTTCACTTATTTAATTGAATAAACTCTGTACAGGGTATCCCTGTGGCTGCAACACACTTTCGAATTTCCCGTTGGATGTCTGCACCATTGAAATAATTGAACAAAATTTACATTTTTTCCCCGCTTTTGTTCAGCGTTTGACCAAAGCAAACACTTCCGTTGATTCCATTCCGTTGGGTAAATTTCTCCACATTTTTATTTGAAATTTATATGACGAGTATTTCGACACTGAAGTGGAATGGAGGTGGAAGCCACTCTTCCGAGAGCGGAGAGCCCGTGAATGTGTGTGTATCTTTGGGATGGTGGATGCAGAGCTGCCAAATCATAATGAAATGTACTCTCGTATTTTTTGAGAAGGGTTCCCCAAAAACCACACTCAACATCACACATTCGTTAATTTATGCGCGCGAGACAGGAAATATTAATGGCAAATAATACCGAGTATAAGTAGGTAGGGTGCACGTGCACGGGGGCGGGGAAGGGGAGATCACAGCGGAAATGTTCGGTTCTCCAATGGTGGTCTGTGGTCGGGACTCCCACTCTCTCTCTCTCTCTCTCTGGATATGAATGGGGGATTAGACTATAAAACCCATTGTCCCATCCATTTGATATGAAAGTTTAAAGATCCATGTTTGTATGTGTGTGCGCGTGTTCTGTGTTTTGGGGAATGACTCACTCGTAGAATTGTGGAAAAGAGGGGGCTGGTATTCGTGGAAAATATGTTTATACTTTTGCATTGACTCAGTGGCAATCAATAGGCAATTATAAATTTGAGTCAGAGATTTTTCATTGCATAATTGTATGCCTAGATTGTTATAATAACAAGATCATGTAACAGCATTTATCTATAGTTATCTGGGGAGTGTGTGAGTATTGGATGAGGTAGAACAATTGCTCATAGGACTATTAAATGCGCCGACTTTTATTATTATTATCATAAGTGTGGATTCTCTTTCGATTTAATATAAATTCTCAAGTGAGGCAGAGTGACTACTTTTTCCCCTATCAATCCACCGAAAACCATTATGAATTACCCTCTCTTTACAGAACTTGAATGAAAATCCACCCAATCATGATTCAAGAACCCAGCGACTCCTCTTTATTTATTAAGAACGACACTACTCGTACTGTGTATATGTATGTATGTGTCTGGGGAGCGTTTAGGAGCATTGTTTATGTGTATTGTTGGTAGTATGTATTTTTGTTGTTACCTAAATTCATGTGATATTTGCCTGGATGGCCGCGAAAAGAGCTGTGCTTCGTACCACCTGCAGAAACAGAAGAAACAGAAAACAGAGAGAGTGTGTGAGAGATCGGAATGTGGATCGTGATCTGTGGTGTGGATGCATAGATCAGGCAATTCTGTTGATGATGTTATTGCACGATGATTTCTCAAGCGACTACGATGATGGTCCGAAAATAAATAAATAAATAGGAAAAATTCAAAACAACAAAAAATTCAATCAAGTTACATTTATATACAGGGGAATAACTCTAGGTACGAAGGGGTGGTGGGGTACTTTATACAATACAGATACATAGGTAGAGAGATCTATTTACAGTTGAATGATGACGAGCAAACATGGGAGCTGGAAAGCCGTCGAAACCGCAGAAAGGCCAATTAGTGTCTTGGCCCGAACAAGAGGAAGAGTAATACTCCCATTACCCGTAAGAAAAACAACTTTTAATGCTGTAATTTCTCAGAGATAGAGAGAGAGAGATGGAAAAACCTTACAAATATGTGTATGGGCGGGGAGCTGTAAATCTCTATGGGATGGGATGCCACGCCCCCGTAGACATTTGACAAAAACGAGGAAAAAGTTGAAGCAGAGAAATATGTATTTCCCCACTCTAAAGAGCTTAGATGTAAGCTTTCCGCTAGAATGAGTCCAATGAACTTTAAAGTCACAAAAATTCCACAAAGCGACAGAGAGAGAGAGAGAGAGAGAGAGCGAGAGATGGAGAAGAAAGGGGTAAATCGGAATCCGTCTCAAGCCATGCACATCCGCCATCTAGCGGCTACTTATGCAGGTTATTAGCTGGAATTTGGAGCAAGCAATGCGCCTGAGAGAAGATTAAGAGTGGACGAAGGGGGGAAGAAGAGAATGGAAGCACGTCACACACACACGCACACACACACACACACACACACACACACACACCATACACCCACTCAAGGCATCAGACTTAACGGTAAGTGTGTTGAGCAAGCATAGATTAAAATCTGGCTACGCAGCAGACTCTCATCTTTCTCTCCCTCTACCTCTGCCGCTCTGGCATAAAAGATAAGTATCGATTTAAGCAGCAGCTCGAGCAGTGGCAATTCTGTATAATATCTGAAGACATGGATATAAAAGCCCTTCTGTCCCCTTTAGCCGGTACTTGGATACATCTATTCCACTCTCCCCCTCCCCATCGCACACAATTGTAACCTTGGCTCCGAACAGTAAATCATTTGCCAATTGTACCACTCAACTACTATTATTGATCTCCCTCACTCCTCCTCACACACTATCATATGCTCTATGCGGGGCTGCTGGTGCTCTATCTGTCCTTTGTTTTTGATGGTTTGGGGTTTGTCCTTGTCCAACTTTATGTGCATGCCATTTAATAGCTACTCTGGCTCTTCAATTTCCCGACTACACTACAAGCCATCACCATCTCCATCAATGTGTGTGTGTGTGTGATTTATTGGCATTGCATTTCGAGAAGAACTTTTATTCATTCGCTCATTTCAAGCGCTTCGCTTGCCATTCATTCAGTCATTCATTCCACTCGAAGTTCATTCATGCATTTGTTTTCTGTGGGTTTGATTTTTGTGTTGTAGTTTTTGTTTTTGATTTTTTTTCCATTTGTATCTTTTTGCATTTGAGCACGTTTCTCTTTTTAGTTCTCGCTCTGCTCTTCTTCTTCTTCTTCCACTTCAAGGGCTTTTGTGTCATGCCCTGAAACGGGATTTGCAGTTGTCCTCGCTCTCGTCTTTGGCAGGCCATATCAAATATAAGGTTAGGCACTCTCACAAATTTGCATTCGCCCATTGATGCACTGCTTTACCTTATCTTGAATACACCTTGGTCTACAGTCGTCTACGGCCGCTTCTTCTTCGTCTCTACTGTTCTTGTACCCTTTTTGCTCCCCTTTTACTTGTCGGATTTCATTCACATTTTGCCTTTGGCCTTTTGCCCAGACGTTGGCTGGCAGACAGGGCAGGGCAGGGCGCAGGGGGCGTGGCCAGTCAACAGTAATAAACTTTTACGGTGTAAATTTAATTAGTCATTTCTCTGGCTTCCGTTGCACCGCACACCCCACCCCGATGTAGGGGACGAGACGACAAGAGATTCTCTTGGTGGGGGATTTGATTTCAACGAGAACTTTTCAATTTAATTATATTCTCCTACTCTTACACACACACAGACACACATATGTACATAGCACCTCCTATACATGCAGTAACACTCCCGTGTATATACGACTGCATTTTAGTTCAACTTTAACGATCCAATAACTTGTGAAGCGGAACTTTGAACGGATCTTGAGATCATTAGGCCGACAAGAACCCGATTAGGGCCACAAATATATGACCCCAAAGAGAATGGAGCACCAAAATCCATCCATCAGCAGGGAAAACTAGTTCAAAAATTATTAAGAAATTAACCTACAAACAAAACAGAAAAGAAAGGCTGGGCTTGGCTTGGCTTATGTAGCTTTAAGTTGCAGACCAGGGAATACTTTACTTCTTCGTAAAAGTTTATCCCCTTTAAGGACTTAACTAGCCGCCGTGTCCTTTGAGTTTATCTTTCCACCCACTTGCACATCTTAAGAGACAGCATATGGTTATCTAGGAATTTTAGTTTCCCTTGTAATACGTATATTATCTCCCCCAACCAATCTGTAGAGTCCCCTATAGAGAACAGAACATGACAGGCCAAGCAACTGGTGTAACTGACAGGCCAAAAAAAAACCATAAAGTCGTAGTTGAAACGATGGAGGAAATGTTAAAGAATTTATGTTTTTGTGGGTTGGGAATTTGCATAGACGACAAAAGGTGCACAAACAGAAGGCAGGGAGGAGAGCGAGAGGGAGGGCACCAACACCCCAAGGTTCGGTTCGGAGATCAAGTTCCTTCCCTTGGCGGCGCGCACAAAAGTGCGAAAAAATGTTGTGCGAAAAAACTACACAGCGAAAAATAGAGAGAGAGAGAAAGACCGAAGCAGTGTAAAAGAGAGGGAGAGGAAAAGATGTGAAAACAAAAGAAAAGTTTTGTAAAGGCAAAGGACAAGCACGGGGTAGAGGTGTGTGTGTGTGTGCATATAGAGAGGGGGGTGAGGGTTCGTTCTGGCGAAAATGAGAAAAATCCACCCTTGGTCGGTCGAGTCGTCGGACAAAGAGCCGCTGGCAATTTTACCACTTTTCTAAGGATTCCCCCCGCACCACACTTCAAGGCTAGTCTTGGGCCGCAGGAACACGAGGCAAAGTTGGGGGGTAGGAGAGGATGGCTAAGGGTATATGCAAGGTATAACAAATAAAAGGTAAGGTAAAAAGACTTTGCCAGCAAACCCAAAGAGATCGAGAGCAAAAACGTGTCGGCTTTGCTTTACCTTCTGTCCGATATACCTTGGATACATGCAAGCCACTGTGACGTCGCGTCGTGACATATGACGCAGCAGACGATCTCCAATCTCCACCCTCCACTCCTCCCTTTGAAGACAGCATATGGCACGAAAGAAGTTAAGGGAAATCAAGTAGCGAGTGAAATAAATGTACTTACATATATTTTACCAGAGAGAGAGAGAGAGAGAGAGAAAAGCAGGAACAAAGAGACACAGAGGTAGAGAGTGGACTTAAACAAAGGATGCAAAAAAGTAAAACAAAAATCAATAATGAAAACCTCTTCAGTCGCAAAAACCCCAACCAAAGGACAACCAACGAAACGAGTGTCATCGTCATCCCATAAAATCGCATGAATGCGGGGAAATGGAAAATTAATTGAATGCCAGCATCCAGCCATCCATCCGAAAGAGGCAGCCTGCCCACAGATGCAGTCACCCAGCAGAGGAGCAGAGAGAGAGAGGGGCGGGCACAGAGACAAAATTGTCGTCAAAGGTGAAGGGCAAATGCAACATTTTTCAGCAAATGTTTTATCGATCCGGTCGCCCCCTAGCACTTGAATGTGCAACCACAATGTCCTTGCCTCCGGAGGCTTACAACATTTCAGCGCTTGCATAAAAGAGGACGGGAAAGTTCACTTTATATAATAATGGACACACTACAATAGACTAGATGTGCGCCCTAGAGTTCTACTAAAATAGATATCCATCATAAATATATCAACAAAAACTTTATTTCAAGCGGTAAAGGGGGGAATATCTGTAATCTATACCTTAATATCAGTGAATATTTCCTTTTCATTGAAATACCTATCCTTCTCTCTCTCTCCCTTTTAGGAAGGAGATTCCCGCCCCTTGGCTAACTCCTGCATAAATCATCACGTGACTAAGGGACAGTCTTCACAGTCGTTTTGTTTATGGTGAATGAAATTGACTTTTAATTGTCGAGACGATGACCAGAAAAGAAAACAATATAAACCAAAAAACCATTGGCATGCACAATTTGTGTGACTATGCAAATGACAGAAAAACCACACAAAGAGGAGCATGGGGATAGGAGGCGCAAGAGGAGGTAGAAGGTCTATAGACAGAGAGAGAGAGAGAGAACAAAGCACAAACGAGACAGAAATAAGCATACGACGCGTTGGTCAGAGTCAGAGTCTGATACTCGTTTCCCCCCCGATTTGATTCTGGGAGCGAATGTGAATGTGATTGCGACGAGTGTCAAGTGAATGACTCACACTCAACATAAGCACAGTAGGGAGCACAGTGGGCACTAACCTTTGTTTAGCAAGAAATGCCACAGATACCAAAGCTTTTTCACCCATTTATTTCTCCATTCTTCTATGTGGAGTATATTGTTATAAATTCTTGTATCTCTTGCCCCACTGTACAGTTGTTCTATTCCAAATTCCCACACGCCTTTCCATTCATGTTTTTATACCCGTACTCAAAAAAGAGTTAAGGGGTATATTAGATTTGTGGTAAAAGTGGATGTGTGTAACGCAGAGAAGGAAACGTTTCCGACCCCATAAAGTATATATATTCTTGATCAGCATCAATAGCCGAGTCGATAGAGCCATGTCTGTCTGTCCGTCTGTCCGTCTGTCTGTCTGTCCGTCTTGTTGAGCGCCTAGATCTCAGAGACTATAAGAGCTAGG